GGCTGTGCCTGCTAATTAGAGACGTAGACAATGTTTAGTGTCGGCAGTTTACAGGTAGAGTCAGCTGTCGGGACGGCCGCACAGACGCATGCCAACCAATTGCTCTTGCACTGTCAGATTCACAGTATAGACACTTACTGATGAGCTGTAACGAGACACATGTAACCAACAATGTCGAAAGAATGCGCTAACAGTAAGCACTTTTTTTATTGATTCCACCAGCTGATTTTAAGACAACATTTTGTTTTACGCTCTACCAACCGTAGAGCCTTCCCTCTTCCACTTTCCTGTTTCTTTTTTCCCTTTAACCGGAGCGATTGACTTTGGCTTCACTCTGGTCCGGTGGGGCTTAAAGTTTCCACACACCCCACATTTACAAGCTGTTACTGTACTATAAAATGTCATCCTGAAAGACAAGATGCTCTCCAAACCAGGACATGGTGTTTGACTCCAGGGCCTTTCAGTGGGGGAAGCTCTGGAGCTGAAATCCAGAGTGGGCAGGTAGGAAAAAAACATGAGGCTCCTGGGACTCAGGCCAATGCAAAGACTTGATTACAGAAGTAGATAGCCACTTTCATGTCAACCATTTGTTTGTTAACAAAATAGTGTGGTTCCAAAATGTTGATTTAAAGGCCTTATAAAGCCTTTAAATCAACATTTTGGAACCACACTATTTTGGATATGGATAACACATGGTGGTTTGTGTTTAAAAAATACTTCATTAATCCCTGAGGGAAATTCAAGTTTACACTCTGTACAAACAGGACCTGTGGACGTGCATTAATGTAGAGAAGTCAGAGTGGAGCTGCTACGCTGGGAGCACCTCTGCACTAGGAAAGACTGCCCAGGTTGACAGGTCTATATGCTTGCAACTTGTCAATCACAGGTAGTCATGGCAACCTTAAACTCTACTTTTTTTTTTTTGCTGAATGGTAAATGGTCTTAAGCTTCTACAGCGCTTTTCTAGTCTTCTGACTACTCAAAGCGCTTTTACACTGCATGTCACACCTACACATTCACACACTGATGGAAGAGTTTGCTATGTAGTGAGACCATCAGAAGTAACTAATCCCATTCATACGCCGCCGACGAAGCAGCGGGAGCAATTCGTGGTTAAGTGTCTTGCCCAAGGACACATCGAACATGTTGCTGCAGGAGCTGGGGATTGAACCCTCACCAGCCGCCCCGGAAGCTGAAGAATAGATCAATTTGACTGATCAATTTAACTTTGAAAGATCAGACTCAGGTCAATTACCCATCTGCTTTCATAGAGTCATGGTGTTTTTGAGACCGGTGAGCGACCGGTGTGATTTGTAGGATTGTAGAATTTTAGTGTCATATGAATACATGTGCATGAAACAGTCTCCTGCTGTGAGAGGATAAAGTGACTAGCCAAGTCAGGAAGATTCAGAGGAAGTGCACGTGTGAAAAAAGCTTAGGACTTCCTTTGCAACAATGTGCGTCTCCTCCTGCTGGCCAATGGGAAAAAATTCAGTTTTTGTTTTGTTTTGTTATTTTTTTTGGTTGCTTTCATTAGATAGGACAGCTGAAGAGAGACTGGAAATGTTGGGAGGAGAGAGCGGGGGATGAGATGCAGCAAAGGGCCGAGGCCAAATTGGAAGCTATACGGCACTGTGAATAGCACTACAGCCTCCGTATGCAGTGGCACTCCAGCATTGACTAAACCAGCACCTACGCTCACTTCTTTTCTACAATGATGCCTCTGAGTCCAAATTAGGTACAGACTTGTATGAAAGGAAAACTCCTTCTATGCATGGACATGTGCTTTTTCTGCATTATGTAATGTTTTATCATATGGAAAGACGGCATAAGCTGCGTGAAAACATGCGGATCTGATCAGAACCCTGTCCGGTCTCATGTACTTCTAACACTCATCAGTCATCGTCCGAAAAGCCCCCGGTCCAATAACCACTGTATGATTCTGGCTTGATAAAATGTATTTATTGGCAATCAATCAAAATAAGTAATGAATCTGTATGAGGGGAAACACCATATGCTGTTGAAGGAAGGGGGTCGGCATGCACTCATCTGCCCGTTCCTCAAGAGAGCAAAGCGAGGCAATCTGATTCTGATTATTGACCAACACTGACTCTTTGGGCCTAACATTCTGCTGCTCAGTGCACAATGGACTGATTAGTACACATCTGGACACGGAAAAAAAAAAAGAGAAAGCTCATCTTGAGAAGTTTGCTGTAAATCTGCTTACATATTTGGCTGAAGTACTTTTATGGGGTTGTATAGCAAAAAGCTTTTTACTGAAGAGAAAAAGGGCCTTACATCAGTTACTTCATCAAGGTTCTATCAAGGGTTATATATGGCACATGTCTAGTTTTTAGAACTTAATAAAAGCTATGCAGTCAGAAAATGGCTTTAAGCTTCCTCCACTAAGAGAGATATTATTGAAGTATATGTCCAGGCTTTGCTACAAACTGATCATGTAATTCATTTGTTCACAATGTTGATTCATGATCTTGTCAGAGGACCAGCATCTTGACTGTTTTTGTTTCCTGGAAGTGGAAGAAAACATCTGGTCGAAGCATTGCTATCCCAAGGTGCTGGCTGATGGCAAAGGCAGCAGGAGAGAGGGGGAAAAAGAAGAGAGAGACTCCAGTGCAAATGCTTCCTCCTTGGAGAAAAGTGTGTTTGATGAAGAAGAGGGACAAAAAAAGTTTGACCCTCTGCTGCAGACACAAGCAGATCTCCACAGAAGAAAAAAAAAAAAAGCTGCAGAGATCTTGTTTGCAAGCACAAATAAATGAATGTTCTTTATTTACTGCTCTGTTTAGAGTAGCTGGCAGGCTTGTAAAGAGTTTTCATGTCACTTTAACCTAATTTGATTACTCCTTGTTTGGACATATTGACTGTTCACTGTAACTGTCTTTCAGTTTAAGAACCTTTCTGTGCTCCACCTGGGATTACAGACAGGAACTCCTCAGTCTTTCTTGTAGCACCCCTCCACTTCCCTTAAACTGGAAACCATATGGACTCTCTCCTTCTCTCTGTCCCGGCCGAGCTGAGGGAGGCTGTGGATGTCTGGAGGAGGATGCTAGGGGTTGGGGTTGGAGGAAGGGGGAACTTGGGGACCCTACAGAGCTCTGTTTGTTCATGGGTTAATGGGTTAACCTGGATTGGGCAGAGGTGGAAGTGGGTTAAAGCCCGTTTGTTTGGAAAAATCGATGAGAGAGATAAAGAAAAGAAGTGATGTTTTCAAGGGCGACACATGGCGGTGTTGTGTTCATATTTGGTTTCAAAAGAAACAAAGAAGGGTTATATCCAACTATAATCAGTGCCAGAGCCACTGTACTTTATGAGAAAGACTAAAAGAGTTTATACACTTAATGAATCTGTGTTTGTTTAAATCACTTCATATGGATCTGATACAAACTTAAAACCCCTCAAACTACATGGCACGCTGCCTAACCTGGTAAACCACATTCACATTTACATGTTCTCAGAACTGCTCAGAGTACAGGAGCATGGGGGTCTGTGTAATAACTATTTGTGACGATTAAGACCAAGCTGCATATTTTCAAATCTAACTTTTTGCATCATTTTCAATATTTGAAATCCTGGACATTACTTTTTTCCAACTGTATAAGGCTATGGAGGTTTTACTTAAAGGGGTCATATTATGCTTTTTCTGGTTTTATCTGCTCTTTAGTGTGTTTTCCTGTGACCTGTGCATGTTTAGGCACATCTATTTGCAAAAATTAAAAGTCCGCGGAAACGTAGCTTCTCCTACGTCCTCCTGTTAGCTGTAGCATTAGCTGCATGTAACGCTCGGTTCTAACCAATGCTAATGTTTTTGCTCCCCTCAGAGCCAAAGTGGCTGCATTCCAAATATGGTTAAAGGGGCGGGACATTTCCGAGAACAGTGCTGAGTGACTGACCAATTACGGCAGAGCCGCTAGGTCGACCAATCAGATCAGACTTGGCACACGTGGGGACTCTGAACGTGGGCACTTCAGAGCCTTAGAGAGAGAGTCAGAAGCGAGCCGGTGCATGGAGCAGCAGTTCATGAAAACAGACACTTTTTTATAACTTTAGCTATTGTGAACATACTTTAGTAGGTACATAGATTAAATATACGAACCCCAAAAAGGGCAGAATATGACCTCTTTAAAGCTACTATGAGAAACGTTTGAGTTATGTTGATTTTGGCGACCCCTATGGACACAACTAGATCAGTAATCTCGTCGCTGGACATGTGTTAGTGTTTTTCATCACAAACATCTTAATTTTCCAAAATGCATGCACCATTGTTTTGGCATGGCAAAAAACATTAAACATGTTTAATTGCCTTGACTGACACCTATACCCCTCTACCTATAGCCGCTTAATGAGGCTGATTTATTTTTCGGACCCTGGCAGCGGTTTTAGGCAACAATAATAACAATAGAAATAGTCAATTTTGTCTCTGCTGAGCCCCTTTGCTTTTGTGCATCATAAAAGGAAAATGAAAGTGAGCTTATTGGCTATTTTTCAGAAGAGTTGTACATTCCGAAACAATAGAAATTTGCCCTGATACTTGTTGCCTAATGCTAGATAACAGTAGGTCTTTCCAGAACAACAGTGCCTTGAGCTGCAGCACCTGGCAGATTTGCTTGTCAGCAAACAACATGAGCCTGCACCAGCTGATCTTTCTATTTCCTCTGGCATTATTTCAGTCTGTGTGTACTCTTTGCGTATGTGTCAGTCACTTATGTTCGTCTTTGCAAGCAAAGTGGTGCTTCTTTTTTTTTTTTTTTTTTACATGCTTTCTACCCAGCTTCAGACTAATAATAGCTTTTTTGGGGGAGGGGGGGGCTAATAATACAGTAGCCAAGCAGACAAAGGGCATCGATGAACATAAGCCAAACGTCTATGCGTGATGTCACGAGTGTGTAAGTGGTGAAACCCAACACCACCAGCTGGTAGGAGTTGTGTTGGGGTGAATACGGGTCCCCTTGCATCAGTGCAAGTCAAGGCACATAGCAGAAACCACCGCCTGGAGGTAAAAGCCGCGCGGAGCTGTATCTGCACACAGAGAGGAGCAGCAGATCTCTGATTCTGTGAATCCCTTACTTACAGTGCAGGGAAATCTACAACACACCGACGAGTCACTCTACAAATCCAACTGTTTTTTATATGCAACTGTAGCGCGTTTCCTCTTTGGATAGTGAGAGTCCGATCAGTGCGCGCTGCAGAGCGCAGAGGATCCGAGGGGGCAACAAGCAGGAGACATCTCTCCTCCGGACTGGCGATACGATGAGGAAATTCTGAGGTGGCTCAAACTCTTCCCGACCACTTTACGCTTTCCTTTCCTTTTGGCTGCTTGCTGAAGAGTTAGCCCATGTGCAGGCATCCTCGTGAGTGTGATTCTGTTTTCACCCAGATCTCTGCTGCCTGGACAAATGCATACAAATGCATTTAGGAGCTCAACGGACAAGGAGTGGACACGTTTCCGCGGCAGCAACGTAAGTGGCCAAACTTACCTTCGTCTAAAAAAGTTGTCTATTCAAAGTTAGGCGCCAATTTAAAATGTTGCCAGGACATGATTTCATACTGTTTGACTCACATCTATGGCACTTTGGCTTGTTTCCCTGACAGGGGCGCCAATTGACTCATCAAAGTTCCTGCAGCTCAGCACTACAGAGCTCAGTCAGTGTTGACATCACTGAGCACTATTTATTGTTTTATACATCAGGACATGTCTAATTATAACTGTTTTGTTTCTGTCATTTTTACTCTCCATGCAATATCATACAAACTACAGTAAAGCTGTTCAAATGGTCTCTGCTTCCCAGTCAAATCATCATAAATGATCATTTCTCCTTTCCATGGATAGCTACACATGTTTCGATTTTTGAATATTTTACAGGGAACTTTTTTTTTTTTTTTTTTTTTTTAATCCTCGGTTGATCTTGATAAATGTAGCTGACAGCTGAGCAGTTGTGGCTGCACAGGTCTTGGCTTTGAACTCGCCATATGAACATGCAGCCTGGAATCTCCAACATTATAAACTGAATACCATCTGGCCCACTGCTGAACTCCATTTCTTTTTTTTGTATTTATCCTTCACTCACATAGCTATGGGGAATAAACACTTGGGTGCTTTAAAAGAATGGATGAGTGAGATTTGCTTGGAAGCAATGATGCTTAATCACAGCAAGTCATTAAATCATTGTTACTCTGTATTATGATAGAAGCATCAGAGCAACTGTGAGACACTCAAGATGTAACAAATTCATCAATTCTGTCTCTATTGTTTCACCTTTAAATGTACAATATGTATATTTAGTCCCCTTTAGGCCAAACATTCCTCATGGATGTGTTTATTATTGACATCCTGCACGCAGGTTTTGTTGTCCTGTTACATTCAGCTGGGACTGTGGAGCTGCAGAAATGTGCATGCCTCTGTAGACCACTTAACAGGAAATGTATTTTCTTCTATCAGAAGTGAGTCCAAGTTGTCTGTGCTCTATCATGAATCCCTTCAAGATAAGATCTAAAAAAAAAAAAGGACAGAGCTAACAATGCTTCCTGTTGTTTCCTGCTGACAGTGTTTGCTCAACGGAAAACAAAGTGGACCTGAAATCCTGAGAGCTCTCTTTTTTTTTTTGTCTTCGAGTGAAAATGAGAGCCTTATGGGAGAGTTGAGTTGACTGAGAACAAGTGTGGCCTCCCCTTGAATGCATGGGGAGAGTTAGTGTGTATGCATCAGTGGTTCACCGGCTCCTGAGCTCCAGACAATCACCCACTGTTGCAGGAATCACTGCTCCTTTTGCTGCCAGTGGTTTGACTGTATGGCTGCTGAAGAGACTCACATACTGTACATTTGTATGCTGTCTTTTGTAAGTCTATAGTTCCCTAAATACATGAGGAAAGTTTTCAGAAATTGGAGAGATCAATGGTTTGTTAGCCACTTAATGAGGCTGATTTATTTTTCTGACTCTGGCTTAAGTTTGTATTTTGAACCAAGTTATTTTCTGTGGAGTCGTTTTGATATGCCTCTCTGCTTTTGAGATAGTGTGTGTTTTGCTGAGGTAAGCTGAATATAAATGGCATCAGATGAAAGCACCCCATTGGTAATGGGGATGGGCATTTAATGAAAGTTGTACGTTGCAGTTATCAAAAACCTTGACTCAGAATTTCGTCAGTCGCCTCCGATTTGACAACAAACTCCAATAGGCCTATTGTTCCATCAGTTTCATGTTTATGTACGTCCACTGACGGTTGACCGTACAGAAAACATATCCAGCAGACTTCTTTGTTAGTGTTTCACTCCATGTCTGGGGTTTTTACTGTATTATTTACGTGGACAAACATGGGCTAGTTAGCTAAAGTTAGCAATAGCTTGACTTGAAGCCAAGCTAGCTTCCCCAAAGAGTGTTGGAAAAGCTTCATTTCAACTCGCAACTGCTTTAGCCTGTTTTATGTTTGGCTTAAATATCCTAGCCTGTTTATGTCAGAGATGAGTTAACCTAATAAGCTTTGGATACAAATCTCTAAAACAAAGGACACTATAAGAACTCTGAACCTAAAAACAAGCATAGCGAGGTCAAACAAGCAAGCAGCAGGTCAGCTCAGAGCTCTTTCCTGAATCCTGTGTCTCTCGAAAAACAGTGTAAAAAAACTCTGATTTCAAAAATGTAACTTCTGAATTCAGTGTTCAGTGAGCACTGAAGAGTCATTTTGAGAATCTTTAAGTTTACATACTGCAAGACTGTTGCTCCTGCATTGCTCTTAGTACAATAACAAAGACAAAAACAACACTCAGACTGGCAATGCGACATGGATCCTCCTGGATAGTGACTCTACAATATTACATTTGTATTTGACTGACCACATCTGGATGCTTCTTTTCTCTATATCTTGCTGACAGTACATAAAGTCCCAAGACATCAAACTTAGTCATCGCTTTTTATTAGGGCCTGACCGATATAAGATTTGGGGTCGATACCGATTTCGATATTAGGACGAGACAAAAATCAGATACCGGTGTATCGGCCGATATTTTTCTTAGCTCTATGTTCGATCTGTAGAGATAGATAAATATAACTGGAAAGTAACTGCACATCGATGCGCATCACCCCTTGACAGTAATACAGTGATACTTAAATGAAGCTATTTGACTGGTGAATAAATCTAGTAATATCAGCTCATATCTGCGATAAAGTTTGCAGACACCGATAGTCGTTGGATATGTTCATATCGTGCCGATATTATAAGCTGGTAGATTAATCAGTCGGGCTCAACTTTTGAACTTTCATCCCTTGTTTTGTTTTCTATGTATTCTAGTCGAAGAGCCACTTTGGAGGCATCACATTTCGATATTTAACTTTGACTCATTGATTGCAGTTATTAGTTCAAAGAGTAATTACATCAGTTGAATCCTTTCCCAGTGGTATAAAATGAAGGTATACATGTTTTGATTTGGTATTTATTTCTAGGCTTTTTAGCCTTTATTTGCATATACAGTGGATAAAGTAGGAAATCGGGGAGAGAGAGAGTGGGGAAGACAAGCGGAAAATGTGCCACAGGCCGGATTTGAACCCGGGTCGCTGGCTTGAAGGACTACAGCCTCCGCACATGGGGCGCAACTTAACCACTATAGGTTATAAGCTGAACCTCAAAATGGAGATGAAAATTTAAAATCAGTGCAATGAATGTTTTACTAATTGAAATCCAAAGGTGCGGCTTGTTTTCAACTGAATTAGTCACGAAAGATAACAACAGAAAGTTATCTTTGGTACTTAATTATTCATTTCACACACAATTAAAAAAACTTAACTTCAAAGTGTATGATTAAAAAGTCCTTGGCCTGAACACTTCCACTGTTTTATGCCCAATGTAAAAAAATAAATAAATCATAAAAACTGCCAATAGCATGAAGGTGAAAAGAATGGTGTAAACATGTGTGTGAACTGGGCCTTTAATGTTCTCTGATGATCTGTGAACATTAAATGGTTTGATCGTTTCAGGTGATTGGTAACACTTATCTCAACTGTAACCCTTGATTTCTCTTAGAGGAGATGCATGTTGGGATCACATTCTGCCCACCTTCATGCTGCAGTATATCCACCTTCTCTACACCCCGGTGCCTGGCTGAAGGTATTTTGGCCCGTCAGTGTGAGTGACTGCTTCTGACCCTCCTAACATCTGCGGGTTCTCTGCAACAGGAAAAGGGCAAACCAATAAAGACCTGTGGAAGTTTACTCACAGCCCTTTGTCTGCTCGTTGTCTTGTGGACTAAGTCAATCTTTACTCTTGTCTGCAGTGACCTCTTGACTCCAGTCACCCTCCTGAGGGAGCACAAACATGCAGCACGCTCGGCTCTTTGACAAAGAAAAAGCATTCCGAGATACTGATCTTGTATTTAGAGTTACATTTGTATTCGCCAATTCCTTGAGGTGGTTTGCAAAGATAATTTCATACTTGGCCACAGGGGACCGTCTAGCAGGCAATTGAAAGCTGGAGGCTTGTTGACCTCCTCATTTTTTGCTGATGGCCATTTGGATATGAGGGGGAGACACTTAGCGCTTCCATAATGAAGTAATTATAATGAGGACACAGGTGTTACAGCTGAAACACAGCCAGGACTGTAGGAGCAGATATTGGCGGTGGATCAGCTACTTGTTCACATCCAGGAATGTTTTGAAGGAGATGGAGAAGCGAAGCATGCAGAAACGGAACACCTGATTAGCAAGAGAGTCAGATGTTTCCATTGAGAGAACTCACAATGTGTGTGTACGTGGGTGTTTTACTGCGTCTAACCTTGAGGGACCGACTGAATATATTATAAATATTATGATTAATGTCTAATATATTCAATATATATATTTTTTTTTACAAATGGGGCATGTAACAGCGGAGGTTTGACTAACAATCCAAGGTCAAGATCCATAAACCTCAATTTTCTGAAAAACTATGTGGAGTACTTCTCTGAGGTGTTGGGATATTCTGGAGGCAGAAACAGTCTACTCATTGTCATGGATCAGGTCGTTCAAGGTGACTCCCATTGGGTATGTTTCGATTGTCTCACATGTCCTTAAAAAGCAGAGTACCTTTCAGCAGTGGGCTGTCACGATACCAGGATTTTAAACAAAGATATGATTCAAGAGAAAAGTCAAACAATATTAACACCTGTTTCGATCCCATGGCAACAATAAATTTGGAGCCAATATTGGATAATTTCTTGTTTTGAAATGAACAAACATTGCAGACAAACTCCTGAACACTGTCTAAATTGGACAATTGGAATTCTCTTGGGACAGTGACATTGACATCATGGTTGATCAATTTTCACAGGGCTCTGTTTCTTTAGGTTGCGGCAGGTTTTGAGTGAAAATATGACAAAAAAACATTGATAGTTGTTATATCAATTTAAAAAAACGTGCTGTCAAAAAGTATCTAAAATGAGTAAGTATCTAGAATAAGTTTAAACCCTAACAAGGATCAGGATTTGACTCAATTTGTTACCATTCTGTTGTCTATATTGCCCCTAGTGTTAAACATTTCAGGCCTGTTGAGGTAGATTGACAGCTTTGCATGCTTTGTCGCTAATGGATTTGGTAAGTGGCCTGCAAAATGAGACATGGAAAACACAGACAAAGTGGGAAAAGCCACTGTTCACAAAAAGTCGCCCCCTGATTGACATCAATGATGACCCTGAGAAAATAGTTTCCCTTTCCTTATGAGGATTGTAAACAGAACCTAAGTGACTCTGCTCCTAGTTGCCAAACCAAATGGACCGCTCTCCATTCGCCTCTCAGCCTTCTCCTCACTTGAATGAACCATTGTTAGGGATCCAAGCTAATTTTCGAGGGGAGAACTGCGAGATGTGTTTCTGCTGGAATGATTCATTGCAGAGGGGAGTTTTTAAACTTGTGATTATTTATAGTCCTGACATGACACCCACTCCCCACATAGTGGTATTTCCCTTAGTCAACAGAGCAGTGTTTGGGGAGCTTTGTCCTGCCTTCAGCAGTCTTTTCCATTAACTGCAAGGACTGGGAAGCATGTGTGCTGTCACTTAGACTGGGATTTACCACAGGATTTAATAAAGAAACAATGACACTGGCTGCTTTGCATAAAGCATAGACTAGATAAACTCTTTATGAGAAAATGACTCTTAAAAAAAAAAACCTCATAAGATGCTTAAAGTTTACCAAATGATGCTGAAGTTAAGGTGCCAGAAAACATCCACCACTTGTTTTGATGTCATTGTACATGTGCTAATGCAATGACCTGAGTCTCAGAGGTGCCTTAAAATAGCCTGAACAGGGAGACTGTGTGACAGACAGGCAGAAAAAAAGATGTCTGAATCGGCATCAGATGGCCCCACTCGACACTCCAACAGGGAATGTTAAGTGTTATATTTAGTTTTTTTTTCTTTTTTGGTCTACTTTTAAACCCGGCCAACTTTTAAGCAGAACCAGCTACCCATTGGGTTTATAAATGTCAGTTTTTATCCTTTTGCAACAGATGAATCATTGTAATCATACCCCCCCCCCCACCCACCCCCACATCTTTGTTTTCCTCTATTGCCTTTTCCCTGCTCTGGGGATCTGTCAGTGTTCCCGCCTCAGGAATGTCACACCACTTTCTCGATGGGGAACAGGTGACAGAAACTGCTCATCATGTTTCCACTTGGAGTCAATCTTTTCCCTTCTCCCTCTCCTCTCTCTCTTTTCTCATTCTCTGTCTCCCGCTAAAGTCTCCTTCCGGGAAAACAAACATGGCTAACGGGCCTGCAGTGGTCCCTCAAACATGAACACCAGTCTGCCTCGCTGCTGGGTTAAATCTGGTCCTCAAAGGCAATGAAGGAGAGATGTTTGTCTCATCACACTCACATATAACAATCCCTGAAGGCTTAAGGTGTCGCAGCAGCCTGTGATTGATAGTTCTCTTTCTGGCAGTATTACATAACTGCATATTAACATAGCAGTACTACTGTCTCCTCCAGTCTTTCTTTTTTTTTTTTTTTTTGCACCATCACACTGTGTTGAAAATCATCCCAGCAGAAGCCACTTCACATTGTGTCAGCAGCTGTTACTGTGTACAGGGCTGTCCATGTGATTGATTCGGTTCAAAGGTACAGAGTATGCTTTGAAGCTGTACATGATGAATGCTCTGTAAAGTATGTTGCAGGTTAAAGTTGGAGGCGGAATGACGTACAACTACTGTTAGCGGTTGGACTAAAGAAAATCAGTCAATCTAATAATATTCAGTTTGGATGCCGATTTTTTTCCACACACTCAAAGTATTCATAAATCACTTTTTGCAAGTCATGATTGGTTTGATGTTCAAGACATGAAGCAAGAACAGCTTTATCATGCTCCTCTGTATTTGCCAACTATATCCAAACTAACAAATCCATCTAAAGCATTTTCATTGATCTTACATCTTATTTTAGCAACATGTGACCCACTCAATATGCCAAGGGTCAAGTATGGTGTGACATTTATATTGGCACATCTGTGGTTTTAAAACACACCTTTTTTCATGTCTCAATGTTGCATATTATATTTTTTTAGGACAGTCACAAAGGCTGTTGGGACTGTATAACAACATGGTCTGCTACTGTTCTGTAGTTTTAGTGACGCAAATCAAAAATGTCACCTTAAAACGAATAAAGTTAGAAGTTGTAGGGTTACACGGTGGTCTTTGTGATCCCTCTGCATTTGCATCCTTTTACAACTAGAGGTGGGACCGATCCGATCTAATATTGGTATTGGCTCCAACATTGACGTAATTACTAATAGGATATCGGACTGACGGTGCCGATCAACATCACAGATCAAGAAATATGGTCTGGCACTTAAAACATTCTCAGCTCTACAGTGTCACTTTGAAGACATTCAGACTGAACTGTTAGAAGTGTCCTTTAATCGTCTCCATGACGACGTTCAGATGATCCTTCGAAATGATCAAAAGCACAGTTCATACACTTCAGTTTAAAACATTTCATTTGAAAACCTGACAGCTGTTGCTGCTTCCTGTTTGTATGTGAAGCCTGCACAATGCAATGCAATGCTGGGATTACTACAGCTTTGTGTAGCCTCACACATACTACCAACAACAACAATAACATTATTAGTTATGATAATAAAAAAATATCGGAATCTGCATTGGTAACGGTACATATGTATTGGAATTGGATCGGTGCATCTCTATTTACAACTAAACTAAGTTTAAGCTACCAATTGTCAAAGTATCTTTTATTTATGATTGAAGTGGAGATGATTTGTTCTGAATTAAAGACAGATGAGTGCAACATCAGAATAAAAGAACAGTTATGTTAGACTTTGTGATACTGCACATGTAACGCTTTTAAAACTGGTGTTAATAGAATCTGTACATGACAATCCATTCTGAATGAGGAAGTACAATTATCATTTAAAATGATGGTTGCACACTGCTCAGAGTTCCTTTTCCACTTGTTTGACCTTTTACTGATTGCACAAAGTACATGATGAAGTATCAAGCTCCATGGTGGGCAGTGCCATCTAGAGGTGGGGTCAGTGAGGGTCAAAGGATTAAAGTCACATGAATCACAATGAACATTATGATAACAAGGGGAATATATTAGTGGTAAACAGACACGTGTGTTGATGGCCTGACAATCCTGATGTTGTGCTTTCCTTTTGTCTGACTTTGGTTGGTGAGATGATGTAATATATTACAGATACAGCTTTTCTGATCCTGATCATGTCTTACCATGATCTGTTTTCATAAACTACATGATATCTGACATGTGCTGATATTTATCAGAACATGGAAGTTGATCATTATCTTATTAAAAAGACAACAACTCATGGTTAACAAGTCTTTAGAAGAGCTTTGAATGTAACTCACCAGTTAAAGTCAGATGTAACACTTGTCTGTTGTAATCTTAGTTCTTAGGCTTTTTTTCTCTCCTCTTTGCAGCACAAGCTCAAGGGACAAATGCTTGCACAAACAGCATTAAATCGTTTTTTGAGCACCTATGCCTTCGAGACTAAATCTATCATATTCTGCAACAATAAAACATGACAAAAGACTCCCTGCATGACTATATTTTCAGACATTAAAATGTCAGAGTAGTATGCCTTTGTAAACAAAGGAGTCAGGTTCCCTTTTCATGCGCTTTGGTTTCTGTATTGAAATGCTTCAAGAACTTACTTCAATCCAGTGTAATTATAGGACATTTGGACAAATCCATTAAAACAAGAGGGATATTCTGTCTTAACCTTCTGACAAGTGATGCATGAAGACACACAGTCCTTTTATCTCAGCAAATTCAAACTACATTTTGTGTTTGTTGATGCTGAATGGTAAAGAGCTTTACTTAACTCAAGCTCAGACCTGCCATCATGGATTGGATTAAAGAAGAAGATATATTTATGAATCCTGTGAGGGGAAATTCAATTTGACTCTCTGTTGTTGAGACATGCTACACACACACACACACACACACACACACACACACACACACACACACATAGGCTGAATACACACACATGCACAAACAGGATCCTATGGACGTGCACTAATGGAGAGATGTTAGAGTGAGGGGGGCTGCAAAACAGCTGGGAGCACCGGGACTTGAGCCGGCGACCCTCCGGTTCCCGACCCAAGTCCCCTTAGAGTGCTACTGCTGCCGTCTGATTGTGTACGTTTCCTACACCACTTCTGTTCATACGTCATGTAAATGTTGTCGTTGTGTTTGTGTGTCCCTCCAGGTGGAACTTTATCCTGCTCCTGTCAGTATGCTCAGCAGCACTCTCTGCAGAAGGAGAATACCTAGCACAAGGTAACAACAACACACCTCCAACTCATTAACTCAAACATGCACATCTTAGTTACTCTTCATTATAAGACCTTTCTTTCTATATTCAACTGCATGTATGTGGATATTTCATTCTGGGAAAGAGTATAGGTGTCAGATCTGGTATTAGCAAGAAACTGAATTGGAGAAGTACTTATAATGTTCAGGGAAGCGCTCCATATTGTGAGGCTTAGAATAGAATAGAATAGATGTTTGTTGCCATTTGCACAGGTACAGGACAGTACAGGTACACTGGAATTTTTGTGCGTTTCTCCCTGAGTCAGCTTCTACAAAAAAGTTTAAATTATATATGAAATAGAATAACATTATAAAAAAAAAGAGTAGAAAAGTACAAATAAAAAAAATTATAATAAGTTGTAGTAACAGCTAAGTAAATTAAAATAAACTGTACAGAAGCTATACAGTGTATTAAAGCAAATATATAATACAAAAGAAAATAACAAAGGGGAACACTGTACAATAAAATGAAAATATAAATGTTTTCTTGTCTCTACTCACTTTTGCAGCATTACTTAAAATGGTCAGTCCAGAATCTAAAGTTCAAAACTTTGAGAAAAGCAATTCAAAGGTGATTTTTTTTTTATAGTTTTGTGGAAAGTATAGATGTGGACAGTGGCTGCAAACAAGTCTTTATCTCTCTTTGCTCGTCTCCTCATTTTTTAACCTTCTCCTGCAACATGTCTGCTCTTGCACCCGAGGCCACAGCAGGCAGGAATAAGCAGCAAAAAAATAGCCTCTGTCTCAAGCGTCATTGCTTACCTCTGTCTTACCCGTCTTTTCCCCCTCTCAGTGCTCTCAGCGCTCTGATTATGTCACATGTAAGCATAATGTGAAGTACACGCTTAACACAGCACTCTAGGAAAGAGGAAGAGGACGTCTTAGTCAAATTCTTAAATAGGTATTGACAACTGTGGCTCAGTTGGCCAGAGACTGGTGATACGGTGATATCCACCCGGTTTCTTGGCGCAAACTCGCATAACTTAAAAATGTAAGAGGTGTTGAAGTCGAGGAGATCAGAGATAAGTAGTTGATAATGGATAGCAGAGGAGCTTTATTTCACTGGGGCTTTTCTGAGTCAGCAGGAATTAGTTGAATCTATTCCTCCAGATATGACTTCCTAGAAAGAACTCGCCTTACTCAGCAAGAAAGAACGCTGTCAAAAATGATCGAAAGAAATCTGTGATTAGGTTTGAATCAGTAGGCTGCTCTCTCTGTGTTAAGTAGGAGGATATTTTATAAATGACATAGCACTGCACTGCTGCCAGAAGTATAACATAGTGTCAGCATATTAAGTTTAAAGTTGGCGTCATGATGAACTGAACTTCCCGCAAGTGTTCAAATCTTAAAGTGTGCGTATTCTACTGACCTGTTCACAGCGTCCATTGTCCTCCTTATTTACATATATCCTCCCTCCACATATCTGTAGTTGAGGGAGGGGGGGGGGGGGGGGGGAATGCACACTGAGTTCTAGAGCAGCTTGTCTTCATATATGAGACAGGTTAATTGAAATCTGTGCTGACATTACCTCAGGCTAAAAATGTCAAGGTACATCTCAGTGCATGCTGAGATCAGCACATACAGATAGCTGAGACATAGGACTAAAACCCCTTTACAAAACCACACCCAGGAGGATCTACTGTATGTATTATTTCTGTTAACACACTTCTCTCTTGGCTCTAACTTACACTCACTCCTCTTGGCTCTGAAGGTACCACTCCCCTATACCAGCTGAGTAGATTACCTTTTGAGTTACCTGTCTCTTCTGTATTATTACATTACACTCTTGGATGAAGTGAAGTGTATAAACTTGCTCTTTAAAGTTGCTTGTCTGTGAAGTCTTTACCTGATTTAATGCCATGTCATACTACTACACTGACAGTCTCATATTGTCATTGGACCCCTATTTAAAAAAAATAAAACAATAAAAAAATGGTACAGCGATGGACCCTTGATCATTTTGGAACTTATATGTATCCTTTGAACCCAGAAAAGATACATGTGCAAGGTACAAGTGACATATGGATCAACTAATATCCTTGGGGGGTACATTACCAGCAGTTGTACCTTAGAGAACAAAAAGGACCTCAACTGTTTTCTTTTTTCTGACAGTGTAGAAATCCTCTTCTTTAGACGCTTACTATGATTTCATTGGGTTAAATTGGGAGTAAGAGGCAGCTTTGAAAGCATCATCTGACTACCCATCTTGATAACCTTGCACAAATCTTGTCAATTTGATTGTTTTTTTGCCATTGCATTATTCAAATCATGCATTATGAGTAATACCCTATAACCTATCCCCACTTTTAGAGTTGGATTTGTCGACGCACATGTCACTTTCAAAGGAAGGCGTTGTCTCTGGATTAAAATTACCTCAAATTTCCCCAGAACTTAGATCTCACACACGCATGCACTCAAATACACACAGGCTGTGAAGACTAGCCTGCTCTTAGTATTTGTTATTGCTCCCAGGACGCTTTCAGATACTCAGACTTTTTTTTTTTTAAATCTGTGCATCTCTTTCCTCATGGACACACATGTCTGGTCAGCTTCTAAAACGACTGACCTGATTGGATTTAACATGTTTAAAATTGCAGAATGTGTCAGCTGGCCTAATTTGTCTTTTGTCATATTTAAGAGGTAGTTTTGATTGTTTTCTGTTACCATCTGCAGCGACTGTCCTGCGGTGCCTGCTGTGAAGAATAACTTGTGGGCGTTGGAAAAGTATTACAGTACCTTTTTTGAGTAAAGCTGCTCCAGTGAATCTTGTTGGCAGATTGATTCAAAAGGCCTTTGTGAACAGGTTTCCTGTATCCTAGTTTGGCCCCATCCTTTTTCTCTAGTCTCCTCACTCATCTGGGCCACAGCTGTCTCTCCGGTACAAACTCCAAGAGAAAAACAAAGACTATCAACACCATCATGGGGAGACAGAATAATATTTGACCACTGACTTTTTCTGTAAACACGAGGATGTGAAGATTATGTAACGGACCACATGTTTTGGCCATTAAGAGCAATGACACATCTTTCCTGAATAAAATTAGTCATGTGAGAGGATTGAATCATTGTTAACACTGTGCAGGGAGCTGCAGAAAGCACCTTGAAATACCTCATGCACCGTATGGTGGTCTTTAGTGACTGTGTCAGCAAAATCACAGTTACACATTTAAGGCAATTAAAGGAGAAGCATATACCCACAGAATATGTATTAAGGCTGGGTATTAAGAACTTCACAATTTAATGCAATTTAGATTCTTTGTTTGTTTTGATATTTTTATCAATAGGCTTCAATATCAATTCAGTAATATGCATAGATGTCAGAAATAACCAAAATAATTTATTACAGTACCGTCTGATATTTGTTAAATAATAATGTGTGCATTATTATTATTGATTTAGAACAAACTGACTCTAACATGTGTTTTACAGACATTGTTTAGTCAAGTGGAGCCTCTTGTGAAATGCAAATTACAATATGGCGGCACCCACAGTGCCCCCACTGGACTGAGGCTCCATCACAACGGAAATAATCCTAATCAGGATTTTCTGAATCAATATTGATTTGGCAAAATATATTTCAATGCATTGATGAATTGATTTTGTTTTTACTCATCCCAACAATATTAATGAAAATAATCTTTTGAATTTCACACAGAACACTTGCTTTCATCGAATATGAATTCAAAGACAGTTCCTATGAATCACATTTATTGCTCTTATGACTACAAGATAATCAAGTGTTGTCTAAAATTCTTCTTAGAGAACCAGAATATTACATTTTCATTTTAAATTCTAGACGTGGCCGTAAGATCAATCTAATTTGATGATTTTTTTTTTGCAAACACCCTTAATTTCAGTTTGTAGCTTTTTTCATTTCCTTTATTTATCAGGTAGTTTTAAATGTAGTTTTACATTTTTTTTTACAGAAAATGCACTAAGAGAGAGACAGAGAAAACTGAAGAAGTTGAAGCTTCCTAGTCGCACTTTAACTTGGCCTTTATCGGGCATAAAGTTTAAAACTGTTCAGCCTACTGGACCTTCTTACTACCTGTCTCATGATGCACCATCATTCATTATTTCAGTACAAGGCGCTGTGCAGTTTACAGACTCACTGTGAGTTCAAACTTTAGTCACAGTAAATACTGCCTTACTACATTTTAATTCCAAAACAGCCTCAGATATTGTGATAGTGACTCCATGTATTAAGACTATCTAGACTGAGGTGAGCAGCTTAGACCACTGGGCCTGTTTTTATGTGGGTTTTTTTTTCAGGACCTACTTAGCCAAAGCCTTGCTCTGTGATATCTTGTGACCCTTACCTTTGTCTCTTCTTTTCTGCAGGAGTGGATATCCTCTCTCGATTGGGGCTTACTGCTCAAAGCGGGACAGACTATCAAGACAAGAGGACAAGCTCACCCTCGCCTGCTCACACCACAGCTCACTCCCCTTTGAATCCTGCTGTTTCTGGATATGGGGTATTACTCGACTCAAACTCCCTCTATGAGGCTCCTGCAGGCGGTCTTTTCCCGCCTGAGATTGGGGAGGAATTTTCTGTTGTGGTTAGCTTGAGCTCCTGGCGAGCAAACAATGCTTTTCTTTTTAGTGTCAAAGATGGAAGGGACAGGCTGCGCTTTGGAATTCAGCTGCTGCCACGCAGAGTGGTGGTGTACACTGCAGAACAGGCCCCCGTCTACTTCAACTACAATTGGCAGGACGGGCGTCAGCACCCTTTTGCTGTTGGCGTTCGTGCACGCTCAGTGTCTTTCTTTGCAGAATGCGGGGCGGTGCAGCAGCGGGAGCAAACCCTGGGGCGGTCTCAGACCCTGGGGGAGTCTGGGGGTGTTTTCACTCTGGGTAGGATGAACTCCAGAGCGGCGCCATTCTACGGTCGAGTCTGCCAACTAGATATCTACCCCTCAGCTCAAGCTGCTGCCCACTTCTGCAGCTACCTTAGAACACAGTGCCGGCAGGCCGACACTTACCGGTTGCCTTTACCACATCCTGGTTTGGATATTGAGGCAAATGACCCCCCTTCTGACCCATTGACAAAGTCCCCTGTTGGAGTAGCAGCTACCCATCATACCCCTATAAAAGCCACAACAACTTTCAAAGAGTCCCCGGGCAGTTCAATCAAACAGTTTTCCACTCCGAGCCCATCACTACAACTTCATTTGGGGGACCAGAGCCACATTTCCACATTGGATACCCTCGCCCACTCCACCACATCCTCGACCCAGCCCGACAACCCCGCCTTAAGCACCCTGAGTGGGGCAGCAGATCGGGATCTCAGCTATAGCACAACTATCACCACTATCCCTGCTTTCAAAAATAATCTGGCAAAAGAGAGAAGCCCCCAGGGAGATACTGATCACTCTGAAAACAGCACGGAGGAAGACAGCGTCTCTGAGAGCCTAGACTCTCCCGGGACTACCCTGCCAGGCCTGATTTCCCCAGTCAGGCAAAGCCTATTGAAGGAAGGACTCAGGAACAACTCCGTCACCAGCTCCGGAGAGTCTCGCTTGGAGCCCCAAAAGACTCATCAGCTCCTGGAGACTCCTTTCAGAGCCAATGGGACCACTTTGTACCGGGAGAATCAGGTGGACAGCTCAGAACATCACAACCTGGACGGCAGCTACGATGACGCAGACTTGGCAGGATATGATTATGGATACGAGGACCCGGACTACTTCTATGACTATGAAGGTGGTTTCCCTGGCCCAAAAGGAGAGCCAGGTCCTCTGGTAAGTCACTGAATTTATGAATGACAAAGCAGAGTTGTGATTGGTAATGGAACAGTCCAGACACAAGTCAGCACATTGCTGTACATGATCCCAATGACAATATCAAACAAGTCAATCAAATTTATGGCCACCCTTTGTTACGCACACCCATGAATATAGGAAAAAAAATGTTCTGGCAATGCAGTGCAGTGATTTAAAAGGCCATGGCATTTCCAAGCACTGTTGGTTTGTCATGTATCTACAAGTTGTTTAAAACAACACGCCATTCTCTTCCTGAAACACTGCCAGCGACTTTTTCCGCTCGTGAGGAAAGTCACCTCGAGGTTGGAGGTATACCTTGGCAAGAAAAGTTAGCTGTCCGCTTCCAGCTTTATGATGTCAGCAGGCTGTCAGGATAGCTCTGCCTCTGAACATGCTTCTATAGCACAGATTCCCATGTATTGCTTGCGTTTCCCAGAGAGAGACGTGACAAGTCTTCCTACCTGATTTACACTCAGGAGTCGATGAGATGATGACAGATACCTTGACTCATCCTCAAGTTTCCATAGTACAGCCTCAGCTATAAAAAATCCCTGCAGATTTGTACATGCTGCACAGCTCTAACAGCACAGAGTTGCTGTGACAGATATTGACATCTCAAACTGAATGAACAAACTGTACTGTAGTATTATGCGCATTATCCAGTCTAACAGCGTATCCTAAAAGCACTGGAGCGTTAGATATAGTGTTGATTGCGCAGCTTCAGATGCTCGCTGCACACACTGCATCCGTTATGTATTTACTTCTCGGCTCTTTGAACTTCAATTTCCACTTGTATGACATCTAGTGCTTTTATTTTGAAGGTGGACAAATTAATTGTTGTGCTTTGTCTCAAGCCCCTTATTGTCTTATGTGTGCATGTGCCTCACTGCAGGTGTAGCCACTTAAAGGAAACACTTAGCAGCACATCCGACCCCGGAAGCAGTCTGTATGTGTGGTCACAGCCTTATCAGGGACAAGATGTTGCTGATCGTGGAAATACACTCCAAAAGTCTGCCTAGCATGATTCAGGGTCGGCCTTGAGCATCACGCCTGTGACAGTGTATTTTCATTATGTGCTTCTTTTCATATTAAAGGCAGGGGACACACTGGCTCTACATGTACAGCAGTCAGTCCTGGGCTGCACTAAAGTGATATGAGACAGACTTTCTTTGGTGATTAGGATCACAGGACACGCTCACACTGAAGTTCAACACATGGTAACGTTACCCAGTAGCAGCGCAAAGGGGACGTGGTCCAGAGCAGCAGGTTTGGCAACAGGGAGTCAGTCTGTATTAATTATCAGAAGGGGAAATGCAGAAGGCAGGTCGGAACCAGGCGGAGAGTCAGAAAGCCAGCCTGAGACACCGAACACATGAGATCAACAGCTTAGTGTACAGATAGACTCACACTGAAAGATCAGCGCTTAGAAACAGCACTGAAAATGAGTTTGTAAAAACTGTTCGTTTTAGGGATCCTTTTAAATATGCTGTTTTTGATATAACATGTGCTTTTGTGTTGTGCTCATTAAGATCTCATCTAAACATTTTTCTGTCATTCAAACAAATTCGGGCTAAGGCCCATTAATACAGTTAATGAGACGGGCTGGGGAGAACGTGCACGTGCTCAGGTCGGTTTGGACTGGATTACTTTGGGCCAGATCTATGCTCTAATTAGGATAAGGAACGAGGCGCAAACAAGTAGTATGATGCATAAAATAGTAGTAGTAATATAAAAATCTGGGCGTTTTGAAGGGCATCCTAGTTTACGAAATACACATGTTGTTAACAACAACACATTCAACTCACCTGCTGTGTGTGTGTGTGTGTGTGTGTGTGTGTGTGTGTGGCGTGGAAGCAGGAGAGCTCATTGAAGTCGTTTTTAACTAAAGATCTCAAATAAGCCTTAGAATAAACATCACAATTAAACACTACAAGTAGTGTTTTTTTTATGTCTCTGCTTTGACCATGTATAAATGATTACCAGGGCAACAGGTTTCACTGTATAGTCTAAACACTGACTTTGTGGTCTTCATCTGTGCCTGGTATAGTTGACCAGCTCCCCCTTCTTTAGTTCACTTTAACACAATTTGTTGTAGTTTCTTGTAATTTACTTTTATTCCTGTATGTTTGAAAGCTAGGATTGTGTGTCTGAGAAAAGCAACTCTTGTATCCTCTATACGTCCTGCATATGTCAGCGTTGACAATAAAGTCGCCTTGACTTCAAGAGAAAGGTGGAAGGATGTGTTGACTTGAGTCAGTCATCACCTCCTTAATGCATTTCCACTCTTGGTAATGTCCCAGTCGTGTGGTCTGTTATTAAGTTAACCACAGCAGACAGACTACTTTTTGGCTGCATGTTGGTTCACAATCAAGGGGGAATTTTGAAGCAGCTCAAACTAACGTTACACAATGCAATGACTCAGTCCGCCCCTCAGCTTTGCCTGAATTTGACTTCTTGAATTGACTCCACGGGGGGAAAGATTTGACCCTTGTCCTGGCAGCGCAGGAAAAGTTTGTGAATATCATCATTCTGCTGCATGATGAATGCCTCGTCTTCTTCAGGCCCTGATGTTGTTGTGGGGAAGGCGGTGGTTGTGCTCACAGTTTCCATGTGTCTGTGTGTGGGAGTCCAGAGGAACAAACAGCTGTTCCTCTATTCATGTGTCTCTCTCTGTGTGAATCTCCGCTGCTGAAGATGCTCAAGGGCATTCCCCTTGTAACCTTTTGTCGTAGCAACTATTCTGAATAGTAAATAAAATACTCACAATGCCTGAGTTTCCTTCACTGAAATTAAAAATTAATGATAATGTATGAAATAAATTGATACATTTACAACGATTATTTATTACAATTCGCCCATATGTCTCACAGGTTGCACGATCGAGTACATGACATTCTGGTCAGAAACGTAGAATCAGAATGATCTACATGAATCTGTATCACTTGTGTACATGTCATTAACGAGGCTCGTCCACAAGCGGATCACAAAGAACCGCGAGCAACATTTCAAGACAAGAATTTCAAGAATTTTTCACTTACTGCTGCTAAGTGTTGTCAATAGATTCCAACACAAGCTGGTTTGAGGAAAGGGAGGAGAACCTTTTAAATATTGTGTTTTTTTTTGTATTAAGGGGAGGATGAGATGTTCCTCTAGGGTCTGATGAATATGTTTCCAGTAGTTGTTTAGGACAGTACTTCTACTTAGTGATAGTTGTGTCTATAAAAATCACAATTTCACCTAATTCTTCTAATTTTCTCTCAATTCAAAAATGTATATTGTGATTGTAATCATGACAGTTCAAGTATCATGGTCAGTCTGTTATCAGCACTCTTGAATGTACAAGAGCATGATATTCATTATAAAAGGCTCATGGTGTCAGTCTCATTATGTTACTTGACCCTTCTGCTCAGTGCCTTCTCAAAATATAATTTTTTTTAAACACTTGCTTCTTAATTCATCATAGCTCTGAGGTAAATGTAGCACAGACTCATCATTGCAGAAGCCGGGACAGTGAACTGCATGTTATTGCTTGCCATTAACTCTCTCTCTCTCTCTCTCTCTCTCTCTCTCTTTTCCCCTTATCCCTCTTGACAACATTCCCGTCTTTCCTTCCCCGTTCCTCTGTCTCTCTGATTTAGGGTCCTCCTGGTCCCCCTGGTTTACCTGGTCCCCCAGGAAAAAGAGGCTCTCGGGTGAGTAATCTTTGCAGCGGGGATGGTACAGAGGCAGCGTGGTCTTCATCATTACACTGGAGCATTTTTAGCCATCTCACTGTATATACTGTAACAGTGGAATAGGATAACGCATATGATGTATTTTAAACTAACAGCTAACATTTGTCTTTTTATGCCCTTGATGCATTCAAAAAATTAAGTTTGTAGTCTGATACCAGATAATTATGTTATCAAAATTCTAAAGGACAATCAAAGTTGCACAAGAGAGAGAGAGTTAGAAGAGGAAAAAGACAACGCTGCTTTGTTTAGGCTGAGAATAACGACGTGGCCTCGCTTGTGAGGTGATTACTAAGTCATTATAAAGACATTACGGTCCGTTTTTTATGGCTCTGAAAAGGCAGTAAGCGTGCTAATCAGCAGCGCCAACACATCTCATAACTATTATCCATCTTTAGTTATGACAGTCAGCAGTCACTTGACATGTGCTTTGCCTGTATTTCCAATCTCAATCCAGCTGCAGCCGTCAGGAGAAAGGTATAAACAGACGTGTTTGTGGTTATCTTGATTAAATTCAGGAAACAGGCCTTGCTTTGTAAAGTCTCTCGACAATCAGATTCTTAGCTTTCGAGGATGCGGGGACGCACTGTTTACTCGTCCGCACCTTTGAAGCATCGAGATTGCGTGATCATGCCGTTCCAGATACGACCAGCTGCAACCAGCAGCCATGTCAGCGGCAGAAGAGGCGGCAGTCGTACTCTGATCTCTGAAAGTGTACTTTATACAACTGCCAAGACTGTCATGATGCAATGCTGTGATAATGCCACAAAGCCTGGAGGCATCTTTACACAGAAGACACATTTTCCTAAACGGATCTGGTATTTGTTAGGGGGAAGGTATATAGAAAGTCGAGTCTCGGTCTTTGTAGAAGCTCTACCCTGCAGAGGAAACATCTTTGGCTGCATCATGGCTAATTCAACTCAGGGAAGGTAAATATCTGGAGTGCATTAAAATAGGATTAAATAGATTTAATGCTTGATTACTCAAAGACAGCTTTGTACACCGGCTTTTTTTACTCCCATCAGATAATGACTCTCGGATGTCTAAAAATGGCTTGTAACAAGTAATTGCTTACTAAAAATGTGTTTATGTGGATAAGTACATGTTTGTTTGCATAGTTTATTGTATAGATGTTTCTTCTTGTGTGGCTGTCTGTGTGTGAATTAACAGCGTATAACTCTTAAGCTCTTACATGAACTCCTGCCATTTGCTAGATCTTTTCAGGACATTCAGGCCCACACAATTTCTCAGTCAGACACGCTCGAAAAACATGAAAAACTCAAGACTGTTTGGGTAGGTGAGGAGAGGGTGCCTTGGTAGAGCATACAGGTTTAAGTCGAGAAAGAGACTAAAGTGATGTTGACTTTGTCTGGGTTAATATCACAGCAACACGTCTATGGGCTTTTTCAAGACAAACACAACATAGGAAAATGTTGTACTAACAACTAAGGTGCACTGTTAAGAGTATGGAGCTGGTATAACTCAAAGTGAACTGTGGCATCACCCTGACCTCTCGTTCACGGTGAATGTTCCTGACTATTTGGTGCTGCGTTCACAAATTGCAAAATTGGCTCAGCTCAGCTTCATGCAGACTTAATACGAGAGGGCTGGCAGGAAAACGTGCATAACATTGGGGTGATTGGGCCTGAACAGATATGGCCAATTGGTACCCCATCCAGACAATGACAGTCCTTTAATAAGTCAATACAAAGGACTGTTGTGATAGGGGCATGTTCTTAAAGAGACCTGACAGACAATCAAAGAGGATTCAGGAAGTCGGGATAAAAAGCGGTGCCAGGTCCAACGTTTCAGCGACTAAACCAGCTGTATTGACAGACTGTTCAAATGAAAGAGCTGGGTTTTTTTTTTTTCTCGCAGCCTGCTTATTTTTAACAGCGAGCAAAGCAGACAGGCTATATGGCAAGCAGACAGGAAGACATGATGGTGGACAATAAGTCATGTATCCCAGTAAATGCCAAGGAAAGCACAAAGCTGATAAAGAGCATACTGTTACCCCATAGGCTCAAGTCATAAAGTGGAGACAGAGGGAGGCTTGGAATCATTATGTGGTGGGAAGCGGAGGGGCTGTGTGCGGCACTGTGGTTGTGTCTCTGCAGCCTCAGCAAAGAGCTACAGACTGATTCAGCTGTCTTTAATTGATAATGTTATCAGACACACACCAACCCAAAGGGCACACCATTTCGTCTGGGCTTTTATCATGGAAAATACTCATTCACTTTGATGGGTTCTTTATAGCAGTGGTTCCTAACTTTTTTTTCCTTCGAGTTCCCTCTCTCCCTAATTTAATCTTAGAAAAGCTGAGCCTCCCATGACCCACTGGAAAAAGATGTTACTTAGCTGTCTTTTTTTTTCTTTTTTCTTTTTTCATTGATAAATGTCTCTTCAGGTCTAAACTTTTTTCCTTTGCTATCCCAACAGAGTAGGACTTCACACTTTTGTTTTTAGCAAAATACCAAACTATCCAGTAAGTGTTGCGATGATTTTAGTCAATTTGTGCAAATGTTATTTTGACAACCCCAGAGAAGACAAAGCCTTACGCTCCCCCCGAGATCTTTGGGGACGTCCCAGGTTGGAAACCAATGCTTCTTTTTGGTGAACAATGTCTGAATGTAACAGTTAAAGGTTTGAGGTGGTGTAAAACGCTACCTCTTTTCACCATTCAGCATTTCCTTGTCAAAATAAACAATTTCTTTGGAGGAAGCTAAGCAAAAACCAAACAAATTGGAGGTCTGAGGAATTCTGTCTCAGAGTACTGACATCGAAAGTGACAGTAAAAGAAAGTGAGAAAGAGAGATTGAGATCCTCTGTTCTGGTTTGTAGTGCAGAGAAAACTATCCTGCAAGCAGCAGGAGCACAAATGTGCAGGAATGTAGTGTATTAATAGAGTGTGTGTGTGTGTGTGTGTGTGTGTGTGTGTGTGTGTGTGTGTGTGTGTGTGTGTGTGTGTGTGTGTGTGTGCACACCCAATTGTAGAAGTGTGCCCGTGTGGTTGTACATTCATGACATGCCCGTGATGTTGAAGGAATGAACTAACCTTGATGTGCTGAGAACATCTGAATACATTTTATCATAAGCATTTATGTAGAAAGCATTTGGTTATTTGAGTAACCCTGTTTTTCTGCCATTGAAGTAAACTATTTGACTTTGGGGACGCACCCCCTGGCATGACTACCCCTGCCAGCATGTCTAACAGAGGATAGGCCAGCCCCACTGTTTAAACACCATTGGCTCCAAACTTGACATTCTCAATTGTATTTCTTTAATGTACTCAGTGACACATAAGAGCAGGACGGATGTTGTGGAATACCTTGCAAAGTTCTGAGTGATCTGCGCTTATTCTTTAACCAAATGTGTCTCTTTAGACCATATTTAACGCTCACAAAATTGACTTCACTTCTTGTATATGCATGATAAAGAGGACTGTGCACCTCTGACACTAAGGCCCTGCACAACACTAGTGGCAAGGGTTGGCTGTGTAGACGTTGCTAGTTTTGTCATCTATACCCTGCCTAACCAATGTTGGGCTGCCAGAATTCAAGTTGTTGTGCGTAATTCTGATTCAATGCAAAGCTTTTGTTATGCAAAGTAACACTAATATTACATCACAGTCTTTCTTTGCATACACCAACATAAAGTCCAGTCTTTATGTTGCTCAAAAAGATCCTCTAAGTAGATTCCCAATTACATTCAGCTTTCTTTGCTAATGTCCAAGACATGTGGATTCTGTGATGCCAGGCTAAGTCGCAGGAGAGTTGTGAGCATTGCTGTCTAGAGCTTGTGTGCTGGCTCTGGGATGCCAACTTTTCCTCTTAGCATGTCAGCTCATAGTAACAATTTGGCAACCCTAACCTGGCTAAGGATTGTACCATTACTAACTATGTCTTTGTTCAATCAAATGTTTCATTGTTTAATCGTAAATCTTCAGCGTTGCTCACCCCACCCTTAGGGGATAATTGCTGCCATATAACGTTAAGTAGGACTGGAGCTATGAGGCTAAGCATGGGGAACATGAACAGCAGCATGCATAATTGGGATGAGCTATATGTCACTTCCTAGCATCATCCCAAATTACACGAGAAACCGCCCCCCTTTTTTTTCATTGCTTCCAGACTAGGGGAATCATTCTATGGGCTGGAGCATCAACTCTTTCTATGTAAACTTCTGTAATGATAAACGGATAACGACAGCAGCAACGTTGTGCTCCACATGTTCTGGCTCTGAGCCTGGGTGTGATGTTACAGAGCCAGTGAGAGCTCGCATAGTTCATGATGATTAAGAATGCTACACATGTACAATGATCGAGTTTAGAATCAAACTAAGGCATTAAGCTGCTCAAGAGCAACAATTTCCTTTCAGAGATATCTAATTTGCATCTACTTAATGTCTTTACAGATTCTTACTAGAAATGATGCTGTCTTAATTTAAATCATACTAAATAATGAGCTTTTGTTGTCATCTGTTTCAGGGTCCTACTGGTCCACATGGAAACCCAGGACAGCCTGGACCGCCTGGGCCCAAGGTGAGTGGCCTTTTCAAATGTTCAGGAGACTCAAACAGCTCCCTGAGAGTGCTGGACAGGGATCTTGTTACAAGAAACAGCACCTTTGAGCCAAAGACACAGACCAGGGTCTATCATTGTCTGCTCCCTCACATTTTACCTTCAGTCAGTGGCAGGAACATGAACGGGGTAGAAATTGCAATCTACTGACAAATGATGAAATTCTTGATTATGGTTTAGATTTGTCTGATAAAGGTTTCCACTGCGAGTAATGCAAACATCCATAAGTAACACAGCAACTTATTGGCGACAAAGTAGACCTTGATAAGGACTACGGATAATTACCGTAAAATCTGGAATGTAAGTCTGCTTTGAAGTCCGCCCCTCAAAACAGACTGCGTATATAAGACACAGTCTGTTTCGAGGGGTTTCCCAGAAGAGAAAAAATGTTTAGACTGTCCACATGTGTGACGACGTCTATTGTGTTCAGCGAGGTCCACAACGTACAGTTTCTGTTCAGGTGTGTTGATCTTTTAGTACCGTTGTTTCGGCTTTGTAGGGTTTGCACTCCTACTAGCTACAGTCAGTAGTTGAGCTCTCAGTCTATGGTCAAAGTTCTGAAGTACCAACAGCCTGCGAGTAGCGCTGCCCGACACCACTGGTCACTTGTTTTATATAGGAGTCATTCAATCAAAAGCACTACACAAGGCTTATTTATGGAACGATGTACCACTGTTTGTTTTAAATACATGATTATGACCTCACAAGGGAGAAAGGATGATAGAAAGTTGCACAGCGAGCCTGGTCTGTGTCGCTCTGTATCCCCACAGCTTGCAATCAGCTTGCAATACACAATGAATGGGGAGGAGTTTTCAGTCGCGTCAAGTCGCATGCAGAGTCTGATGGTGGCAGCTGGACTTGTGGTAATGAAGGAGCATGTGTCTGCATTTAAAACCATTTCTGCTTAATCACTCTTAATAGCTACATAAACAAACATCAATTTACTTAAATCCACATTACATAACACCCGATAAGGAAAAGACGGAAAAAGGTGCAGCAGCAAAACTGTTGTCATGGGCACATCAGCAGAAAAAAATAATCTGATCATGTCTAGTTATAGTTTCTGTGCTACTGTGCTACATGAATATGGTTAGACATTAATAGCCAAACAGCTTTGAATGAGTCAATCATTGTTAAGCTTTTTTGTAAACGACTGGTGCCAAGCCAATGAGCCAAAACAAGCGCAACTGCAATGTCCTCCTTCAGCAAATGCTTTGCTAAATATAAGTCTCTGAGAATACTTTCTTGCAGTTAGGACATGTTAAGGGTTCGTGCTCGGTCAGAAGATGACTTCACCAGTATCAATATCCTGCACACTCGATGACATGCCTCATCAAGTCACAGGGAAAGAAAATAAACGAGACTGAATCTTTTTTTTTATTAGTTAGAAAGTTCCCTTAGGGCACATAAGAAGTGTTTATTCAAGCATAAAATGATTGACGAGCCTTGTGGGTAACCAAGATGTCATAAAGAGAAAAAAAAGATCTATCCTTGAGAAGCGTATCACAAAACTGACAAATAAAATGTATTTTTAAAGGAAATTACATATAAATGTTTTCATAATGTTAAATAGTTGTAGTTGATATTCATAATAGAGTAGAATTTAACAATCATTGTATAATGTTCATATCTCACAGGCTCTTTTTTATATTTCACCATGGTGGTGCTATAGGTAGAGACTGAAGCTTTTAATTCCCTTGGACTATTGTCACATATTTGCAAGAAAGGCAAGAAATTATTTTTTTTTTGTTATTTATTTATTTCTTTAAACAATCCTATGTGTCCAAATCTTATGGTAATGCACTCTTTAATATAGTAGTCTACATATAATCTACTCAAATTAAATTAGAGTTAAACTTCTCATACACTGGATTTTGTAAAGTAACAAATCAGAACAATACCAGTAACACTGAAACCTTAAAAATTCCATTCAAGCTACAACTCTCCTCTTCTTTTTTTAAGAACAGAGTGTTCATTCTAATAGACTCAAATGACTGAAATCTCAAGGATCTGTAGCAACCGTCCTGGGCCCAGGTCCCATTGGTGTAGTGAGTTAGGGCGCATTCACACAAGGCAATCCGTACCACGCCTAAGCACACGTCACCCCTAAAGTCCAGTTTGCTTGACTTAATGTGAGTACTCCGATCCGTGCTCAAGCATGGTACACTTGGTATGGGCCCTGGCACGCTTGGAAGAGGTGTGCGTCAGCCCGGTTTGTCCTAGAGCAGTGTGAGGCTAAAGCACGGTACAGGACAACTTTGCCTGGTGTGAGTGCGCCCTTAGCGGCATTTTGAAATGTTTGAATAGGCAACAATATATATATTATTATGCAATATTAGGACCTGCCTTTTATTTGGAAGTTTCCAAGACAGAATATAAAATGCCTCTCAGAGTTTTCAAAGAACAATTACAAGAAAGACTAAAGTAGGTTGTTGGTGGGCTAAAGGACTTCTCACTAAGCCAGATCGTTGTTACTGGTTTTCACTACGGGGCATAATTATCCAAGACACTGACTTCATATGAAGGGATAAAAGAAAGAAAGCAGTTCTGTCATATACACTTCTCCCAGCATGGGACCAGATGTAAAGGCTACACAGTAAGGATGTGGGCAGCTCCATGCGGAGGGTTATGGTGACTGTGGTTTGGCCACCACAAAATGACAGTACACACCATGCAGTCAGTGAGAGAAGCGTCATGCTATAGGAACAAAAACAAAGGATAAGTGGTCGGTTTATCCCCCCTTTTCTTTGTCTTTTGATGTAAAACTTATGTATTGTATAAGGCATCGGTTCCCAACATGGGGTCCGTGCCCCCCTAGTGGGAACGCCAGACATCTCATGGTGGGGCGCGAGGCTGTGTCTGCTTTGCAGTTGTCAAAATTGGATTTGCACATTTAAGACAAAATCATGTTCAAACATTTCTGAGAAATGTATACAAATGTCTGAAAACAATTCAAATGGACTGTAATATACAGACGCATCAATTCAGTCATTTATTATCCGCGATCATGGACATCGACTTCACATGGATCCGCTGTGATCTGTTGCACCACTGCTAAATCTTATCGCCTGCTTGCTTGCTGTTCCCCCAGCCTCTACATCTACAGTCATGCATACACATGCACAACCCCAAGCAGTGTATCTAATACCATGGTGGCCTGTCGGTGAGTCATTCTCACACCCCCAAACCCTTTGTGAAGGCGTATTAAGAGACTCTTTGTCTCAGTTTGGGAAAATCTCCACTGTTGAAATGTGTTTGGTTACCAGGACATACAAAGAAGACTAAAGTCCCGGATTCTGAGCTCAGTTGACATGTGTTTTGGGCTTAGTCTGAAATGTTATGACCATTCGCTTGCAGAACTTAAAAGACTCTTTCAGGCTTCTTCATGCACTGCTGAGTTTTTTTCCCCCCAAACAAAAAGAAATCCTGGTTTTATGTTGTGTTAGAATTTCCGCTCTCTAAACCCCAAGCCTCATTCCTTGCCTCATTGACGGCTAGTCAAAACTATGGAAACATGATGCTCAAAATCCCAGAAGGCAAAGCTTGTTTTGAGCAGATACGGATGGATGTAAAGATGTTTGTGAAGATGTAAATAAAGTATGAATCTCAAGTGTCCAACAATGGCTAATGATGCGTTCCATTTGGGAATCTGGGAAGTCGGATATTCTGAGTTACCGGTCTGAGTCATCATCAGGAATGCCACCTGAAGTCGGAATTCTGATTCAGAAACTGTGAGCAACTTTTGTAGTCCGATTTAAAATCCAACATGGCTGCTACGTGCATTAACAGCGGAGTTTAAGCTGTAACTATTGTGTTTATTAGCAGCTTAATCCTTTTTGTGTGTGTAATTAAATCACTCACACTGATAGTATCGTGCAAGTTCTTTCTGTAGACATGTTGTCATGTTATTTTGGCGTGCAAACCATCATGTAGTGTTGTTATCGTCTGGTATTTAGCTAACAAAACAAAGGTACTCCTGGAGGGGTCAGTGGGGCTTGTCCGAGTTGTAACTGGAACATGGGTTCACCCAAAGTGAAGAACCTAATGAGTTGGAGGTGTGTCGCTGGAGGAGGGCGGAGGCTTCTGGATAGCGGAGGTGTCGCCAAACAGCAGTTATATAGTGACCGGCTAAAGTGTCTGCACGCGACCTCTACGATCTCCGTGCTCTAATTAAACGTCTGCATTCTGTTTTCTGTTGGTCAGTATGTTGTTCTCCTCTCTTTTGTGGATGTTGTCATTCCATTGGATTACACATAGCATTGATATAAAGACAAATATTTTCATTATAACGTCATGTAGCGGGCTCTGTTGCTTCGGCTGCTACTTCCGCGTTGTTTATTTACGTCACGTCTTACCTCAGGAAATGCCCCGCCCCCCCTCCCCTCTGACAGGGAAAGTCCCCTGCTGTGAGGAGCATATGTGAACGGGTCGGGAGAATCTCCGGAGAAGTCCTCCTGTAATTATCTAGATATTATCCGGAGTGCATGTGTGAAAATGGCTTAAGCGTGTTGCTGAAAGTGCCCTAACCCTGTGATCCTGTTTCTGTTCCAGGGTTCAAAGGGGGACCCCGGTTCTTCCCCAGGCCAGGCCCGACCAGGAGAGAAGGTAAAATCACATCCCAATTATTCCTCTCTATGTTTCTTTGAGGTTGTCTTATTTTTTTATTGCATTTCTCTCATGCCCTTCCTTTTTTTTGTTTCTTGTTTATTTGTTACAGTTAATTCACCATGTTGACAATCTGGTTTTCCTCATCCCATTTAATCAATTAAGAAACTTCCTTTAAACTCCCCCTCTGCATTTCTGACTCATGCTCCTATCACTGATCTGTCTGGCCTCACAACAGCTGGCTCCTCTTACTCTCTACTCATCCCCGTCTCTTTAAAATCATCACAGTGATGACTTTCCTGAGCAGCACTCCGACATGTCTTGAACCAATTAAGCTCCAAGTGTATCTTTCTTCTTCAACTTTAAAACGCTGTCTGCACTCATAAAACTCCCATCAAAAGTCAGAATTTAAAGAGATTCAAACTAAACTTGAAGCATGTGACCTTAGAGATATAACTGCATCCTGCAGCCAGCCTCACTAATGGTTGCAGATTTCTCATTACTCTTCACAAGTCTTTCAGTGTGTAGTCTCTTTACCTCCATTCACCCTCTCAGCTCATCCTCAGTCCTATCTGATTTGTTTCTGATTGTTTCACATATGTTTCTTTTTAGTAGCAGCTTGAGACATCATGAATATTAATTAGATGGTAGATACTGCCAAAAGTAGAAAAGCTCTTCTTGACTCTCCATATAACTCACATATGGAAAATGGACTATTCTTTGCAGAAGATAAACATAATCACTTTTACTGTCATCCTAAATAATGAGGTCTTCCAACCATCGCTCTGTTGTTAATTTTTCATTCATGAGAAAAAAATTAAATTAGCTTTTTTTCTGCTAGAAAATAAACATGTTTTCAGTGTTAAATAATTTAAACCAAATGAATATAATAGTTTGTAGAGAGCTAAATAAATGCAGTAAGTTTTCTTTCCAAGAATACTTGGAAAGAAAGTCTATGACTCATCAATGTTACTCTGCCTTCCTACATACTCTATCAGTCTTTCTTTTTCTGATGTCTTCTCTTTTCAGATAGTAAACTGGCAAGTCTTGTGTTACTTAAATGTATTTTTGTTTTTATAGGGTGACAGAGGTCCACCAGGTCTGCCTGGTCAGGATGGATTTCAAGGGCCAACGGTAAGATTTAGTATATTTAACTAGAAGATGCTAATAACGAAAAGGTTCTCACCCAGAATCCATCAGAATCCATCAGAATGTATCATTTATGACGTCTCCAAGTCAAGAAGCCCAGTTTGCTGAGAAGTCTGTTGGACTGCTGCTTGTTCTTTTGTTTCAAATTAAGTTTCCTTTTTTTAAAACTCTTTATTATCGTCTTCAAATCCCCTGTATTAATCCAGGGCAGACGGATGTTATTCATGTTTTGTATTGTTCATACAATTGAAAGCTTTGTTAAGAAGTTAAGACCATGCAGACAAACACATGTGAAACACACACATACACACAAACACACACACACACACACACACACACAAACAGAATGAGGGTTTCCACAGACAGCTCTTTTTGTGATGGCAGCGCACACTTTCATGACAAAACCAATGTAGTTTGGCGTTTTCAGAAAACACCCTCAGCTGTTTTTTTGACGCTGCGCTCAAAGCACTCTCTGTCTTCTCTGTCTTCCTCTTTTTTTTACTGCCTTCACATACCTGTCTGTGATAATGCCCCGCTCTCACAGTAAAAGCTTTAAAGATGGCCATGTTTCCATCTCCCTTAAACTTGATCGCCTTGGAGGTCAAAGGTCAAAGGCCACCCCAAAGAGGAAAGGCACCCTGCCCGGGGGTCAGCGGGTCAATGACACGCACAGTATCCCAAGCCACATTAGGTCAGCAATTGTAACGCTGAAGGATGGAGAATTTCATGGACACTGCTTACAATGAAAGGAAGGATACTGACCTCCTTTCAGGCAGTGTGCACATGTTCCCATACTCACAATCCAGTCAAGCCCTGCATCTGTTGTTATGAAATATTACGCTAACTAGAGGTGGGAAACACAGGGTAACTCGTGAAATGATACCTACCTGATATATAACCCACAATAACGATAATATCACAATATAGCGATTCTGCACAAATTGATATATTGCAACACAATCATATAATGAAAAATCACAATCAGTCTGATCATCTTTCATCCCGCTGTCAACTTTGGCAAATTAACTTCCAATCACATCACTCTAATACATTTTTTTTTTTGTCAAAGAGTTGCTTCATTCATATGGTTATTCCATTTCAACAAACATGTTTTCAACATAAGATGTTGAAGAAACTACCCCCAAGAAAAGAAGCAGCAACATGTTCTATCTAGAAATTAATACGCAAACATACACATCAAATCAATGAAATAAGAGAGAGATAAAATAAAATAAATAGGAAAAAAAAAAAAAAAAATTATATATATATATATATATATATACAGACAAAAACAAAAACAAAAAAGATAAGGGGAGGGATATAGCCCCTATGCTCAATGCAAATTGAGGGTTCCACATTTCTACATTGGATTAATTTATTATTGTATTGTCACACAAATATGCAAATACATTTCATTTTCAAACCTGCATATAATTACACTTCAATTCATGTCATAAGTGCCAGAGTGAGGAAATCTATTTGAGCGCCCTGTTTGTATTATAATACCGATATTTAGCTCCTTCGATTGGATAGGTGTATCACACAAGTCTGAACGGGGAAATTTTGCAATATTGATGGTTTGTCCCGCCCCTAAAGTTAACTGCTTTGCTTGAAAGCAAACATGGATTTTCCCTACATTGACTTTGTGTCTTTTTTTGATACAGAGCAGACCCCTACTCTGCTTTAGATTTTGTTTGTACTTCAGCCAACATGGCCCGATGTTAGATGTCCAGGTAGCCTCTTATTGAAGCTCCAAGTCTAGCCTTCACATAGCTGGCCTTCACCTTCTCTCCCAGGAGGCCATCCCAGTGTTTGCAGTAGCTGAACCTAATATATCCAGCACATGAACTGTGGCCCGTCAAGTATTTTCAGAGGAAATGACTGGCTGGGGGGACCTGTGCTCTTTACCCCCAAGTGGGCCTTTTTCTTGAGTGTGAAGGTTCATGTGTCACAACCTCGGAAGCACAAGACGGGAGTCAATGGTGCCGTTCAAGAACGCCTCACACTGGCCCGAAAAGATACTGACCCGGACCTGACCTTATGCGTTGGAGCTGTAAACATCTGTTGTTGATAAGCATGTCAAGAGGAAAAAATCAAAGTGGATTTAGAAAGAAAGCCCTGATTTACCAAACAATAAATCCTGTTTAGTTTACAGAGAAGAAGTGCCTGTTTAACCAAATGTGGAATTTGGCTGTTTGACAGAATTCACATTGGAGTAGAATAAGCTGTTAATCTAATTGAAGTTTTTATGTGTTAATATCATCAACAGCTCTTAATATTGGTCTGAACCTGAACCCAGACTGGTTGACCAGCTGTTAACTGGAAACACTACATACGACCAATGGGATAATAGTTAAAGAAAAAAACCTTTTGTTGAATAGAGACTGACATATTGAAACATGTCCAACGCTTTGTTATCATTTACTTTCATCCCCATCCCAACCCTAACCCTACTACCCCCCCCTGCCAATCACTCATATTTTAAAGGCAACTCTTGCAGATTATTTATGGTGGCCTCTTGGACAGTTAGAGTAGTAACAGAATCCTGAGTGGCCCTCTTGAAATATAATAATAATTTTCATGATTGTTCTTCTTGTTGTCTACATTTTAAGCTATGCTAACAGCATGGCCTAAAATACTCGACAACATCATACTGCTGCTAATTTACTGTAAATCCCATAAAACACATTCATGTTCCCCAGAGGATTTTACCCGAAGACTTTAGGAGGTGTACTCAAACACCACCATGCTGTGATGTGTGAAAGACTTACTTTTGTTTTATTCTTCTTTCAAGGGTCCTAAAGGTTATCCAGGGCCATCAGGACCGCCAGGAGAACAAGTGAGTATTACTTTGTTTTTGTGCTTGTTTGTGTCTGTGTGTGTCTTTCCAGAGACATACTTTGATACACCAGTTTTCAGTTGCTATTTATTTCAAAGAGGATGATTGGAGACACATACCTGCATCTCTTATACCACTGATAGAAGTTCATACTCCAGCAAAATACATCAAGATACATATGCATATTTGCACATACGTATACATACAGTTATGTATGTGTTACCCTTTCAGTGTTTTCTTCAATTCCACGTGTCCTCCGCTCCTTGACGGAAAAAACTCATCGCCTCATCAAAATGCAAATTATTTAACAACCTCCTTTTCACAGATTGCCTATATTAGTCCGAGTCAGATGGCTCTGAGCACTCGTAAAAAAGAAATTCATATGTTTGATTATTACTATCAGAAATAATAGGGAAATAAAGTCTTTCTCTTTTTTGTTTGAGTATGAAATAATGAGATTGTATCACCTAAAGAGGAATATTCATGTGCCACACAGGTGTAGTGGCGTCATGTTTATTATTTTATATTTAATTTAGATTGAAATGGATGAAAATAAGCCTTCAATCGAAGGCAAATGTCTGATCCATTTTTGTCATACCCTAGACAGATACATCTTGTTCCTGTTAGACCATCATGGTGAATGTCAGCAGATTATGAAGATTATTGATTTGTTGGGTAACAGAAATCCGTGCTACATCAGAGAATAAGTTAAATGTTCTTTGTCATTAAAGAACGTGTTCACTGAGGGATGGATTGAAGGGAGCAGAAAGACACAGTTCATAGACGGGGTTGTCTTGGTGGAGGCTTTCCAGAATGAACAGTGCTTGTTTTATTCTTCCACTGCTGGCAGTGGTGTTTCTTTGAGTCTCCTCTTTCACTTTATCCATTGCATCTAATCTCCCTATTAACGTTGATTCATTCTCTCTGTCTCTCTGCTGCAGGGCATACCAGGCCAACCAGGGGAGGCAGGGGCTGCAGGTTACCCTGGCAGGCAGGTGCAGTGAAAAATACAAAAATACGCTTCCAGTTCCGCCATCGTTGCTCTATCAAGATATCTGCAGAGAAAAAAACAGTGATAATATTAATAACTATGTCATGCAAACTGCTTTTTGCTTTACTCTGCACTTTGCTTAGTATTGAAAATAAGTTGTTTACTTCAATACCATTTGCCACAGACTTGTTTTCATGCATCATTCTGTGGACTTCCAACCATATGCACCGCCAGTAGTGTTGACAAGGACACACAAAAAAAAAACATGTGCTTTTTCCTCACTGTCAGTCAAGCTTGCTGGTTTCTATTTTAAAGCCATTCAACATACAATATGTTTTCCTTTTTCCTTAACGTGTGAAATACCTCAGCAATCATCTACTGCGACAATAGGTCCTCCTCATCAGATTCTTTCTTTTGTTGCAGGGCTCAGCGGGGCCAGAAGGTGACCCGGGGCCTAAAGGTGTCCGTGTAAGTACTAGTACCTCTCTGTTCTCGCTCTCTCTCTCTCTCTCTGCCCTGTTTTCTTCAGCAGCTCTGGATTGAATACTTCATTTCCTGAAAGGATTAGGACAGTGTCAGGCTGTCAGGCTTCCCTCCAGAGAGAGTGCCCGGGATCTGAGTTGTATTTCTGTCATGCTACCTGATTTGAAACTGCATGTGGGGGGATTGGTGTTGACCAGTTCCTTTTACTATAGTTAATTCTTCAGCAAGCATAACTTCATAAGACAGGAGAAAAAAAGAGAAAAGGAAATGAGACAAAGAGTATTGAAGCAGACTGAAGTGGGGGTCAAATATGCTAGTGAGAGAAGAGGCAGAGTGAAAAGGGTTGATAAGATATGAGGAAATAAGAAGGAATGAGGGAGGGACAGGGTTCTACAGATTGCTGAGATATTTGTCCTATGCCAATCCACCGGGGGGAAAAAAACGACAGCCAGCTTATTGCTTTGTTTTCTTTCAGAAGGCAGCTACAAACAGTAGTATAATAAAGATTAGCTAACAATGGACAACCAATTGTAATATGACAAGCCTTTACTTGTAACAGCTGGCACATACCCAGTTATTTCGACAACCTCAAGTATATACAATGACTTGAATGTGTTGGATTAAAATTGCTGCGTTTGATACAGCCAACACATTCCTGTTACTGAGACAGTAAACAAATACCACAACAGATTGGAAGTACTGCTTTCAGTCTGAAAAGACACACAGCAGCTCATATATGAAAGAAGAACAATGCTAGCAAGTAAACATAGATTTACACAATAGGATTGTAGCAGTATTTGTATTTTTTTCCGAAACCATCACGGTTTGGTTCGATGATTACATCTGAGTGGAGAAAAAAGGATGTCACACATTGTAGTATCCACATCTCAACCTAAGTGGCGATCATGCTCAGAACTGTTTGCTAAACTCTTAAACAACAAACGAAGAAGCAGCAGATACAGCAGAACACATGAAGAATAAGGGCTCAAATATACTTGCTTTTGAACCACGTTACTGGAGGATTCCTCTAGGGGGAGCACCACATCACTCAGACAGCGTAAAACACCCAAGTAGAGATGATCTTTGGATCGTTCTGCAACGGCAATGAAACATCAATCATAGTTCAGGTAGTTGTGGACTCGATCTGTTAACTTTCCTTCTAAACTTTCCTCCATTGTTGGTGCCTCCGATGTTGTTGTTTCCCGTCTCATCATCATACAACTCTTCACTGCCCCTAGTGGTTATATGCATACTGCATCTCGCGGACGCTTAGTGTTAATTTCTGAGGACGTGCACAACCAACGCTCCAAACCAGGATATGCAAGGCTGATGGCATGCGTTTGCGTACGTGTAGTTAAAAACAAGTATACTCAGGGCTTGAGAGTAATAAACGGTGGCAAGAAGACACAGTGGAGCAAGACGACCTGCCTGCTTCTTTAAATCAGTCGTGTTGGGACATTTTGGGTTTGCAGTGCTTTATGTCATTGGAAACATGTCAAACATGCTCATGAATATTTTCAAATGCGGAGATTCTGTAATGCTTTTTATTTTTCATTATTGTTGGTTTGAACTGTACCAACTTTCACAGTTAGTCCTAAATAAAACAAGATGGAACCACTGTTGGTTCAAAATTAACGAGAGGAACATAGATGGTACTTTTGTTGCTTTTTTCCTGTTGAACCAAACTCGTACCAGACCATGACCCCAAAACCAATGTACAAAACCAAACCAACCACTGTGCTCTAATATTGTGATGTGAAACATTTGCTTGTTTTCAGGGTTTCATTGGGCCTCCTGGCATCGCTGGACCACCAGGTCTGGAGGGGGAGAGAGTGAGTGATGTTTCTTTTGTAGTTAGTGCACATGAAGTCAACGTCTTTATTATCAATTATCAATGTCTGTGCTGATGCATCTACGTTTATTCCCAATACATTTCACATGTATTCCTTATACTGTCTTCTTCACGATTCTTCTCCATTTTTTAAAATCTTCCTTTCTATAAACTTGTTTCCTCTCTGATCGAGGTTTTAAAGATGCTTTCATGTGATTATTTGCTTGTTGTCCTTTGTTATCAATAGTTAAGTGATTGTATTCTACTTAGGCTAAGCCTGAATGATGCCACTCATTCTTTCAGGCTTTTAGAATCAAGGAAATCCTGGTCTTTTCCCTTTGGTCATGGGGTGCACACACCAATTTGGTTTGTGGCAAAGGAAATATAACATTGATGAAAAAACAATTCATGCTTTCTGGCTTCCAACGAGCTATACAGTACTCATAATCTTTCTATGCTGCTCCATGGCCTGATAGGAAACAGTTTCTCTACATCATGTCAGATCAAAAAAGGAGACTTTTCAGTGTTTTATGAACTGAACTTCCTTTCACTGCAATGACCAGAACTTGTTATAACTCAGATGGCAGAATTCCCCAGATTTAGTAATTGATCTACTTGTTTTTTCTTTTCTAGGGAATTCCTGGTCCAATCGGAAAACCTGGCCCCAAAGGAAGATATGTAAGATGTGTCGATCATACTGCAAATGTTTGATGGAATATATTTAGACACAGGTCCTGCAATGGCAAGATTGTTTCAGGGGTGGCATTAAAGATAAAGCCCTGCTGGATTTAGATATTGACAGATGGAATGTCAAGGTTGGGCCTTCACTCTTGAAAAGTTAACATCTTAGCTTCTCTTTGTCGAGGTTGCCAGGCAGGCTGGCAGCCCAGTGTGATTCATTCTTGAGTATTGAGCGATGTCTGGCCAGTTGGATCAAATGTATGTATGTCGCTTTTCTAGTCTTCTGACTGATCTTTTTCTTCACATGTCACATTCATCCATTCAAACTACATTCATCACTGATGGAAGTGCCCAACATTACTAAACACTACTACAGTGTTTTGAGCCCACTGCTACAGGAATTGCTCTCATAACAGCGGGAAGCGAAATGTTAAGTGGATAAATCTCATTCCAAAAACGATGGTGAACATTGTGTTGACTTTCACCCATGGATGTGGACTTTGGACAGGCAGGTTACTGTCGGTTAGCTCGTTCCAGCAGGCGGTAGCTTGCAGTGTAGCTACAATCAGTAAATGTACACACTGTCTCCTGCAGTGAGGATGTGCTTTACGGACGATGAGTCCAGGACGAGGGGCCCAGTTTGAATGTTATGTTAACAAGCTGCAACGAACATAACTCTTAATGTTTGTAAGATGTAATCAAAGTGCTATATGATTAGAGGGTATAATTCTTGGTGGTTTCCCTGATGTAACTGAATGTCTACTCTCCTCACAGGGAGTGGTGGGCGATGCTGGGGAGAGAGGGCCACCTGGTCCTGATGGCGATGAGGTGAGATCTGTTGTCGGCCTCTTTATGAATTCAGCCGTCCTCGCTATTTGTCCTGTCATTTCTTCTTCATTCACCATTCTGTCCTCCATCTCTAGAGGTACAATCTTCCTGCTTGTTGCTGTTTGTCTCTCTTGACAGTGTCTACACATGCACAGCACTTTGCTGTTTCCTTTTTTGTTCTTTTTGGGTACTTTAGCCACCACTTTGAAAATGGGTACTTTAGCCACCACTTTGAAAATGTGATAAGTGAATTATTCAAAAACTCAAACGAAAACAATGACTATGTAGAAAATGTTTCAGTCATAAAACAAAAGTATGAAAACTGTATTTTGTAGGTACTTAGACAACACCAGGTTACGGCGATAATTCTTCTGGTATTATCTCTCTCTCTCCCTTTGTTTCCATGTCTTTCATTCTCTCTGTCTCCCTGTGTAAACTAAACTAAGTAACCGTTCATAATGATACAATCGTTTTCTGATAAGCCCTAACCCCCGACAACTTGTTTAAAAGACACCCAAAACCATCCTCTGGATATGGCAGGAAAAAGGTACATGTTAATAATGCAATCCATCATTCTCTCTCTCTCGCTCTCTGCGCTGTAGCCTATATTGAGATTAATGACCCCTTGTTTGTGTAAATTAGTTTTCTGATAACTGGTAACACCTTTAATGAAACCTGTGAATTTGGCAAACGGACCTGTATGATTAAGAGTTATTAATATGCTTACATTATGTTTGTTTACAGTTGAGAACATGCCTCGCTACCCTTTTTTTGTAAAACAAATAAATCTTAATATCCATAAAAAAAGCCAAGAAATATTAAAAGAAATGTATGGTCTCTTGAGGTAAAAGTCGTGAAGATAGACCGGGCTGACAGCCGGGTCACGCAGCCACTTTGTTGTCAATTACAATTTAGCCTTGATAGAATAATTTTAGGATTTAAGATCAACTAAGTTTGCGTCCTTAAACATTTCAAATATAAACACAAAGTAACACCGAGAGCGTCTCCATTGTAGGCTTGGATGTGTAGCAGGTTGCAGTACTGTAAGTGTCCTGTCCTGTGTACTTAGGATGTTGCTGTGATGTTTCACAGGGGCCTGTTGGTGGGACTGGCATTGGCGGCTTTCCTGGTCTGAGGGTGAGTTTTCACTTTTTATATGATTTTTGTCTCTCTATTAGTTTTACATAGCCCATGGGAAATACGCAAGATGTTTGATGTGTCATTCATTTGGCTCACAGTTCTGCTTCCGGCGCTCGTCTGTCATCTTTCTGTCTCTAGCAGTTAGGTTTGGTGTTTGACTGATGAATTGCAGAATGTGCAGAACTTGAGCCAGGGCTTTGTGTTTTCTAATGGCAGCAGCACATTTCATCCTGTGAATGAGTTCAGAGTTATCCACACACTTTCAGAAAAGATGAATATACCAAGGCTGGCTTTCATAATCGAAACATCTTGGCTAAATGCCAAGGGTCTTGAACACTGCTAATACAATGGGCTTGACAGAGCCAATGAAGTCCAGAAGCTCCAAAGGTTACAATATAAAAAAAAAAACATGTTACAGAGAACAGAGCGAGTATTTTAATTGCATTGCGAAAATACCAAAGTTAATACAATATCAAATATTACCCGGGCCAAGCTCATTACAGCCATTATATTTTATCTCTATTTCATATAGATCAATATCCCTATGGTGACACACTTATCTTTTCCCCAGTAAATACTGTAAGAATTATTCCAACTGCCTGCCCAATCTGTTTTTTTTTTGGGATATCCAGATAGATTAATTTGAGAAAAACTACAACATGAAATTCAAGTTTTGGAAATTGGATCCAAGACATATCTGCAGATGTTTTGAAATGGGATTTCAATCTAATGTCTTAGTAATACAGTGCCTCAAATCTACAGTGACAAAGTGTATCTGATAGACAAGCTGCTTACAAGATCTCGAGTTGTAGTACTTGAAATCGGTCTTGGTCTCAACTCGGTCTTGTCTCGTTCTCAGACTAGGGGGACTTGATTTTAAATCAAAACCAGTCAAGACCACCTTAACCCATTTCTAAAAGAAAGAATAACGTCAATTAATTCACAATTTCGGCATATCCCTCCCACACTTCGAGGCCTTTTTACTTCTGTGAGAAAAAAAACAATCTAGAGTGTCAGAGGTCTAATAGAGAGCATGCTGTCTTTTTACTGTACTGTTTTTTTTAAATGTCTCAGTTCACAGTGGCCTCTTAAACACCTGCCTGTTCATGTCAGCAACATGGATACAACTGTAACCTTCATGTTCCCCGTGCCATCATTTCAAGCTTCATTTACACTAGTTAGCTGTTCTCACAGCATGGGGATTTATTAGGGTGTTTCAAGGGTCACACTGTGTGTGCAAGACACATCTGGATGGCTGAGGCTTCACTTGAGCAACTGGCTGTAATTTATCTTTACTGCAAGCAGAGACCTGAAACATGCAGACACTACCTTTGAGTTGTTATTGGAATAGAACAAGGACTTTATCCCAGAGATGGTAGCACTTGTGGTGAAATCACATAATAGAGAAAATCAAGCTAATCACATTTTAATTTTCTAATGCTTTCATTATGAGTAGCTCAGTCTGTAGGGACTTGGGTTCGGTGCAGACCAAATCTGGAAATTGGTCTCATAGCAGTAGAGGTGCCAGATCACTTCTGAGCACTGCTGGTGGGCCTTGAGCAAGGCAGCCGCCCACCAGCTCAGGAGCGCTCACAGAAATGTCAGATATGTTCTTTTTAAATGTCGTTAGTACTTCAGGTAGGTATCCAAACTCTAAACCAATCAGAACAACTGTTGTCTCAGACAGAAGCCAGAATGATCACTTATTTGGTTTGACAAAATGTGCACACACGCTAACGGGCTGCTGTAAGTTAGCCAAGGGTTTCCTGTCATAGTTTGTTTTCGTAACATTTCAATGAACAGAAGATATTGGGGCTTGTGACAGATCTCTCTCAATGGATGAATTGTGTTATTTGGTTTGAATTAGAAGGTTTTATACGGGACATTAATTTCTGGACTAAATCTAAACCTGCAACATGTTTCCATTTCGCAGTGTAGTGCTGGAGTCAAGACCACACTAACCCAGACCAAGACATACCCGAGACCAGAGTGCTCCGATACCTTAGCCAAGACCAAGACCATAAATATCACTGAAAAATCATCAACTACTACACTCACTTAGACCGTGACACCTGGAAGGTTCACAAAAATGAAGCTATGAGGTATTTGGTCTTTTAGAAAGGTGTATTTTCCTTCCAATCACAGAAATGGAGTGGAAACATAGCCTGTCAGTGGTGGTCTTGACCGGTCTTGATTTAAAATCTGGAGTCCATCCAGTCGGAGACCGAGACAAGACAGAGTAACAAAATGATTTTGATACCGAGACCTTCAAAAAGTGGTCTTGAGACCAAGAAGTACTACAACACTATCCCAGTATCAGTAAGAAAGATGAGCCCTCTAAGCTGTGCTCACTCATTTGTTTAAGGCAGTTACACAAAGTTCACACTTTAGTTAAGTAATCAAAGAGCAAAAACAGAACAGCGAGTGTCCGTTCTGGTATGCTCTTGATGTCTTTGCCAGTTTGTGAATCAACAGAATGTGAAGCTGCCAGACACTCAGACACACTCAGCCTGCATGCAGAGCACCAGGGTTGAGCACCAGAAACAGTTGTTTAAAGGTCCCATATTAGGCTTTTTCTGGTTTTATCTGCTCTTTAGTGTGTTTTCCAAGTGTCCTGTGCATGTTTAGGCACATCTATGTGCAAAAATTCGCAAAGTCCGCAGAAACGCGGCTTCTCCTACGTCCTCCTGTTAGCTGTAGCATTAGCCGCATGTAACGCTCGGTTCTAGCCCCCCTCGATAAAAAATTGTCAGTCCGATGTCATTGTCAGTGTGAGATCACTGACTCACGGACTCAGAGCGTAGAGGGAGCAAGGAGGAGCAGTACATGAAAACAGACACTTTTTTCAGATTTTAGCTATTGTGAACGTACAAAAGTAGGTACATAGATTAAATATACGAACCCCAAAAAGGGCAGAATATGGGCTCTTTAAAATTGTATAGGCTGACAAAAGGATCTTTTTAACATGGTGAGTTGAGGCCAGCCAATGTAACCAGTAGTATCTGTATGAGTATAAAAAAACGTGTCTATAATACAATGGGCACTGCCGTATTATTGTATGTCTCATTGGATCTCCTGAGGCCACTGTGGTTTTGTTAAAACAAGAGGTACAGTAATGCTGCAATCTGGTTTTGTTCAAGCTTGGAATCAATTATCTTGGGAGAAAATGGCTTGGATCATCTCTAACCACCTGGTGTTCAGGATTCATCTTGACTGCAGTTTGTGTAAAGCCTCTGTGTTGGACAGTTGGTGGACCAAATCTCCCCCACCAGATATTTTTTTTCTGGGGAAAGTCTTGTGGCTTGTCCCTTCCTCTCCTCCTCTTTTGTTCGTGTGTTCCCTGTTGAAAGCCTTCTATGATGGAGCATATGTGATTTGCGTCAGTGGAGAGGCAGAATCAAACACACCAGCTCCAGAGGATCCAGATGGACTACATGCGCACAATGACATCAAATTAAACCATGTTCTCTCGCTCTACTCTCACTCACTTGCACTTTTTTTCAAATCCAGCAGATTGACATGTTGATTATATGGATGGTACTCATGACATAAAAATGAACCTCAGGCTTTTTACTTAACATATTATTTGCATTCTGCTTTTCTTTTCAATTTTAGTTGGTAGGCAGTTTTTACTCTCAATTGTTTTGGCAAAAAAACGCTTCTCTCCATCCTAAGTCCTTTTTTTATTTAACCCCCCCCTCCCCTGCAGTTTCAAAGGGGGGAACATTTAAGTGAGCTTCCCAGCTGGTTTTCAAAGGAATCAGTTTCATAAGGGTTGTGATTAGTTAAATGTGCTTCTGTGTGGCTCTTACATGGATGCATGTGCTTGCCTTGCATAGACTTAGACTTCAGTATTTTCATGATTAAGTTTAAAATTCTCACCCTCACTTTCAGAGCCGTTCACAGACAGGCCCCCGGAACATTTGTCAGAACTCATTCAACTGTATTCGCGTACCCGTTCAATAAGGTCGAACACCCTACACCTGCTGTCTGTCCCACTGACAGATTTTAAGACTTGTGGTGATCGTGTGTTTGAGGCTATATAGCACCAATCCTCTGGAATTCCCTGCCCATCTTGTTACGTTCTTTTGATTCTGTTGAGTCTTTCAAAAAGCAGCTTTAAACGTTGATGTTTAGACAGGCCTATGGGTAATCAGGTCCAAGTAGTCTACCTACTGATCTATGTTTTACTGTGCCAAATATTCTTCCTAGTCATATCAGGATTTCATAATAATGGCCAATGAAGTACTTATTTGTTCCTGTTTTGTTGTGTTTATGTTGTTTTTTCTTGTTGTCTGTGATAAGAGCGATATAAATATTCATATTTCCCCCCACAGCATCATTGATGCTCTTGGGATGGTGAAGATCACAAACCCTCCATATCAGTTTCCAGTATTTACTTTCAGACTACTTGGAAAGGGTTTTCATTCCAGCCCGCTCAATCTAGCCGTTATCACCTCACCTCTGTCAATGAGTGTGGATCTTGTGGGCCGGCAGAAGTAAGCTTCGCCAGGCCCAGACCAACACAACACAGCTGCTAACTCTGTCAGTACGGCTCAGTACTGTATGAAGGTAGAAAAGAGTTGGTGTAAATTCCGCCCTGAAAAGAAGAAATCAAAATCAGTTAGTATAGAAAAATGTCAACAACACCTCTTGGCTAGCATTACTGTTTACTGTAAAATTACAATGTGTACCTTTTTCCCTCCACAGGGCGACCCAGGGCCTGAGGGACTGAGGGGACTGCCTGGTATGGTGGGACCTCAGGTAGGTTAAAATATCGGCTCTGAATGATAATGATTGGCCTCAAATAACTCCATTGGGTGTCTATGACGATGGGGCTCACCGTGTCATTGTGTTTCATCCTTCATCGTTGTGTGCTAATAGTTGTGCTTCAGCAGCAGACCTGGAGACGTTTGCTCAGTGAAAGAGGGAGGAGGGTTGTCAGGCTTGATATGCCAAAATGTTGTACAGCTGTATGCCATATCTGCATTTTTTGTAAACATTTAGGAAAATGCTGTTTATGTTACGTTGTGTAAAAATGAAAAGAATGATCCCAGCCTCTTTCACATAGTTGAACATACAGCTGATTTTTATTAGCCTGTTTCCAAATCCAGGGTTGCAGTTTCAGGTCGGAAAGCTTCTGATTGTCTTATCCCTAAAGTTAAATCATTTGAATCTCTCTGAACTTTACCATAATTACTGTTAAAGTCTGTTCTGTAAAAACATCTTCACATTATAAATCTAATATCCGTCTGCGCTCCCTCCCTTCTTTCGTCTCCACGTGGCAGGGCCCAGGAGGACGAGCTGGCCCGCCTGGATTGAAAGGTGATAAGGTGATCTAAATATTTATATTATTGCAGTGTATCTGTGTGTAATGTGTCAGTAGTGCCGCTCGCCAAATTGGAGATATTACAAGCGAGCCTGTTGAGAATTCACACGCATCATCGCAGCGTGTTTGCATGTTAATGAATGATATCACACCACAGTATTTCTTGGTTCTTAATAGTGTGTCTACTTAATGTCATGATAGCTAAACTGTATGTTTATAGCAACTTGTTTTTACAGTTCTAGTGCACCGTATATCTAAAGTATAGTTGTACGTATCTGTGTGTGTTTAACTGTGGTGATGTTGTGTGATCAATGGCAGAATAGTGTTGTGTTATATCTCTGTATGATGCTGTGAAATTCAGGGTGAAGTGGGACAACGGGGCCACCCAGGAGACATGGGGTACCAAGGTGACAAGGTATGTAACCCCCTCATCACACAAGAAAGAAACAACTTTCCCGCTTTAATCAACTTTCATTTCACCTTCATCAGAACATTTTCAATACTCGTGTTTTATTGCCATATGTCACTAAAGCGAGCCCTTGTTTACCCCCTGCTTTGACAAATAATTGGACTAAAGCAGAATATGTTGAGGAACATTTATTGTTCCAAAAATCAGGAACAAATTAATCCAGACGTTTCCCCCAAAAGAAATGCATTAGTTTTTAAATAAACGCAGATGTTGTGACATTATTCACATGAAGTGTGAGTCATCACATAACAGTTTTCCCATATGAGTAAGGTTTAACACACATATGCACATTACTCATAGGATAAAGGATAAAAGCAAACAAACACAAAAGGGTTGTTAGATACGTTTTCGAGTGATGTGTTTGTCTTTCAGGGAGCTGCTGGTGCGCCGGGTCCGTCTGGGCCAAGAGGGAAGCCAGGACCACCGGTACGTTAGTGTGAGTGTGTGTGCCCCTGTGTACAAGGTGTTATGTGTGTTTCTATATTTACACGTGTGTGTGGGTGCATGCTGACAGTTTATAAAGGTTTTTGTATAGCTTTTATAGACCAAGCAGGATAAACACAGTGAGCCACAATGAGATCTGGACTCTGTTTTTGTTGGCTCGTAAAACTGAAGTCAGGTCGGTCACATTCATTACATCTCAGGTTTATCAGGACTTACTTTTACTGAGCTCATTTTAGAGTAGAGACACAGGATGAGTTTCTTCAAACGACGACTTGTTGCTTAGTGTTCTTAGTCAAGAACACATGAACCGAGAGCAAGACATACTCGAGATCAGAGTGCTCCGAGACTGTGACAAGGCCGAGATATTTAGGGATCTAGACTGAGTCAAGACCAAGACCAAGGCAGGGCGAGACCGAGATCAACACCATAAATATGAAAAAATCATGATCATGTGTGCAGGGGGCGTAACTTAGACTGTGACACCTGAAAGGTTGCGGCCGTAACCGGGGGATAAAAGTCAAATGATGAATGAATCGAAGTTATATGTCTTTTAGAAAAGAACGGGTTTTTTTCTAATCACAGTAATGACGTGAAAATAGCCAGTCAGTGGTGGTTTTGATTAAAAAATCAGGAATCCGCCCAGTGTGAGACCGAGACAAGGCCGAGTTAAAGTGCTTTGGATTCCATGATGAGACTGAGACTTTCATAAAGTGGTCTCGAGACTAGTTTCCAGTACTACAATACTACTTATCAGCAACAACAACAAAAAAGCTCAGATTAAGCATTCCTGTTAAATCAACAGGATTCATTACAAACTTATCCAGATGCTTTCACCTAGTTTCTATGCAGTTTCTTTAGTTTATGTCACTACTGTCATTACATAATCAAATAGTATTATTACCCCGGTTTAATTTAGGAGAAAAGACAAAAAGAAGATTAACCAGCTGAAGAAAGTCATTAAAAGTAATAAACATTCAATCAGTATACTGTAGGCGCAAAGACAGACAACAACAAGCTCACACTGTACACAACGTAAACCAGGCGAGCGTGTGTGTCTGAGGCATTAACAGGGCGGGAAATAGTACAAGACGAGTTCACTCAAGAAAAAGATACTTGGATTAAATGTTACTTATGTAGAAGTCAAACAATTGCTTTATTTATATACTCGAGTAAAGGTGAAAGGTTTTTTGTTTAAAAAGGACTGAGTACTTTTATACCTGGGGGCGTAGGGTGCGGGGTTAAAAGGTCAAATATGATCTAAACTTCCTGTGCAGTGCAAAAACAACTAGAGAATCTGAATCTCTAATCAGGTTGTTAAAGTAAAGACACACCGTTATGATTAAGTTCAATGCGAGGCTTCATCTCCTTCTCTGTGTTTTATCTCTGTGCCTGTGGTCTGCATACGCAAGTCCATCCACACCTAGGTGATGGAAGGCTTGGACCTCATTTTTGGCCTTTTTAAAGTTTTAATTAACTTTTAATTAGCACTTTGGACAATGTATAATTATTCCCCTTAACTATATTGTAGTTAAAGTAAAGTTACTGGTTATACAAACTCTCAAAAAAGTACAAGTAAACATTAAAACTACTTAATTACAGTAAATTGAGTATTTGTTATGTGTTACTTTCCTCCACTGGGTATTATTAACATCCAGTTTAAGATCAGTTTGTGTAACAGTATCTCCTGTTTGTTTGTTTTTTCAGGGTAGAATCGGTGATATTGGGTCACAAGGACCACCTGGGCCTCCAGGACCAGAGGTAGGACATACGATGAGTTTTAATGTTCACCATGTCACTTATTTGTTCCCAGTTTTTAAATGAAACGGGCGCAGGACCACATCACGATCCCCTCATGTTAACAGAGAATAGTGAAAGCCTCTCCCAGATAAGATTTGGTGACATCATGTATGTTCTTGACCTGAAAACACGACTTAAATCTCACTTCTTACCACAGAACAGACAAACCTGCTGTTTAGAACAACGTCAGGGAAGGTCAATGAACTTCTCTCCAGGACGGCTTGCGTTCCATGTTAAAAAACGTTAACATGGGAAGATGCTGACAAACGGTTTAAATTAGAGTCAGCTCAAACACAGATGCAGCAATAAAGTCATACTGCTGTTTGTTTTCTTTCCTTTTTACTCCTCATTTCCACATACTCTGTGCGCGTCAGTAGTCGCCACGGTTTTGCTCCGTCGGACGGTGTGCGCTCTCTGCCTCACTGGGTTCATTTTTGGAACGTGAGCGCAGAACTACGAGATCAAGCGGGAATATGAAGAGAAAAACGTGCAAACAACTTGTTGTTTTGTCTTTCTGAGGTTGCTTTGTTGTTCATTTGGCGCCTGTTTTGACTTAAAGTTAATTAAGTGATGGGGAATAAGATGACGAGTCCATGTGTTGTGTTTTATTTTGAAACTGACCGGATGGTCAAGTGTTTCCTTGTCTGACTTCCTTGTCACGGTCATTCTTATCTGTCCTGCTTGCAGCGGGCACCGTCGAAAATAGACCCGCAGGAGCATTGACTAGAGTGGCAGCGATGAATGAACTTAAGGGTTCAGTGTTACAGACTGCACAGTGAAATAAAGCCTGGTGGTTGATCAGGTTTTACAACAGTAACTGAATTAGTGTTTAAATACTGAACAATGACATTCCCATTGGATTTCTTTAAATATCTTGTTTTGTCTGCCCCCCTGTATTTAGATCAGTTGTACCCTTGTCCCTTCTTCTATAGAAGTACGTCTTTTTCCTGTTTCCATATTTTTTTGCGTCTTACTCGTGGTACCTGACCCGCTGCAGGGCTCTTCTTTGATCCCTGACATGATGTCTTAGAAAACTAATGGAGGGATTACCGTGGAATTTCCTGTACATCTATCACAGGGGGGAAATTCTTCTCATGCACAATAAATATTACAATCTGGCAGATTGCTGGGCGCTGGTGACTGAGTGGTTAGTTTGCACTCCCCATGTACAGAGGCTGCAGTCCTCTTAAGTGGACGTCTCAGGTTCGAGTCCGACCGGTGGCTCCTTTCATGCATGTCATTCACCACACTCTCTCTCTCTCTCTCTCTCTCTCTCTCTCTCTCTCTCTCTCTCTCTCTCTCTCTCTCTCTCTCCATGATTTCTGACTCTATCCACCTCCGGTTTCTCCCAAAAAATCTTTACATTTCTGATAAGGCCATTCATTCTCTGCAGATGATAACTTGGTCGTAAAGATTTTATAAAGAATTGGACTTGCTAGTCTGCTTTGGCTTTTACCAGAAGATAACTGAAGTGATTCATTTGACTCCATGACCTTTTACAACTTTGCAAGTCTAAGCTGTTTACTGAACAGGATATCTTCCTAGCCAATGTCAGTCATGTGATGACCCTCTATGACCTTCCCTTCACTTGTCCCTTTTCTCAAAAATTCGACTCAGAATTTAGATGAGCTGATGAGATGAACTGTCGCAGTTCAACCCACGACCCTCTGCTTTATTTTACTTGGTGAAATGGAGCAGTCGAGACAACAAGGATTCTCAGTAGAACCACAATTTGCATCAAAATGAGAATAATCACTTGTTCAGTTTGCTTCGGTCTTCTGCTTGTCTGTGCATTGGAAGCTGAACACTTCACCTTTCGTCATTGTTGGTGGTGCAATGTCTGTGAAAGGCATGGAAAATGTCAAAGGCCTGCTGCACTCAGTCATGCAACAGGACCATAGGTCACCTAGGTCACAGCTTACAGGCATATTTCACTGAAATGAATGATTCTGTTGTGGCAGATGCTTCAAGGTATTCAGTTTCTATCTGCTCAGCAGCAAGCCATCACTATCAAAGATTTTCAAAGATGACCTTTTGTTCTATGTGAAAACAAGAGGCTGCTTACGATATATGTATATTTTTTAAATAAATATGTTTTTGGGGCTTTTTTGCCTTTCTTAGATAGGACAACTGAAGAGAGAGAGAGAGGAAATGTTGGGAGGAGAGAGTAGGGAGTGACATGCGGCAGAGGTCGGATTGGAACCCACGGCCGCTGGGACGAGGACCGCTAGGCTATTGGCGCTCCTGCTCATGATCATTTAAATGCAATATAATCCCACTCCTCCCGTAAAGTACACAGATGCAGAGAGCATGTGTCAAAATCAAGCAATTAGTAATGTGACTAATGTGTTTTTCTCATTTGTTTTTTTGCAAGGGGTTTCCTGGAGACATTGGGGTACCAGGGCCCAACGGTCCACCCGGGCCAAAGGTACAACAGCCTCTCTTTGTCTTCTCCATTTATCCACCCATTCATTAAATTCATCTGATTGAATCATCTATTTGGGTTCTCTTCAGGGTTTGCAAGGTGCCAGAGGGCCACAAGGCCCGCCAGGGCCACAAGGAACACAGGTGAGATGATTCAACACCCAACTAAACCCTACCCGTCAGTGTGGTTCTTGGCTCAGTGATCCAGAAAAGTGGAAAATATGGCTCATCAAAGGGTTTCCATTGGATCATTAGTCTGAGGCAATTCTTCTCATTTAGCATGTTAGCACATTTCAAACAACTGCAGCTTAGCCCGAGTGGGATTTTTTTTCCGCTGCCATATATCTCGGGGCATGTTCCACTGGGTGAAGTCATGATTTACCATTGGGTGCTTATAAAATCAAGCTTGAATATTTTCCAGCAGTGAAAAAAAAAAGAAGAGAAGTCTGGAGATGTACATACCACTCACAGGTGCTTTTGTTTGTGCATTGACCAGGCAAACACTGTGAAGATGTCGTTGATCACTGTTCTCCCCTCTAAGACAAACACACTTTCCTGCTGTGGAGTTACAGAATCTCAGACAGATTACACACACAAAGTCTTAAAGAGTCAGAGACCCCAGGCCTAGAATCATACAGGTGGGAAGTACAACCTCTGTACTGCAGTTTTTTTTTTTTTTGGATTTTACTTTATGTCCCACAGTGACAGGTTTGGGTCAGAAGCTCAGAAGAGTTTCGACAATTTAACCCTTTCTTTGGTAGTAATAATAGAGAATAAAACAAATAATATACAACCCTAATGCATCACCGGTCCTAAGGGATTTTTATTCAAGTTTCAAAATGGCTCTTCTCTGCTTGAAAAGATAAGTCTGAATTAGTAATGGTGTGTTGTTTATTTATTATTTTGACCAATCAACGGAGTGCAGTGTGACTTTAGGGTTGGATTGGTACGCTTGGCCCCCCCACAGAAGGGTACCAAAAAAGTAGGACGGTACGGATCCGTTATTTTGGTACCATTCTCAGCTTTTGACTTTGGAAACACCAATAAATCTGTACCGCACTGAACCCACTGGACCGCTTGGTGGAAACGGGGCTAAAGTAGCGCGAGATCGCAGTTACTTTTACATTATTAGTGCAAGTCTTCTTACTTCTAAAGTTGACCAGTTTACTTGTGGTGTGATGATGAATGGAAAAACAGCTGGATTGTTCTGCTAATTGTAGAGTTTGCTCGTACTCGTAGAGTTATGAAAGAGCAGAATCTTTGTGTTTGATGAGCTGTGCTGTGTTCTGCAGGGTGATGAAGGACCACTCGGCCCACCTGGCATCGCTGGCCCTACAGTAAGAACTCCAGATACACAACCATTCTCAATAACTCAGCCTATTGCAAGTTGTTTGAATGAAACAGTTTTCTTCGATGATCTTTAAGCAAGCAGCTTAAACGCATTTTCAGTTTTGGTACCTTTCGACTGCAGGTTTGTGAATGTGTGTGAAACTGTCTCTCCTCTTCTCTTTGTAGGGGAGACCTGGAAGAAAAGGCTACATAGGTGAACCTGGCCCTGACGGTCTACAGGTGAGATCACTTTCTTTTCATAATCACTGTGCTGTTTGCTACACTCCTGTAACTGTGTTTTTGTGTTATGTTCAAAGATTAACACACTTTCAACCATTGACGTTTTCTTTAAGAAATACCTCATTATGAGCTCTGTAACATAACATGATGCCACAGTATTGTTGAATGTTGACTAATATTCAGCACAGAGTCTTTACCCTGTCTGATCATGTTTTCTTTCCTTGAGATGGAATCAGTATAATTTTTTTCTACAGTTTTTTCCTCAGTCCACATCTGTTAAAGATGTGGAACGGACAAGTTTATAGATGTTGAGAAATTTTGAAGAAATAAACATGCTGCTGTGTTTGATGAGCTTGGTATGCTTTTAACTACCAACAATAGTCATAGTTCCATTGAATTGTGGAGTAAATGTCAAGGGAACGTTTAAAGTGATGAAGGTTAAGTTAAGGTGAAAAGGCAAGAAAAGAGTGGAACACGCCCGACGCGTTTCAGCCATTTTCCACTCGTTTCCTACCTTTCCACCCTTAACCTCTCCCACACAAGTGTCCCTACAACCGCTTCAGAGACCACTCCATTACCAAGCGGAGGTAAGCTAGTCCACTGTTGTTTTTTTCAGTCTGTTGTCCCTACGACATCGCACCTTGTATCGCCCAACATTACCCCGCACACAGTGAGCGCGCCAGTTTTAATTAATAGTGAACATTTAAAATGTTGCAAAAAAGAAATAACAGACTAGGTGGGGCGCAGATCTCCTAGCGGTGAAGTCGCGACCTATGTACAGAGGCTGTAGTCCTCTAAGCAGGCGGCCAAGGGTTCAAGTCTGACCTGCGACACATTTCCCATACATCACTCCCCTCTGTCTATCTCTTTATCGCTTTATATGCTATAAAGAAATATCCTCTGAAGATAACTCTGTGAGTCATGACTGTCTACAATGGGTGTAACACCCGAGTCCCACTGTCTGTGATGTTTTCAGAGTTTTCAGAGTCCTATCTTCACTTTGTTTACATCGTCGGGACGGCGGTTGACTCCTCCCCTCGTGTATAAAAGTTGTTTAATTGAGGGACTAGAGAAAAGAAGAATAACATACTGTACTCACTGCTTAACTGTGTTTCTAGATCACACTCATTTCAGTTAAATTTACATGCAGTGTGAAGATACGAGCATGATAAAGATCTCTAGCATTAGCATGCTAATACAACAATGCAGCGCGAGTTGTTTTGGTTTCATGCTGGTTGCTCAAGGGCGACATCTGCTGGATCAAAAAATTGCATATAAAGCCTTTAAGGCTAATAGCCCACAAATAATTGTCTCCAACAGTTGTTTCAGGGAAAATACATCAGCTAGCATTTGTCATAATATCATGCTGTTTAGTGAAGAACATACATTTGAGCGTCAACGGAAGTTCCTCACACTTCAAGGAGGATTGAATACACCCAACTTTATCACCCTGACACTCAGAATTTTCTGGCTTTAAATTTTAAGTGTAGAGGATTTTGCTGTATACGTTTGTTTTCAGGTTTTTACTACAGCAAACCACGGCATTCCAACCCTGTTCCTTCCTATATGTTTAGGGCTGCCATTGTTTTTTTTGCCATCACCGCAATTGCTGCGCCATGATAGAAGTACGATGTGATTTCAAGATTTCAGGATTCTAAATGACACCGTCATGCTTACCTCTGATTTCCAGCGTCTCCACGTTACTGTGAGCTGAGCCCTAACTGTGTTAAACACATGCTCTTCATTAAGGGAGAGAAAATGTTCTCCCCAGGCTTTCATCACACATACATACCAAGCACACCAATAAGAAGCGAAGCTTTCCAGTCCCACGGAATAAGAGTGTGTGTTCCTTTTTTTTAACACTTGTAATATCCTGATTGGGGAGCCAGCTGCAGGGTAGAACGGTGACAGACATCTCTCTAATTGCAGGAAGCTAACCCGCACACTGTTTGATGTGTTCTGCTTGCAGGGAGAGAAAGGGGACATGGGAAACATTGGAAAACCTGGACCACAAGTAAGTTGCTATCTCACTTGTAAAGTACAGTACTGTTATTAACTAACAACCACCATGCTGTGCAATAGCAGCTTCTCATTAAGTCCTCTTTAAGGGTGTTAATGTGGAGCCTGTGCTGCGGTTTTAATTGGTTCCACTTCCTGTCTTTAAAGCATTTACAGTACATTTAAAAATACATTTTCCCAGCATATTAAGATACTGATGCAATTCATCTCTATGAATGAATATTTTGGAGGACATTAAAGAAGTATTTCCTGACGTCTTACTGTTTTCCTGACCTACTTTCAATGTTAAGACAATTTGGATCATCTCCCAGAATCACAGTTCGTTTGGTCATCGTGAAATTGGCAGAGCACACAGCAGAAAAAAAAAAAAAAAGGAGAGTAATATGAGATCTTCGGTGAAGTCACCGTGTTTGGGTTTCACAGTTTTCTAAAGCTCAGGGCTGCTAAAGTGTTTTTTTTTGCCAAAGTATCTGCTGCATGTTGTCAAAGTTCAATAACTGTGGAATCTCTGGTCAGATTATTTGTAATTATAATTAACGTATGAACTGCAAAATTACAGTTGCAGATGCTGCCTGTCCGTTTCATACTTCATTAATACTTTGTACCCAAAACAAATATCTCAAAAGAAATTGTCTTCTTTTGCAAAATCCTCAGACGCACAAAACTCTCTGAACATCCAAACTATGTCCGTCCTTTCCGGAGGCCCCCATAATGTTAATATTTGCATTCTGTGCATAGTGGAGGCAACCAAGCGGGCCGTGTTGGACTGTGTTTCTGCAGCGCACATATGAGAGGGATTAAGCACTCACTGCGTAGAGAGAGCTTTGAAGCCTAGGAGGAGCCGTGGGGCTATGCAGAGGAAATAAAAAAACAACAACTCTACAACATATGGAGGCTCTAATGAATTGCATGACATCACTTTTCCAAATAAGTTAGTTGTGTAAGAATCTGAGAAAAAAGACTGTTATCTAGTAACAGGTTAACCCAGGGGTGCCTGTCTTTTCTGAGCCACCCCTGTATCACCATGTGGCCTCCCATAAAATGTCTCTCAAGTGAAATTTTACTGGAGGTTTTTTACAGTGTGGTAGATTTGAGCCAATTTAGATTTGCTGCTGAGTGCTCCCCCTTTAGTCCACAACTACTAAAACATGTCGCAGCCGTCAATTACCAAAGGCAGCCACAGGCGTGCATGATATGCAGTTCATATGTCAACTTATTGCTTTGATTTTCATGTCAGTGACTCACTTAACCTTAATACTCTTAGTTGACTGCAGCTGTATTTCTTCCCAAACGTAAGGTTAATGGGTATACCAGTACTTTTTGTAACCCTGGCTTTGACTCCGAAACCAGATCTGCCTTTAAAACAGAACGGTAAAAAGCGCCGGTGTCACATGGAAACCACTTTGAAACCATTTCCTTCTGTTAGGTGATACCGGGGTACCACATTGTCCCACTTCTTGTCCCAATTAAGGGATTTGAGGTCAATTTAAAGCTCTTGTTCCAAAGCCTGCAGGCTGCATCCCTCAGAAAACACTCTGCTACTAATCTATCACTTAAATGCTCGACTTGCCTCCAACAGGATAAAAACCCTAGAGGTGATGAGTAACAATTTGAGGCTGTTTTTTTTTTTTGTTTTTTTGCTGAGTTAGGGACGAGCCAATGGAACAAAATGTCACTGTGTTCATGTAAACAGTTTGTTATGTGTCTTTTTCAGTGTCTCACCTACTTTGTCCTTCTTGTCACTTTCCTTACTGACGTTCCTTCCTTCCTTTCCCTTACTCTCTGGTCACATGGCGTGATACAGAAAAAGGTTACAGAGGAATAAAAACTAAATGCCAGGATGTAAACTATATGATTATGTGCTCAAAGTAAAGAATAGCAGTCATATAGAATCTGTGCAACCTGTTAAGTACGTGAATGGATCAGGAAAGACGGAAATGCAGCAACTGGAAATTGGCACTCAGATCCAGAGGCAGCCGCAGTCTGACCGCGCTGGCTTTTGTGGTCGACGCTTAAGTGAGACCATGGTCTGAACTTGGGCCAATCACATGAATTATTGCAACAACAGTATGATTGAGTTTAGGTCAGATGTCCTGGTAGTTTACAGTGTCCTAGTGGCTTTCTGCATGTGCTGTGGTGTAACATACGAGCAGTATTGTGGCTTCGGTTCAGAGGGTGTTACCTACATTTTGTCAGACTTTTATAATATTCACTCCAAAGTTTTCTTTAAATTCTTCTAGAAAAACAGACACGTAAAGGTTTTGAAACATAAAACTGCCCTTTCTTTTTCCATATGTGTAACCTCAATGTGACACATAACAAGGTAAACCTCTTGTAAAAGGACATAGCTGCTCCACAAGTTTCACTAAGGGGGTCTGGATTGTCTAGCGGGGAGACTGGCACTGGTCCAAACCACAACCCCTGTCCCAGACGACAGATCTGGTAGTGGTTATGCTCCTCTGATAACTCTCACATTAACATAGAGGTGTGTTTTGCACATGAGGACCTCTTTGCTGCACAGTTATCTTTTTTTTTTTAAGATCATCTGTGTCAAGTTTCTGTTCACTGTGAAATAATCATGCCCCCTATTAAGTCCCTATCATCACAAAAACATGTGTACTTGCTTTTCCCCCACCAGACAACATGGTTTTGTTCCAAGACTCACAAAAGCTTTAGATACATCTCAAGGTTACGAACATTCAAGTTCTTGTTTACATTTTGGTGGATGATCAAATCCATATGGAGTTTTCTAAACGGATCTTAGGAGAAGAAAAAGTGCGCCATAGTTACTCGCCTCTGTGTCGTCTTGATTTTTTTTCTCGCTGTTTACTCAAGCATGAATACATTTACACTTTGTCATACTCGAAAGATTAAGGACAACCGTGAGAAATTGAGGACATTTTTAATAATTAAAACAAGCTGTTTTTTTAAGCATTAGTTATTTTGTTTAAATAACTCTTCAGGGGTGAGGATAAATGTTTCCTCCATGGACTTGAAGCAGCTTTTGTTTTGTCCCCTGAAGCATTATTGTTATCTACAGCCATTGTAGGTTTCATACCAGGTTTGAAAATAACTCTTAAATGAATGAAGAAGTCCACACACACTCACATTCTCTGTTTTTTTAAACAATATGCCTCTTTTTTCCTCTCTCATCTTTCCTCTCTTTTACTCTCCACCTCCCCTCTCGAAGGGTCCGCTAGGCCTGATCGGGATAGCTGGAGTGATGGGAGTTCCGGGTGAAAAGGTAAGCAGTGTGTTTCTCTATCATTAGTCTGTCAGTCAGCATCAGCTGGGTTGCTTGTCAGTCGCAGACCCCTGTAATTTGGGGGTTGGGCTAAGCAGCCCATGGCTTGAGGCCCTTAGAAAGGGCCCCCCCCCCCTGAAAAAATGCTTAGAGAGGCACTCACCACTCTCACATCGACAACAATAACAAACATTGTCAATGCAGCGACACCATTCATGTGTCCTGTCGCTCCTCCTTCAAGATGGGAAATTCATATTTAATAGCTGACAAATCCATTTAGACAAATTGGAAAAATGACTGTCATCTACATTAAGATATTAATATATCTTAATGTATTCATCAAATACATGAAGACTTATAAAACATAAGTAAAGGCATAGATCCACACAGGTGTAGGTTGTATATGAATCATTTTGATGCTGCAAGCTGTAGAGGCCTGAGGCTCTCTTCATGTTTGTCTTTAATTGCTTCTCGGGTTAAAAGTAAATATTAAAAGTGATCCCTGCAACAAAATCAAGTAAATAATTGTCCAACCAGTCCATGTATTAATTATCAAAGTCCTCCAGTCTGCTACATAGCTCTATTCTTCCCTCCTTCTGTATATAGAAAAACGTGCCCCTCTTCATTCCTATCCAGACGCCCCCTGTGTGTCAGAACATGTTCTTGTGATGGGAAGCCGTCTGCTTGTCAAACTCTTGCTTTCCCTCCGCCCTGCCTCCCCCCTTGTTCACTCTGTCAGCACCAGCCATACCCTGACAGCCCACAAATTCCTTTCACAAGATAGATCAATTCAATTCCCCTTTTCTCCAGATTAAGACTCGTGTTTCCAATACAGAGCGCTCAAACTATTCTGCTCAGCGTCCGATAGAAGTGCACAGAAGAGCTTGCACAGTCATGAATGCAGCACAGTTCAAGAAAGGATTAAGTATCACTGACACAAGAGTTAGGGAGTTTAGATGTGGGAGGCCCAGGAAGCTTTACAGCGCACACACACAGAGTTACCTTTGCTTTTAACACACTGTGCAGAGTGCCACCAACCGGGGTTTTCAAAGTACCTGCTCACCACTCAACCAGCTGTCACTCAAACGGCCTGTGTTTAAGAAGCAGCTCTCCAGTTTCATTGCTCTTTATTAGGAAAAAGACTATGTGAGAGGTTTTTTTTTTTTCTGTGTTTAGGTTTTCAGGTCAGAGTTAAATGATCTGCTCTCTCTTTCTGTCTTACTGTTTTTTTTCCCCCAGGGCGATAGAGGACCAGCGGGTCCAACAGGTCCAGTCGGGGAGAAGGGGCCAAGGGTAAGTACAGTCCCTCAGGAAATACTGCAGAGTCCTGCTTCTTGTCTGAAAGTTGGTTCACTCCAGACCCATGTGCATTTTAAACTAAATGTTTCCAAAGAAAACTGCAAAAGCTCCGACAGCCTACCTAGAGGGCGAACACTTGGTATAGAAAACGAATGACTTTGGATGATTAATTCAAAACCGAATCGACTGAAGTGAAGCAGCTCTGGCTGTATAGTCACAAAGCTTTGTTCATGGAAATGAAAGCAGACTCTTCAGACCTAAAAGCATCCAGACTCCTCAGTCTTGAGGTTCTTTTTTAAGCTCTGTGTAAAATTCAACCATAGCTAATTTGTCTTCCCACAGTGATGTTAAGGATCAAAAACATCCTTTTTACTTTTTTTTTTTTTTAGTACTGCTAAAGGACTTTTTAAAAATGTCTGTGATGTCTCTATTCAGTCTTAAATTATTACATCTGTAATAGAGCTACAACTAAAGCAAAGGGTGGTTTATTCTGCTCCATCCAGGGGCGTGTCCAGACTTCATCCAGGGGCGTGTCCAGACTTCATCCAGGGGCGTGTCCAGACTTATTTGATTGGGGTGGCCCGATTGGCGCTCTGATTTAAGCACGGTGGCGTATAGTTTATATGCACACCAGAATGAAATAATTTAATTAATGTACCTTTCTATCTGCATTACTGCTCATCAGGTTAACAAGAGAATGACATCATGTCAATCTTCTGAGCTTGAGTCTTTAAGGTTAAAAGAAGATGTGTGTCCAAAGTCACAATTTAAAGTTCCAAAACTACATTCATTGCCAATGTGACTGAAATATAGTGAGTTAGTTTATTGCAGGTTTGACATGATGCAAAAGTTTGAAAGCACATTATTGATAGACTCATTCCTTTCCTACGCTCCAATCTTATGAAATAGGTTTTCAAAGTATTGATTTTCAAAGTACTCAAAATGCTGCAATGACACGTCAAGAAAACTACACAACATGAACACTTAATTGAAAGTGAAGTGAAGTGCCTCTGAATCGGCAAAAAGCCAATCTTAGTTTAGGATTTTTGGAGTGGCATCTGGGGGTGGCCAATCAGATTTCAAGGGGGCCCATGCCAGTCCTAGCCACCCTTCTGGACACGCCCCTGGCTTCATCATCTGCCTGAAGAACTGAATAAGCTGAGTAATAATAATAATACTGAGTGGACCTATCTTTTACTAAACAATCCTTGCACACACCTGAACACAGTAAAGACTAAGAATAGATCTTTCTGAAGGAGTGTATTCTCGTTGTCTTACCTCAGTCAATTCAATGTGATGTTTGATTTGATAACAGTTTGGCAGTGCAGGTTAATAACAGGGATTCCCATATCACTATTGATGCAGCTTATTGGTCGGATTCTTCAACAGGTCTGATGAGTTTTATGATTGACTGTGTAAATGTGAGGCCCACAAGTTTTCAGAGTTGTGAAAAAAAGTGTGCACTGTTTTACTGTTTAGTTTAATGTGCAAGCGTTGTGCACAGCTCTATTGTTATTTTAACATTGGATATTTGCCCTTGGTAACAGACGTGCTGCTTGGTTGTAGCTCTCGTGCGTATAGCGTCAAAGATATGGTATTCCTGGAATGTAGGCTCATGTTCCACAGAAAGATGTTTCAGCATATTGCTGGTGTTCCCACCCTTCTTGAGAATATCACTTTTTGAAGACATTACACATAGCTCTATTGTCATCTTTTTTTTCCTGCTCTTTGTGCTACGACTGCAGATTTTTGCAAGTTTTGCTTGGCATGACAGACTGTCAGAAAAAAAAACACGCACCAGTAATAGGAATTGAGGAGTTCAGATGCATTCAATTTGGACAGTTTGGAGCTCGATTCACATCCCTATTTGGCCTGCATCCCTCCCTGTCCTGGGGCCTTGGAGGAAATCCATGCTTGTGGCTTAGGGCCCAAGTCCTGACCTATCTGGCTTGCAGACTGGCTAGCAAGGCTGACTGTTTGGCTGGCTGGAGGAAAGGATGACTAATTTGGTGGCTGGATGGCTAAATAGTTAAATGATTGAATCATTACTTGTGTGAGTGCTTGTTTGACTGCGAGTGTGATTTTGTGACTTCTGTAAGGCGCTCTGATGATCTGTGTGAAGCAGTTTGAGTTATGATGCAGCCTCGTTAATGAGGGGTGGCACTTCTTTTAACATATTTATTGTGCCCATTTTTGCCTTTATTAGGTTGGACAGCTGGAGAGAGACATGAAATGTGGGGAGGAGAGAGTGGGTGATGAAATGCATCAAAGGGCTGAGGTTGGATTCAAACCCACGGGCCACTGGGAGAAGGACTATATCCTGTGCACACGGGGCACGCAAAATAACCGCTAGGCTATCCGGCGCGTCAGGATGGCACTTCTTTAGGCTGTTTCAGTTTAAAAAGCGTTTGCAGGGATTCTCTTTTCCTGGCAAATCTTAACCACATTCGTCTTGACCGGCTCTGTTTGCTATCGTGGTTTAATTCCCCTTATAGTCAATAACAGATCGAGAATCGGTGGTGAAAAGAGCTGTGGCATCCAGCTATTCTGCCCTCTTTGAAAATGAAACACAGTTTTGATCTTAATCCTTCTCGGTCACACATGTAACAGCCTTTATTGCACAGCCCTGCTCTGCTAATCATTGTTAAAATGTACAAATGCTACAATGTGTGTTTGATCTGTATAACGACGACAGCTCCCACTTCTGATGTAGCAGATGCCGACAACAGTGACATGGTTTCTTGACCACTTTGTTCTAAGCTGTCTCTTATTTCTGTTTCCATGTAAGGGCTATCCAGGGTTGCCAGGAAGTCCAGGGGACATCGGCATGCAAGGTGCATCTGTAAGTGTTCCACACGACCATCTGCATTATGTCAGCGTAAACACTGATTCTCTGAAACTGGTTTACCATTTTAACCCCCCCCCACACACACACACACACACACACACACACACTTTATTTATATTCTCCTTTGGTTAACTTCCTCTACAGAACTGTCTTCTTGTCTCTTGCTTACTCTGCATTTTGCATCGAGTCACGCACAGATCAGTGCTTAATGGACTGAGAAGCTTGCATGCGCCGACTGACTCCCATCTTCTCCACTCAGTGGCTTTGGCTGGATCATGTAAACGCTTAAAATTGCGAGATGAACTTGGGACTGCAAAACTGATTTAGCGGAATGTTCTCTTTTCTGTAAACACCTTCAAATTTAAAGGGCTGATTTGGTGTATCAGATGTCCAGTTCCCACAATTTAGTCTGGACCTGTGTAAACAGTCTGTCTTCACCGTCTGATTCTGCAAGAGTTCTGCGAAAGCATTTGCAGGATATTCACAAGGTTTACATGACAAGTGAAAAGATGCAGCGAGATGTCTTGTTATGCCTGGTTGTTTGTTGTATTCTCACTGTCTGGTCTTACGATTTCTGTCTTCTATCTTTTTTTGTCCTCACAGGGTCCACAGGGGCAGAGGGGCATTCCTGGCATCGCCGGGCCAAAGGGCAGAAGGGTAAGAGCTGTCTGAAATATTTTGGGCATTACAAATGTCTGAGCGTACTTCGACTAAACCATGCAAACTTCCCTTATCCGAGCCTTGGTTTGTCTGTTTCACATCACATCTCCATTCTCATAAACTGGAGGTGAAAGCAATTAAAAAAACATGTGTTTGTCCTTCCACTTGGGCCGGGCTTCTTTGTAGGGGCTTTTACAACTGTTTCATTGGCCCCATGACTCTCATTGGTGGAAGACGTTATGGTAATGTCAAACGGACATGGTTGTCGTGATACTGGTGAGACACCGTGTGGCTGAGAGGGGAATGACACCTTCAGTTGAAGAGGAAATTAATCATTATGATGGTGATTGTGGTCGGACCTCGAGGAGCTGTTGAACATTTCAACAGTAATAACTGAGGAACTGAGTGGAGCAGAGTCAAACAAACAAGAGCACATTTACCTTCAGTTTATCTAAACTTTCTGGAGTCAGAACTCAAAGGGACTATATCTGAGTTTTATTGGTGTATATATTTGTAGTGATCAATTTTCTTTCTCAATAATACTTTTCACAGACTTTCAAAGTAGTGCGAACACATGTTCTTCTTGTCAGCTCTTCCTGAGTGATTATGTGGTCTGCATTTCAACCAGGTTTCATCTGCTAGAAAACATTGTTGAGCTGCTGTGTACGAGGTTTTTGTGAGGCGTTCAGGTCCTCTTATTATGCTGCAGGACTCTGAATTGTCAGTTTCTCTTTTGTCCACCAGTTAAGAATCATTGTTTCCTCTGCAGCAGCACACTCTGGGAGGTCCTCGTAGTTTAGCCGTTAATTTACTGTAAATCTTTCCTAAACTGAGGGGTTTGCTTGTGCTTCACGCCTCTGCCGTGGCTAAAGCTCTCAAGTTGAATACTTTTAACCAATACAAAAAAAAAATGTACAGGAAAAGCTCAAGAGCCAAATGATTACGACATAATACCGAACAACTGCTCACACTTAATCAATCATCCACACTTGACTTCCTTTAATCTTTTGTTTACTTCCTTTTCTCCTTTTTGAAATTTTGCCAAGCGACACATATGGCTGCACTTAAAATGCAGCGGCTTGTGTTGTTTACTGTAATCTATACACGCGTGACTTTGTGGTTGCATTTCCTGCATCGCTGAGTCACCAGGACCAGAGAAAAGTGCGAAAGCTAATCCTTTGAATCCTCATACTAGCTATACTGGATGAGCTTTTTGGAAGACATATAGAACATAGACATGCATCCTTCTCAACACTATGGTTAGTCAAGAAGGATTTCCCCTACAGTGGGATGCATCATTAAGAAAGCAAAACATAGCTGCTACACCACTTGTGTCTGTTTACCAGCTGATGAATAAATTAAAAAAAAAAAAAAACATATCCTGGAGCTTGCTAATGTTGTGTGCAACTGCCTTTATTGACGCACCGCTGCACCAGCTCCAAAGCTAGTGATGGTCTTGGACAAACAGGAAGTGCGTCTTCTGAGTTATGAATAACTTCTCTCAGATTTAATCTATTTTGTTTTGAATCTTCTCCGTTTGAATTATGACTCAGTGATGTGTGGAGACACAATCTGACTTTGTACCTATACTGTACTTACACCTGACATTTGGGTATTAGTCAATACTGACTACTGATCAGAAACCAGGGCTTAATTACAAAGTTGTGTGAACTCACTGAATGAGGAGGCAAATGGGAGTATTCTTTGTGTTACCCAAATTTGGCCAAGTTAAACCCAAGTTAAAAAAATGTATCCACAGATAAAAATGTTGCAAAATGTTATCTATTATTAAAAATAATAAAACAGTTTACTGGTCTATAATCTTGATAATGAACAAAAGATGCAAAGGCAACAACAAACCTGTTTAGGAATGCTAAGTTGAGGATTAAAAAAAAGTAAAGTCATTAAATCGTAACTACTGCAAACAAACTTGTCAGGGTAACTAAGCGATCTATGTTAGTGATGGTGATGAATGTATTAAATCAGTGTCTTGACTATCCCTGTTTACTAAATGAAAGGATTCAGCTGACAGAGACAAAGATGGAACACAGGGTGCAGCAACAATGCTCACCTCGAAAAAAAAAAACTTAAACACAGATAATACTCTGCAATTAAAAAATCAAGATCGCAAAGAAAGATGAGCTACAGGAAGGAACAAAGGGAGCGACAGGTAAAGCTGAGGTTGTCTGCCTGGAAGCTTTAAAAGGTGGACAGAGCGACCTGAGAGGGACGGGAGAGACTACCGACTGGAAGCCAGAGGCTCGGGCACGGCAAAGTGGGAGCAGATAGAGATCCACTAAAGGTAGAAAATCTAAAAGAGGAGAGACAAGATGGGACTGAAAGATAGGATAGAAACCTCTGAGGGAGTGGAAAGGGAAGAAAAAGGGTGTGTGGATGTATTCAAAGATCTTTATCAGTCACCATGCCTGTGTGGTGGTGCCACAATGCCCAGAAACTTTTGGAATGTTTGTGGGAGTGGCATGCTGAATCCACTGAGACTGCTGTGCACGTGGTAACTACAGTATGATGCTTTGATGCTTGAAGTCTTCCTGTGCTGCGTTGTCTTTGTTGAGTGATGTTTAAAGGTGTCTCTTTGCTGCTGTCTCATAGGGGCCCCAGGGTCCAGATGGCCCACTAGGAGAACCAGGCCCAGAGGGCACCAAGGTAAACCATGCATGCCACCCTGATGAAAAACATTGACATGTGACTATGGGATCATGAAAATATACTCCTGCATGTGATATGAACAGTATTACAGCTGGAACAAATACTTTCTTGACTTTTTATATTTGTGACGGTCATGGATGGTTCATTAGATTTCCCTCCCTGTATTTTTAAAACGCATCATTTGGTTCCTTGCAGGGTGAAAGGGGAGACATCGGACATAAAGGAGAGCCTGGATTTATTGTAAGTAGTTCCTGAAATGAACATGGGAGGATCACATTTGACACAGTTTTCAACACTTCCTGAATGGTTATGATGATGTAAATGTTTGATGTCGTGCACGTTTCAGGATGGGAAGGCTTCAGGCTCTTGAGAAAATGAGAAGGCACATTTATTAGCCTCTTCCTCCATCCTCAGCTGAGATAACCATTATTATCATGGTTGTAGGGTTTCATCTCCTTTGGAAGATGCACACTGACCTCACGGAAAAGACTGAACCACATCATTACCCCGGTATCTAATGTAACCCTGAGGCCTCTGTACACGCTCTCATCAGCTGTTAGTTGCAGAGTGGGCCTTTGTCTTTTTTTGCCTCACCATCTAATTATACCAACAGGAAGTTATTATGGAAGGCTCTGAGCTTTTAAAGAGGAAAGCTGAGCTACATCTGATGATGTGTGCAGGATGAACTTTGTATCTTCTTCTAACCAGCTTCAGGTGTGCATTGTTTCTATAGAAGAAATCAAGGGCGATCTCTGTTTATCCAAATAGGAAGATCTGCAAACACAATATAGGTTTGTACATGTTGTGTTGATATATCAGGTTTCTCTTGAGTAAGTAAGTCATTAATGAAGAGTGTAGTTAAAGAGCAATAGTCTTTGTAATTGATAAAGGTTACATCATCACTGATGTAGAAGTGAAGCAGCCCCGTGTCCACCTAGTGTTTTTTTTCCGAGCGCCAGCGTCTTTTTTCAATTGTCTTCAAGGAGAGAGCGTTCGCAGCAGAAAGCGGCTGTCTGGAGAAAAATTGCAGTGCCCAGCGTCTTTTTTTCTGCTCCATCTTTTTGTGCGGCTGCTCGGAGAGCTCAAGTTAAAGAGGTCATATTATGAACTTTTTGGGGTTTGTATATTTAATCTATGTACCTACTAAAGTATGTTCACAATACTAAAGTTATAAAAAAGTGTCTGTTTTCATGAACTGCCGCTCCATGCACCGGCTCGCTTCTGACTCTCTCTCTAAGGCTCTGAAGTGCCCACGTTCAGAGTCCCCACGTGTGCCAAGTCCGATCTGATTGGTCGGCTTGTCGGCTCTTCCGTAATTGGTCAGTCGCTCAGCACAGTTCTCGGAAATGTCACGCCCCTTTTACCATATTTAGAATGCAGCCACTTTGGCTCCGAGGGGAGCATAAACATTAGCACTGTAGCACTACTGTGCTACCGCAGGCTACGGCATATCGTGGGCGTGCTACAGAAGTTAACGGGCGTGCAACATGAGCTGCTGGACTTGCCACAACGAGCCAATGGGCTTCGATCAGTGATCTCACACTGACAAGACATCACACTGACAAATTTTTCTCGAGGGGGGCTCGAACCGAGCGTTACATGCAGCTAATGCTACAGCTAATAGGAGGACTTAGGAGAAGCTGCGTTTCAGCAGACTTTGAATTTTTGCACATAGATGTGCCCAAACATGCACAGGACACTTGGAAAACACACTAAAGAGCAGATAAAACCAGAAAAAGCAAGTTTTCATGATATTCCCCGTAGTTTTGCCGCCTACAGATTGTGTCTTGTACCCACATAGTCGTGTCGGTCATACAGCGGCTGTTGTCAACAGACTGTTGTCATAGAGACAGGACGGACGTTCAGCGCTTTTCTTCTCAACACTTAATGCGAGCACTCCCGAACGCACAGCCAGCGCTTTTTCTGCCCGGGAAAAACGCTAAGTGGGAAAGGGGGCCTGAGGTGACTAATCAAGGAAGACATTCATCTCCCTCAGGCAGACGTGTCGTGGTGTTATGTTAGGGTCAAACCCAGTACAGACTAACACACAATGTGTTCCTACATCTTTCTTTAAATAAATCGGAATTACTCTGATTGATTGTTAATCGTTTAACAAAATCATTCTGTGTTAAAGGGCAAGGCTGGAAGTCCAGGAGAAAGGGGCCCTGCAGGAAAAGCTGTAAGTAATGTTCAACTTGTCTCTCTCAAAGCTTTCATTTCCCTCCTAACTCAAGCGAAACCTTTCACCGTGGCTACAGGAGGAAACACAGACTCGTTAAAACAAAAAACTCTCCACATCCTCTTTTCACCTGTAATATGTATAATTATGGTTTGAAGAGTGTGCTCCAATAAAGTCACCCCAGAGGAAGTTGTCCAAGTTTAAAGAAGCTGCTGAGCAGTGTTTCCTGACTCGTATTTAAAACACATGTACAGGTAAATCCTCCTCACTCATGGTGTGTGTTGGTGGGAACTTTCACCTCATCATAGAGATACAGTATACAGTCATACACTTCCATATTTTGTGAGGTTAACAGTTAACATTGTTTATGTTTATTGTTTATGTGTTTGGAGCAGGATGGTGCACAGTTTAAAGTTGGTGTCCTCTGGTGGAGAAGTGATGTAATAGAGTATCAGTACTAGCGCACATCCTGCTGACAAGTTGTGCTTCTCATGTCTCTTATTTTCTGTTTCCTCGCTCCTTGCTCCTCTCTTCAACCTGAAGTCGTTCTGTGCTGCCATATTAAAGGAAGTCTCTTATTTTTAGTTTCCTCGCTCCTTGTTTCCTCCCTCGTTGCTCCTCGCTCATCGCTCCTCGCTCCTCGCATCCTCCCTCCTTGCTTCTCACTCCTCGCTCTTCGTTTCTCGCTCCTCACTCCTCACTCCTCACTCCTCATTCATCCCTCATCCCTCCTGGCTCCTTGCTCCTTGCTCCTCACTCTCCTCACTCTTCCCTCCTCCCTATTCGCGCCTCACTTTTCCCTCCTCGCTCGTTGCTCCTCTAGTCTAGAAGTACTTCTCTAGTCTCTTATTTCACCACGGAGGAGCAAGGATAAAGATAAAGATAAACTTTATTGATCCCCCATGAGGGAAATTTTTGTATTACAGCAGCTCAAGAAAAGGATGGCTGGAGGAAACAACTCTAAAAGGCGAGGATTGAGGAAACATGAGAGCAGCCATGCCCACATGTGCTAGTAGCACTATATTTCATGCTAGTCCATGATATCAGCCAGAGGATTGATTGGCTAGGCTCTTCTGTAAGATGAGACGTTACTGTAACAAACCCCTCAGGAGAAACGTTCTTCTATCAGCAGCTATGAGTGATACTATGTACGCTGTAGGACACAAAGAAAACCACTTTCTCAAACCACAGTGTTCTGTTTTTTTGGGTTTTTTTTACCATTAGGAAAATGAAAAATGTTAGTTTTCAAATGTGTTGGAGCTGTGAGAGGATAAAATAATTTATGTTCCACAGATGGTGAAAACATGTAAACAAAAACAGATCATAACCAGATTCCATGTTGATCGTTGAGTCTTCTTTCTTTTTATCTACTGAGAGTTTCTGCAAATTGTTTCATCTGTTTGTGGCAGGATTTACACAAGACGATCACTAGTCAAAGAAAAGCTGTATCACCTACATGATTAAGCATTGTGGGAATCTGTTGTTTGGCTCTGTCATGATTTCCACTGATGAATGGGCTTCATGTGCTGGTGCTTTGGGTTGTGTATAACTTTTGTACAAAGTTATACACAACCCTTTTAACTCACAAGTAATCCTTGACATCTGGCTGTTTGATCCTTAAAGTGATTGATGATAAAAAAAAAAAAAGGACATGGACATCACACCAATCTCACTTTTAAATCTTACCCCACAAATGTTTCAGGCAGCTTCAACGACTATGGAGTGCCTCCCTCGCCATTAGGAAGTTCACACATGACATTTTTGGGTTGCTTTTAGTCGACGTGCAGCCTCGTGTTCTCACTCTCACATGTACAAACACACACGTCCACGCACACCTGAAAGCATCAACACACACACACATGCTTAGGACAAGTTGCGACCTGTCCTCCATCAGCATATCTGCTGTCCACCTCTGGACTCAGAGCGCCATCTTGTGTTCGATCAAATCTTCCCCCCTAAACTATTTATGAATAGCTCCTCAAAGTTTTTTTTTTATATGCCATGAATTCCCAAACTTATGTTCTCCTCAGTGAAATCAGAGCCAATTAATCTCAATGTTAAATGTGGATTTTTAGTTCACATATTTGTAATCGATTGGATTATGTCAAATCATTGCTCATTACTAAATCTTCTCGATCAGATCATTTGAATCCTTTAGTTTGCAGCTCCAGTTTTCTTCTTTTGAGTCCCACACAGTAGTGAATATCAGTCAGTGTTTGATTATGATGAGTAATGTTTTACTGGTTCACCAGATATCATATGTCCCACCAGACCCTACCACACTCGCTCCACTGATCGTCTATTGCTTCAAGTCCTGCAAGTTTTCTCTCAACTTGGAAAATCAGCATCTAGCTTTTGTGCTCAAAAAATGAAGAATCAAGACTGACACTCTTGTTTCTCTTGGACAAATGAAGACACTGATCTCAAACCACTTGACCACAGTGTGCGATTGTTTTTTACTGAGAATCATCCTGACCTGTCTTTGTTGTTGTATTTTGCGCCCTCTGTTTCGAGGCTCAAATACGGGTATGAAGCGAAACGAAATCATTCAAAACCAATTTATTTCAAGGTTTTCTTTGGTCGAGGCTCCTGAATCCATTCCGTATCTGTCACTGAACTTAAGTGTATTAACTCAAAGCTTGGCCAGCAAGCAAGCAAGACATTAAAACATGAGGGTTTCATGTGTACACTTGGCAAAGACAGTTCCTGGACGACAACAAAGGGATCCAAAGATTACAGGAAATCAGAGTGTCTGCATTATATCTGTCGACATCAGGCAGACCAGAAAAGGCTGAGTCATCATGTTCGCGGTTGCCTTACTAATAATGACGATAATGATGATTAGAGGAACGTTTTCCGTGGCCACGTTTTTTCTCCTGCTCGTTTCCTCTCGTTTCATAAGTGGATGTCTGAGTGTGATGCCTGTGTGTGTGCTTCCAGGGTAAACCAGGTGTCGCTGGCAGCGGCGGAGAGAGAGGAGCCCACGGTGAACCAGTAAGTCTGCTGTCCATATTTATTTATCTTCTCAGGAAAGTGCAAACCAAAACCCACTCATTGGGAAACCTATAATGACTGTGGAAAATATCTGCAGAATCACGATTGCTCATGAACGTTTCCCAAGAAAGAAGCTGTCAGGATTTCACATTTTTAAATCAACACATCAGAAGAGAGGGGAGAGATGGAATCATTTAGTTTTATTCTTTCTCCCTCTAATTCACTCACACCTTAAAGCATCATAGCTCGTGTCTCCCTTCTCGGATTCCCCTCGGAGTTCTTGATTTCCTGGAAATCAACGGGGACCCCTCAGGGAAATAACCAATGTCAAACAATCAGATATAAATATTTCTTTGGTAGGAAGGTTTTAATAAGGCCGAGGTTTACGTTATGGGTCTCGTCTTGCCTTTGGCTGGTCTTCAGCTCAACTCTTAAGCATTTTCAGCGTTCTGCTCGTCCCTCACTCTGCAGACTCAACATTGAACTGTGTGTTTGTCCAGACATTATGTGGCTCGAGTTGTGTATTATGTTGCTCTGAAGTTTAAAACCTCCTGATTAACTGTGCTTAGTGACTCCACTAATGAGTTTATTTGAACTCCAAAGCATATTATGATGCTTATTTTATCTTGCAGGGACCCAAAGGACCTCCTGGAGAGGCTGGACCTGATGGGGAACAAGGACTTGAAGTACTTTTCATCAGATATTCTTAACTTTTTTATCTGTTTTATTGAAGCAGTTGGAGTTTCATATTTAACACTCCTTATTATAACATCAGTCGTGCCTGGTTTCTCTGTTTCATCTTTGCAGGGCGGACCTGGTGCAGAGGGGGAACCGGGTGTCATCGGAGAGCCAGGATTAAAGGTCAGTAACAACCTTGCCATAATTTTTACTGCCTCGTCTCCTGCATCCTAGAAGACATTAGTCATGTGCAGCCTCAGTCCCTACCTGCCTGCAGCGGTGTCAGAAGCCATGAACTTGCTCAGTCACAGCATAGCTGACAGAACTATAGCCTGAGGCGAAAAACAGCAGCTGATTGTCAAGTCTAACTTCTCCCTGAGGTTCAAGTTGTTTAGTGTAAAGGAAAGTGTGCGTGCTCATAAAAGCTCCCGTGTTGTGTTTTGTGTCTCTGCAGGGGGATATCGGGCTTCCAGGAGCTGAAGGGGAGCAGGGACAGGAGGGAATACGAGTGAGTGACTCCCGACTAAGCCAGTAATCCCTTCCTCTCCAGTGTTTAGGAAAATCTTACCAGGTCATTTATTTACTCCCTCTCATTTTGATGAGGATCCCTAATCCCCCCCGGGCCAAAGAAAGCAGAACGGTGGACTTATTTTTGTCTGATGGATTATATAAATAGCTGTTGGACTTCTTGAGTCTGAACCTCTTCAACAGTCTTAAACATGGTTACTTAATTAATACACCCAACGATAGTTTTACATTTGTTTCATGGATGAAGGTTTAAGAAATAATTAGAACATGTGTGAGAAAATATCAGCTTGTCTGACTGTCCACAAATTGTCTGAAGAAGACACCTGAGTTCATGTCTTAATACATATATTCACTGAACTGATGGTTACTGTGTCGATGTTTTTTATTCATCTGACCTGAATCATTCATCAGTTTAAGCCACTGTCATAGATAATAATGCTTTATAATTTCTTCAGCCTTGTCTGAACGAGAGCATCTTATTATCATGGCTCTGTTGGTAAACCTTATTAGACCCATTTTGTTGTTTAAAGCTTTAATGTTAGTTTCACTTTCATTTTCACAAACTCCTTCCAGGCTGAAATGTTGTTATTAATGAAGAAAAACAGCAGTGAATATGCTCTGTTCTTAAAGGGAGAATATGTGACGTTTTGATGCAGTAGATGTCGCCCTTGAGCACCACCATGAAAACCAAAAAATAAAAACTGCTGTATTGTGACACCTCCGCTATTCTGAAGCCTCCGCTCTCCTCCAGCGGCACAATTTTTGCTAATTTTAGCAAACTGGGTTAGCTCATAGCTTCATGTTGCACATAAATTGACACAGAATGACTGAGATCTAAACACACTTACGTTATATCTAAATAAACAGTGAGTATGTTATTCTTCTTTTCTCTAGTCCTTGACTAAAACAGCTTTATACTTAAGGCCGTCCTGTCCATGTAAACACAGCGCCGACAAGAACACAGCTGGAGGGAATCTCACTTCTCATTGTAGACAGTCATGACTCAGAGAGGCATTTACAGAGGATATTCTTGATTGCTGCTTTATTTATTTGTCAAAATGTTTTGCACATTCTGTCTTTAATGATGATGTTTCTTTAGGGTCCTCCTGGTCCCCCTGGTGAAGACGGCCCTCAAGGAAAAGATGGACCCAAGGTAAACTTAGCAAGACAAGGTCTTTTTTCAGGATTTGACTTCAGTTCTTTGAAAAAAAAATGAAATTCAAGCATGGAGCCAAAATTAGTAAAGTGATAGTTTCCAGTTGAGTTCTCCATGAGGGTGTTTCAAGTTGAATCTGCTGCTTTCGGTCATGAAAAAGTTATGTGAAATTGATAAAAAGGAATATAACCACAATCGACTAGGTACACCAAACCTCTGATCCTTCCACACCTGATCTAAATTTGATAAAAGAATAATGGAAATGGAACTACAGACTCCTGACATCTTCACACAGTACGGCAGGTTGTGAGACCACTTGACCATTTTCTGTTGGGAACATGAACCTTAAGATATTATAACTGAAATATTATTCTGTTGTTCTGCTCACTCTCACCTCTCTGTGTCTATCACACTATCAGGGCGAGGCAGGTGAGCGTGGGCCAATCGGAGAGCCAGGGGACAAAGGTGTTGAAGGTGACCCCGGGCCGCCAGGATCAACCGGAGGGCCTGGGAAACAGGGCTTTCGTGTAAGTAGATCTTACATATCACATAAAAAGGCAACCTTTATGAAACAGGGTGCATTTAAAAGGAATGGGACGCCTACATGGACTTACTGCTTGACTGAAATGGATGCACTGGGGGTTAAACAAAAAAACTCAATGAAGTTAAATCCTGAAGTTCTTTCTGTCTGTTGAAGGATTGGTTCCCTGTCTCTCTCCCCCCAGGTTATACACGTGAGGAGTCAGGCTAGAGATGGATGGATGGATAATGAGCACACATTTCTCAAAGACAGAGGGAGATAAATCAAACCTAGAATTTAAATTCCTGGAGCAGTTTACAAAAATGATCTGTATTTTAAAAAAAATTCCTTTGTTTCCCAGTAGGGGTCAGCCTTCTCTTCAACAAAAACCATTTGAAACCAGTAAGAGTTCTCATGGATTGGAGATGTTTAGCACAGTGTGATAGGTGTCTGTCAAAGTCTCCTCCTACGTGCTTGTTTGTTTTGAGATACAGATCCTGATGAGGTATCTGTGTTGAGGGGCAGGAAGGTCAGCGGTGTCGGGAAGTCAGGCAGCTTCAGGGTACACACACTAAGCTCCGTGTCAAAGCAGGATTCCCAAGTTAATAATCTGGACGTAAGTCTGGAACGACACGTTTACTGCAAGCTGCTTCATAAATTGTGTGTCATAGAAAACGGCGCACTGAAAAGCTTCTAAAAGACATCAGGAATACTTTATTAATCCCAGGGGGGGAATTCAGGATTTACAGTTGATCTTTGAAGAATACAAGTATAAAAAGAAATAGATAAGAAGAAGTTAGAAATATACCAATATGAATTATATGCACGAAACCTGGATGCACATGATCAAAACAATATGTATATAGAGAGGAATCTGAATAAAATAAGAAATACATAAAGCTAGTGAGTTATTAGTTGGATTGTTGCACGTTATATGTCTCCGTCTGGATGCACAGTGAAATAAAAAATAAACAAGAATGGAAATGTCGTGCATGAATGGAGTATGAGGGCCGACTGCTAGATTCTTCAAAGTCATGTTAGTCCCCGTGTCCACCTAGCGTTTTTTTCAGGCAGAAAAGCGCTGGCTGTGCGCTCCGGAGTGTTTGCATGAAGCGTTTAGAAGGAAGGCGCTACACATCCGTCCTGTCTCCATGACAACGGCACAGAGCAAAGAGGATGTTGGTACGAAAGAATCCGTAGGAGGCAAAAGCGGCATGTATGGGGGCTGTGGTCCTCCAAGCGGGCGGCCCAGATCGAATCCCACCTGTGGCACCTTTCCCGCATGTCATTCCCAACTCTCTCCCTGATTTCCAACTCTATCCACCGTCCTATCTCTCCATTAAAGGCACAAAAATCCCACAAATAAATCTTAAAAAAACAAACAGACAAAAGCGCTGGTGACATCTTTCTGAAAAGTTGAAAGGTTTACAACTTGAGCACTTGGAGAGGCAGCAAAAAAAAAAGGCGGAGAGCTAGGAATAAAAGATCCCAGGCGCTGCACCTTTTTTTTCTCAAGGCGGCCGCTTTGTGCTGGGAACGCTCTTTCCTCATTGAAAACAATTTTAAAAAAGACGCTGCAGCTCAGAAAAAAAACGCTAGGTGGACACGGGGCCTTAGAGTCCAGACGGGATCTGTGATGTTGGTTATTGTCTGTGCTTGTAAAATAGAGTTCTCATTGTTTTAAGTAAAGATAAACTGCTTGTCCTTTTACAGGGACCAGAAGGAAAACTAGGGCCTCCAGGGAATCGAGGACGTCACGGCAAGAAGGTGAGAAACTCATCCACAACATCTTCCCTTGTACGGCTCGGATCCCCACAGTGAAACATGAGACAGCTTGACGACACAGTCTGAGGCCCATAGGTGTTGAAGTGACTGCAGAGAACTATTAGAGTCATTTTGTGCTTCCTGCCTGAGTCATCACTTGTAGAATACGACTGAAGTTCTAAGAAATGAAGGGACTGAAAATTTAGAGCTTTGATTTGTTTCATCGCTCAGGATTGATTGACTGTCGACTTAAAGTTGAGTCTTTGTGTTCTTTGACAATGATGTGGTGTCTCTTTCCAGGGAGAAAGAGGTCCTCCAGGTGTTGCTGGCGAGATCGGGCCACGAGGAGACATCGGCCAATCAGGCGAGCCAGGGCTGAAAGGCGCCAGGGGAACACGAGGCCCTCCAGTGAGTTTCTCTTCTTCCTGTCTCATAAACCGACTGACTCTTTCAACCAGTCGTTGTGGTCCAACTGAAATAACACATCATCATCCTTTTTTTTTAAGTCAACGTATTTTTTTTAAACCAACTGTTTATAAATTGTTGAAAGATTTAAAATGTATGTCTTTTTGGAAAGATTAGAAATGCTTCAGTTTGTCTCAGCTGGCTGAAGATTCAAGATGAACTTTTATTTGTCCCACATGTAATCCAACAAGATTAGTAACATCAGGTTTTTAAAATACCAGTGCTAAAAAGTAAAGACAGATAATGTCCAGTGCCTCTCCTGACTTATGTGTCACTTTTTAAAACCTTTAGAGAAACAATTATATTTAAACCTGTTCAGTCTACAACAGGGAACTGTAGCGCTCTAACCAAAGGGCAGATACTCTGTACATCCACCACATCTGTAGAGTATATGTGTATGTATGTCGATGTTTGATTGACAGCAGCTGGCAGGCTGCCAGAGTGCTTGTGTTACACAGTGGGTATCAAGAGACAAAGCAGCTCGGGTTTATCTCGCCTACATGTCACGCTCAGGATGGCGGAACGATGACAGCCCAATATACATTTCAGAGTGTCAAGAATAAAACATTACAATTCTCATAATTATTTTGAGAGTGGGGTGGGAGTCACTCTGTTGTTTTTTTGTTTTAGCATTGTAAGCAGAGTAATTGAGGAGGAACAGTGTGATAGGCTGAATGCAGTAAGAGGGTAACATCATGAAACCAAAAGTTATTCCTTATTCAGGGGGTCGTAAATGAGTGAAACCCAATTCATGTGATGTTTTTTTGTCCTCTTGCTACAAACTAAAGTAAATTAATTAATTGTTGAGAAGCCTATCACACCGATGTAGTCGTGTAAAACAGGAAAGTATTTCTTCAAACTACGAGTCATTACTTTACGTTTATGTTTAGCTGAAGCGGAGCAGAAACGTAAAACAAACAGCACAAGGACTGATTCACTCTCATTCTTTGTGCATTCTGCTTCCAGGGTCAGCCTGGAGTCATGGGGGTCGAAGGACAGCCAGGACTGGCAGGATACACAGTGAGTTTCTCTTGTCTGATTTTCTTATGGGCACTTATACATGTACAATCATAGACGACACACTCAAACAGCAAAGCACACATACGTTTACTTACCGTAAAATCCGAGGTATAGGACACAGTTTTAATAACAATTTTTTTTAAAGTTGGCTGCATCTTATACAGGCGTGCGACCGATATACCTTTATAAAATGCTGACACACGCGCCTTCATTACCGCAGGTGCAGCTGCCACCATTCCACATCCCCATTCATTGTGTATTGCAAGCTGATTGCACACTGTGACAGTAACACCGACCAGTCGGGCTGCACAACTTTTTTCACATCTTTTCTCCCTCATGATGTTTGTAGATAATCCTTGTTGAGTGCTCTTTTGACTGAAAGAGTCCTATATTAAAATTACAGAGTGACCGGCGGAGTCGAGAGCTCGACTACCGTAGTGTAGCTAGTGGGAGCACAAAGCTTAAAAAAAAGAAATTAAAAGAGCACCACAGCTGCACAGAAACTGCACGTTGTAGACATCGCTGAGAAACAATAGAAATCGTCACGCAGGAATTTTATTCTCTCTGAGAGACCTTCAAAAACAGGCTGCATCTTATATATCGGTGCGACTTATATACTGGATTTGACGGTTTGCCAAAAATGTTAAATATCTTCCTACTACTTCATTGAGTAAACCTATATGGTCTGAGTTTGCCTAGTCACATCACACTATGCTTGCACCATGCACCATGGGTAGGGATGTTCCAAGGCGACTAATTTCAAATTCAATTATGCACAAATTCCTTTCAATCAAGATCCTTAGCAGTGCAAAAAATAACTGTTCCATGTTTACCACTCTTGACCCTGCTTCAACTAACTTTATACAAGCTTATTCATCCAAATCTAAACAGAGGAAAACAGACAGCATCCATGCCTTTCTCATATTTTCCCTACTCTATGCTGTTGATTATCCAGTGAATGCAAAGTAACAGGAAAAAGCAAAGGCAAGAAGGTGGGATTGGACGTGGTGAAGTCTTCAGACTCATTTTTCCAGGCCTCTCCACAGCCGGGCAAATGCCAACATCAGTGGGTTATGGTTGCATAACTGAAACAGGGCACCTTGAGTTCATGCAGCGCCCTTTTTCTCTATGTGTGTTTGTTTGAATGCTCCCACACTCAGCTGCAGATGACTCAGTTCGCTGAGTGATTACTGAGCCTGGGCCAAAACCTGAATCCTGAAGTGACAGAATGGAGGACTCCCCCTCATATAAGAAATATGTTTACATTAAACACGTCTGATTAATATGCTGACAGCTGAGGTCATGGTTCTCCAAAGAAACATGCTGGAGCCAGTAAAGAGGTATGGCAGCTTCCAATGGTGCAATAATCAGCTTTCCTTTTTTTAAGGGTCACCCTGGCAAGTCTGGGCCCATAGGACCACCAGGGCCTAAAGGTGAAAAGGTAATTTGATACCTGAACTAGTGTTTGAGATGGGATTCCTTTAAGTGTCTTGGTTTATGTTCTTCAGTTTAATGTAGCTGTGACATCGTGTGTCTTCATGCATGCTTGTGTTTTTCCTCTGTGTTTGCTACATTCCAGGGTTATCCAGGCGAGGACAATAAGACCCCAGGACCGCCAGGGCCCTTAGGTGAACCAGTAGGTCTTGCCTTCTCTGATCCTTAACACTTCTTGCTCTGTTTTGCCCAATCCGATGAAATATGGGTTTATATAAAACGTAATCTTCATAAACTGCTGATTTTAAGAACCCAAGTACATTATTTTTTTCTTCCCACCAGGTTGATAATTTGTCATTGTTTATTTGCTAAAACCTTTCGTGCATACGCACCCTGATTATCAGCCTGCGTGGTTCAGATCTTTACTCTTCATTGCACATTTACAAATCAGTACAGAATCCAGTCAGGCAAGGGGTTTCCACACATCGGGTTCAAGCTCGAGCTTAGCTTTGTTTGTGTGATATTACCCATAAAAAGAGTTAAGCTCTCGTTATAAGATTGTGTGGAAAACAAATGTTTCATTGTTTGAAATTAAACATGCTTCTTACATTTTTTGTCAGTTTTGTGTTTTACGAGGACAGGAGCGCAAGTTTCACCTCAAGTTACCTCAAAGATTTTTCATATTAAAGACCACCAAGATTTATTTTTAAAGTTGCCAAATAATACTAAAATGACTACAGTGCTGTATTAGTAGGGAACTGATGTATATTGTTGCTGAATTATGTTTAGCGGACGGCGGTAGCGCTAGCTTGATGTTAGCTTGTGTACCGTAGCTCGGACTGGAAGTAAATCATGTGATTCGTAATGTAGTATGTTGCTAACGGCATAACTAACAATCAGGTTAGTATGTATTCAGTATGTCTTTTGGAGTATGTAGTAGGCAGTATGAGGTTTCTGATACAGTAAAAGACTAAATGCACAGGGCAATCAAAAACAGGTGAGAACAATCACAAAGGCGGGAAAACACACAATATCAGGAAGCCAAAAAAGACATGAAACACAGAGGGGATACAAAATAAAACAGGAAACACTGAAACCTAAACTTGGGAATATTAAAGTAAAGAGAGACACAGTGATTACAGGAAACACTGACAATTAAAATCCTGAATTTGACTGTTAACATTTCACACAAAGGGGAAGTGAGGAAAAGTAAAACAGGAAGCACCAAGAACTATCAACACAAATAATAATCAAATCGATATCATACATGACTTTATCAACCTTATTGTTAGTACTGGAAGTTGATACAGTATTGCAGAACATGGCAACACTGGCTGGAAGTGATGCACAAGGTGAAATGACGCCTTCTGTTCGACTCCTTTAAAGACGTTTCATGCATCGGTCTGAGAAGTCTCTTAGAAGCTTAGTATCTGAAGTGAAGCTTTGTGAGTATAAGTGAAGACATGCATAAACATGCAGCATGTGTGTTCATGTGTGTGAATTTGTGTCTACACAGGGGCCTACAGGGGAAAGAGGAGAGCGTGGAGAGCCAGGGGATGAAGGATATCAGGTAGGCAAAACCATTTAATCGACCTCAGACATATCACACAGTCACCACTCGGTGAGCTTGTCCGCTTGTTGTTCAAAGTCTTTGATGCTCCATTAAACAGGCTCAGCTCTACGAGTGGTAGACCACACATGTTGGAGAGGATTACCAAATTCCACCGCAATAAGGCCAGGGAAATCTGTTGTTTTTGTCTTTCCAAGCTTTTAGCCTGAAAAGAACTCTTTGCTCTCTCTAAAACACACACACACACACACACACACACACACACACACACATGCACACAATTACAGTGCAAGTTGATATATGGCTTATTTTATTCTGAACAATTTTGTTAGGTTGTGAAAGAGTCCACAAATGTGATGATGAAATGATCATTGTCATGCACACAGTGAGTATTTGCAGCAGCACAGACACCATGAATTAAGATTTAAGATATTTTGAACGTCATTTTCAGAATTGAAAAAAAAAACGGCAAACCCTGCAGAGCCCTACAGTAGCTTCAATTACCCTATTGTCACGTGACTCTTGAATATATCCTTCTTTTATGCTGGGTGAAGGTACAGGTAGTTAATGCCTTTTCTTTCTTTCTTTTTTTAAATTTATTTTCTGGCTTTTTTGTGCCTTTATTAGAGGGATAGGACGGTGGATAGAGTCAGAAATGAGGGAGAAAGAGAGTAGTGAATGACATGAGGGAAAGGAGCCACAGGTCGGATTTGAACCTGGGACGTCTGCAAGGAGGACTACAGCCTCCATACATGGGATGCACACTCTAACCACTGCGCCACCAGCGCCCCAGTTTGATGCTTTGAACCAAGCTCTCTTTTAAGTCAAGTCTTATTGTAACTATAACTAAGCCACCCCCCCGTCTACTTTCTCATACGACATGGTTAGAATCCCGCTGTGATAGTTTTGATGCTGTGAAACCTGAATTTTGCAAATTTATTTAAAAATCATCTGAGGATACACATAAAATGGACGTAGTGTTTCTCCTTCCCTAAAGAACATGTCTCTCAGACATCTCTGCATTCATAAACTTGAGAATGTTCTATTTTCAAATGTGTTTCAGGGCCATGTTGGTACTGTTGGATCTCGTGGAGCAGTTGGACCACAAGGCCCACCAGTAAGTCTGTAAATACAAGTCACACAGTAGCAACAGTTTTTAGTCATGGTACTTCATATGTCAACGTGCATTCAAATCACCATATCAGTTGTTTTGCACCCATAAACAATGATTAAAGTGCTGAAACTGTTTAAGACAGTCAGATATTAAGTGGGACTAAATAAGTTCATAGAAATTGAGGGACCAGGTAAGCCATACAGATACCTCCATCAAAGTTTTATTTAAATATGTTTACATTTTTAAATTGTTGTTGTTAATTTGTCTCTGTCTTATTGTTCGGTCTTTATGTTTATTGTTTTCTTGCTTTGTCCAGGGATCACCAGGCTTTGCCGGAGAGCCAGGCCCAAAAGGAGAGATAGGACCTCCGGTGAGTTTCAAACTGACGTCTACTGTACATACACACAGCAGATAGTTTAAAAAGTAATATCCACTACCAATGGAGTTTAAGACTTTACTAAATCAACACAGCATTGTTTAGTTACTGCCAGCAGGGTTTGGTAAGTTCGTCCTTGGTGTATAAATGACACAGTGGATGAAGAAAATCTTTCTTTTTTTGTCTAATGAGAGATGAACCACAGATATTTGGCTGTTTCGCCTCCATTTCTTTGCCTGTCACCGGATTAGTTTGCCAGTGCAACGATTTTAAGCAGTTAGTGGCATCAGAACAGATGTCTACTGGTAAAACCAGCCTCCCCGAACTGGTGGTTTTCAGGAATGAGTTTTTAAGATTCTTTGGAGAGTTCTTTGGAGTCTTGACCTTGTCATTGGCCGCCTGTTCGTAAAACTTAATTACTCCTTTGTTTATACTTTAAAACAGTGTTCACACATTTCCAGAAACCACCAACTCTCTTCCACATGTGGAACAGTCCCTGTGTAGGATTGAAGCTATTACGGCAGTATTTTGTGAGTGTGAACAATGTCGTAATGTGTTACATATAGACCCATCTGTTTTGAAACATCCCGAACATAACAGTCCTCTCAGAACTATGGGAAGTTGAAGGATCTGCTGTACAGCATTTCTGTTTTAAATGAACTGGTTTGGTAAAGCCTTCCTTTTTCAAAATCTTTGTTGGACTATACATACATAACTGAAGCTGTCGGGCCAACAGCGATTAACAAAAACGTGGTTTCAAAGGACAGATGTTTCAATTTTTGCCTTTTTTTTTTTAAACCCACTTTGTCGTTGTGACCCATACATTGGTTTGAAACATAGAAATACAAATACAGAACTTATTATGTTATTAAGCAGAAAATATATGGAGTATCATTTTAAAACATTCATCATGAAGAAGCTCCCTTTGGTAGTTTTATACCATATATTTTAGTCAAACACCTCAGGGTGATGTAAACCAATGCAGTTAACCCACGGCTGCTGCGATGAGGACTACAGCCTCTTTACATGGGGCCTGAAACATAACCGCTAGGCTATCTGACGCCCCAGGTTTACTTCTTTTACTGTGTGCCCTTAGTGAAGTAGAGAAAATGTATTAACGTTTCATATAATAGATGGTCTTAAAATGCCCTCTCTTCAATGAGAGTCTATTGAGATACATCACATGGTGTGTCTTTGTGCATGTACATGTATGTTTTATTCTCTCTGTGTTTGTTTAATCAGGGCTCTGCAGGAAAGAATGGACCGAGGGGGCTGAGCGGATCTCGAGGGATTGAAGTGAGTATCACACAATATCAACCAATGACATGGCTCTGACAGACACAGCAAACCAATTAAGAGCAGAATGTCACAGATATTAGCCGTGGCATGGTCATGCAGCTTGGCCCATTAACAATGTTTAAAAATGCATTTTAAGAAAGTTTTGCTGTCCTCTCTGAATGTTTTTTGTATGCAAACAAATCCCCCTAAAGTCTGCATCCATATGCATGTATGTGTTCATATGTATTCAAATGTTAATGTTGGATGTAGGGTTAATGGAGCCTTTTGAGCAGATGGTGCAGCTGAACTATCTAATGCTGATTACGTAATATCAAAAAAGTGAAAAACAAAGATTTGCGAAAATGTGAAAGCACATGTAGAAGAGTGAAATTCAATTTTCTTTCAAACTGAAATCTAAGTCGTCCAGTGAGACACATGGCAGCACACCTGGATCTGTTGGTCAAAGTCAAGAACAGGACATCAGATAGCTCTCAAGTCTCCATGTTTTATTTAAATCTTCTCAGAATTCCAGATGTTTCACTGAAATGCCTCGGGATAAGCCCAATATCAGTCAACCATGTGTTAAATTGCTCTCAAACGTTCCTGCTCTGTGACTGATAAAAGTCGAAAAAATATATTTTTTTGTGGTTTGTAGGAATTCATCTCTTTCTCCAGTGTAGAGCTTACAGACGGTGTTATAAGAGTTGTCATATTGGGGCGGTAGTAGCTCAGTCCGTAGGAACTGGGTTGGGAACTGGACCATGATATAGAAGTGGGTCTGGTAGCTGGAGAGATGTCACAGCAGTTCTTGAGTAACTCAGAGGTGCCCTTGAGCAAGGCACCGAACCCCCAACTGCCCTGGTGCGCTCCCTGTAGCAGCCCCACCCTGACATCTCTCTACTAATAATAAACAAATAAAACTAGAATTTCCCTCAAGTATTAATAAAGTATGTACAAAAATATTGAGAATAACATTGAGTGACACTGTAAATGTTGTGGATTTTTTCAAGGGGCCAATGGGTTTACCCGGTCTCACTGGGATGATGGGTTACCCAGGGCTGGATGGTCCCCCCGGATTTACTGGCCTACAAGGATTTCCCGGAAAACAAGGACGACAGGTAATCAACATCACAGACGAGTAAAACAAAACACATAAATGAGATGCTCTGCTCTCCATTTCCAAGGCCACATCGCAAGATCGTCAAAAACTAATTTATCACAGCAGTACTCCATGCAGATAGGTTGGTTATGTCCGCATTCAAACATGATAATAGGGGGGGACAACGGCCTATAAAAGACCTGATTCACCTGCAGTCTGAGCTGAGCCATTTGGCTGACTCTCCATGCACACAGGAAACCAGTGATCTGCTGTCTCAGAATATTCCTGGTCAGCACCTTAAATGTAGGTCGCAGAATGAGACCGAAGTTTTACATAACTGAACTTTCAGATGAAATTTCCTTTACTGTACTTAGTGCTTAATCTGTCTAGCATATTTGCGGTCACTGTCAAAGGATTTAAGAAGCCAATGATACGCCCTCCTCATCTTTACTTTTTGAGGGACCTTCCCTTCAGAGTTTCTTCATGTCACTCAACAGGCATGAAGGGAAGTTAAACCCTGATTAAACCGAGAGAAGTATTTTTGATGTAGGTCCAAACAGCAGAGGTTAAATGCAGCTGCAGAAAACTTAATCACCTGCTTTTTTTGGGGGGGGGGCTCTCAGCTGCTTTAGACTACAGCTTTCCTCCGGAGATAGCTTCTTGACTCACTGCCCAGTCAGCCATCATGCTCACAAAACCCCGCTCCAAATGACTCCTGTACTGCACCTGAACGTTTTTCCTCCAGCCTGAGACATACACTGCTTGGACTGACAAAGCATTCAATATCTTGTTTGGTTGTGTTGGCTACTTCTGGTTGCCACACAACGGGTTTATCCAAATATGTGCGCAGCCAGGGCGTATTGGGATTTCATGCATGAATATCTTCTTCATTTGCAAGCCAAGAATTGGAAAAGCTTAAATCCTGTCCGCCTGTCTTTCATTTACATAATGTGTGTTTGTTTCATTTACATAAAGTCTGGTTGATCTGGTGACCCAAAGATTTGGGTTCTCACTCGCTGAGTGAATCCCATTATCTATTCCTCCTAAATCCCACAAAATGTACAAGTGGAAGAAAAAAAACAGCTTTTTATTCTTCTTTACTCTCAACACTTTCTTATTCTTTGCGCTGTTTTTATGGATAGGTTTTCTTGAGCCATTCAGTTCAGTTCTTAAAGGGATACTTCACCCATTTGCATTAAGCTTTGTATCATTAGAAACCTGGTAGTTTGGTTGAATGGTCGTGCGTCCTGCCCTCATTTTCCCCTGAGATGGGAAATCTTTGTATTTCTAAGTCTGAAAAGGAGCTTCCAGTGACGCAAAATTACGATTTTTACGTTACTGGAAGCTGTTGCGGTTAGCGGGGTGAAACTACAACATTTTCGACTACTGAAGCTGCAGACCAATCACAGATCAGTGGGTGGGAACTCACTCCAAGAATCGAAACTTAACTTCCGCCATATTGCTTGGAAGCTATGCTAACAGGCTCTATGGAGAAAACCGACAATGGCGGAAAAATATAAATATAGCGGCGAGAAGGCTGCTGCCGACAGGCCGGTCTTGTGCTTTGGCGACATGTTTCAACACTACATGTAGTATCCCTTTAAGGTGTCCTTTTACTTCAAAGCCCCCCAGGTCTGTGACAGCAGGAGAGGCCTGCAGGAAACCTTATTTCAATTCTAAATCTTGAAATTGTGGGGGAAATACTATAAATTGCCAACCCTCTGTTCCTCCTGCTATGATTCTCTGCAGAATTATTCTCATGCTATTTGTATGTTACTCATTATTCCCATAATGAGTGTTTTCCTCTATCTGCTTTCTTCTTTTCTATCGGCGTTGCCAGTTGGATGCAGTTGTACAGTAAAAGGAAAAACTTTCTTCAAACAGATTGGAGCAATTTGGAATAATATAACAATTTTTTTTTGAGGGTGCAATAGTGGTGAGCAACAAGAAAGAAATGCAGCCGAGGTGATCCTCTTTGATAAAACTGGGAAGTTTGCGGCATCATTTCCAGAAACCAGGATGCTGATTCAACCTGAGGGACCAGACAGTAGTTTATGCTTAACACTCCTGCTCTAAGGGAATAACTATGTACACGTGATAGCTTCGACTTTGATGCACATTAACTCTTTGCTGTTCACAAGCTTTAAAAAAAAAAAAAAAACTGCATGTGAATTTAAGTTTACTTCAACTTGGAAGTTTAAATGAACAGTTTGTAACGAATGCAACTCATTTACATTCAATAATAGCAAAAACAAAAAACCCAGTAGTTGATGTTGTAAAATACTGCAAGATCATTAGAATTGTCTTCAATGTTTAAGGTCACATATTATGCAAAATACACTTCACTGTGGTTTTCTAACACTAATATGTCTCCCTAGTCTGTCTACAAACCTGACTTATTGCACATAAGTCAGTTTTCATGGTTGCTGGCTAGTACATCAGCTGATATAGTTTCAGAGTGCTGTTAGCATACATGCTATTTCACTGTCATGGCTTTCTGGTAAAAACTGAATAGAACAGTGCCATCGGATAGTCTTTCCTTCTCTACTATAAAGCTCTGTATTGAATTACCACCAGATTTTAGGTCTACGCCCTTCCAGAGAGGGGGCGTGGTCAAACACAGCTCATTTACATTTAAAGGTACAGAGACAGAAACAGCCTGTTCTGAGCAGGGCTGAAATAGAGGGGTTTATAGACATGATCAAATACAGGACCAGAGTGGATTTACAACAAGAAACTTCACAGACATGTTTTGGGGACCTCGAAGAAAACTTCTTAAAAAGGATAATATAATGTGACCTTTAAACAACTATCACTGTAGATTTTACTCTCCAGTAGAACAAATGCAGGACTGGTGGCTCCTCATCGTCCTACATTCTCACAAAGCTCTCCATCTTGACAATGCCATACCAAAGTTAGCCCACCGCATTTATTTATCTATTTGGTGTGGTCTGCATGTACATTTTTTAGCTTTACATGGACTGCTTCAGTTAAAAAAATGGAACAAATGAGGCCAAGTTTGTATTTTGGTAGATATTTTAGTGAACTGCATGTAGGACAACACATGACGCCGCTTAACTGAACTCAACTCATCATTCCTCACATTTATTTTACTTTCAAAGTCTACTGTTTTTGGTTCTGCGATGATTTATATTTATATATTCTATCTATCCATTTGTGTATTTTCTGCTCTCCTGTAGAGTTGTTTGTTGACTCTCGTGTAGGTTTTTATGCTCTTGGTGGAAAGCCAATTCCCTTTCGTGGGCCAATAAAGGTTTAAATCATTGCCTGAAATGGAGAAACAATAGCATCTGTTGAAGTTGAAGTTTCTCACATGCCTGCATGCGGAGGCCTTGCTAGAAGTTGGGGATCCTGATGAAAAATTCACAGCAGCTCACAATGAATTTATGAGCAGCGATACAATAAATATTTATGTGTCATGACATGTTTTTGTTTCTGTTGTTTGCTCCGGGGCCCCCTAAATCACTCATGTTGTCTCACCATAACAGGCCCCTACTCCCACATGTGTGTGTAATGCATGCGGAGGTTGCTGTGTCTACGTGGGCGTTAGTTGGGTCAGTCTTGATTAAACCTTAAGAGGATCTTATTGAGCAAACAGACAGTGATTTTCTTCTTATGCAAGAGCTCCAAAGCACCTACAGGCTGGTGTTTCATACCAGTAAGCCTACTACCGTGTAATTCCAACCTGGTTGGAATTCATTGAGATCGAGGAACAGAAGCCACATGTGTGAGGCGACGACCCACTCAATCTGTTATTCTAATATCATGCGCTCCCCCCCACCTCACCACACTGCTGATGGAGCAGGAAACCGCTGTGGTCTGTGGTGTGAGAGAGCGAGAGCAGCTCAGCGACAGGCAGTCAGTTTTATGGACACACTCAGGGAGCGAACTGTCAAGAAATATTAGAACCCAGAGACCAGCAGACTTCAGCACTGTGGTTCACAGCCGTTCCAATAAACATTGAAAAGAAGTGAATTTATGAAATGATTTTTTCACTTTCTGTTACGCTTTGCTAGCACCTTGTTGTTGATTGAAATGCACATGCTGTTTAAGAACATATATTGTTGTTCCCTTAAATAATTTAAGTCAGGTTTTCACCATTAAAAAACAACAACATCGAGTGTCAAAAGGCAAGATTGTTTCCCCCATTTAAAGAACTACTGTATACCGTTCATTCATTCATTCATTCATTTCATTTATTATACAGGAAAGTTGAAAAGTAACATTAAGTTACAGTTTAGCGGGCCTGACTCAATTTAAAAACTGGTTTCCAGCAGGTTCCTGTTCTGCAGAACATGACACATAAACCACAGTCATGACGCATCAAGACAAATACATTTACAGACATTAGCATGGGCTAGGCAGATACAGACCAATAGAAACAAACAGTACAGATACTGGGAACAATACTTGAACAATACATGAACAATTAATGAGTGCAGGTGTAAGTGTGGAGAAGGTGTCTTTTATACCACTGCTTTAACATATTTTAACCTATTGGCTTTAATCCCTTAAACTTCACAAAGCCTCCCATGGTCTGATCCTTATTGGTGCTTTCTATAATGCCCCTTAAGATGTTTGAATGCCAGTCGTTAAAATATGCATTCATCCTCACAACAGCCATGTCTGCATTTTGTAAACCACTATTATATGTCTACACAAGAATTTAATCTCAAATGAAGTAACTGTAAGGATCGCCATGTCTCTGTTTTGGGCAGAGATGTTTCACACAGACATTTTCAGGCCCAGCAGTTATTGGGTAGTGCTCAAAGATAGCTGTAACAGTGTTTTTATGTACTCTTTATTCCATATCTACATGTCATTTTAGCTCAGTTTTATTGACTCAGATTCTGTTTGCGTTCAGGGTCACCGAGGTTTGGTTGGACTAGAAGGACCTGTTGGACGTTCAGGTCCCAGAGGAGAGCTTGGTTTTCCTGGACTTCCTGGAGAAAGTGGACCTCCCGGTCAAAAGGTGAGTTGATAATAGCTATAAATATTGACCTGATTTCTTCTCTTGTAACTGTTTGGTCTCTGTTGAAGAAAACTAAATGAATTCACCCAACAGGGAGAACCAGGACTGCCGGGGGACAGGGGACGCGCCGGAATCAAAGGCATGGAGGGCACTACAGGGGACCAGGGCAGGAAGGGTGACCTTGGACACAAAGGACAACCAGTAAGTGTGATTTAAAGCAAAAAGTCAGTCTTAAATGTAGCTCAAACTGAGTGCCATAACCTGGACTTATAGGGTAACACTATGTTACAGATAAGGAGTTTTCTGTGATATTGGTGCAGACATTGGCACAGCTTCTGGGCTTGGATCAGATTATACCATTTTATTTTAAGGTTTCTCCAATGTTGAGTCTTTCACACACATATCTTTTTTATTAGTTGAAGTCTTAAAGATAAAGGTCACTTCATTGTTCTTTTTTATAATTCAAACCATTTCCTAGGAATGTTTTTGTGAAAACAGGGTTTCATAAGCTTGTATACATTCGTTAATGTCTCTCTAAATATAGCGTCAGTGGGTTTACATAGCCAATCTGTGGAGGCCAGAGGGATTTAAAAAAGTGTGTGTCTGACACTTTCCCTCCCTGAGTGGAGTAACAAATGATCTGGGCGAGACCAGGAATGGAAACATTTGGCCTGCAACGCCAAGTTATGTAAGATCCTCACACTCCAGAGACATGGGAAAAAAAAGGTGCTCTACTTTTCTTATGTAACTCCTTAAAGATGAAGAAAAAAAAAACCTCCAATCCCCCCCTCCGCTTAACTCATTTTCTCCATTGATGCTCAAGAAACAGAGCGCAGACTCCGGCCCTCGGGTCAGATCCTTTTACACTTCGCAGTGAATAGAGTTTTTTCTTTTGGTCAAAGTGGCCGGCCCCCGAAAGACGAGCTGTCTAAGAGGATGTGGCTGATTGGCTCTACAAACATGGCGTCTGCCACCCTGGACGACAGACTCTCCTCAGACACAGAATAAAGAATGGACTGTAAACCTCGTAGTGTGTGTCACTGGGAGGGTGTGTGGATGTGGGCTGGCACTGAAGTACATGCAGAGTGAAACTTCCAAACATAAAACCCTCTGTTCCTCTGTTATTTTGAAATGGACAAACAACATTTTTTAAAAGCACCGTCACTGTACTGTGTCTGAAACTGAAGTTCAAAATGGAATGAAGTGTAACACAAAAATTGACATCACACACTTAATGGACTTTGTTATGATTTGATGTGTTTGTCCAGCAGTTTAAGGCAAGACTGTTGTTCTGATCCGTCTGCCTTATTTGCTTGTAGGGGGAATCTGGAGATCTGGGAATGGTTGGTTTGCAGGGCTTTCCAGGGCCTAAGGTAAGAGTCTGAATAGCAAGCAACAATTAGAGTGCAAAAACAGATTCAAGTGAAGACGTTTTAGAACGGTTTTAAAGTATAATACTCAATAATCCTGTATAATGACACACATGTGCTGATAATACCAATTTTTCCTTTACACAGGGACCAAATGGTGATTTTGGATTTAGAGGCTTCCCTGGCCCGAAAGGCCCAATGGGAACCCTGGTAAGTGGGCACCCAACATGCTTTTGACAGAATAACTGCTGGAAGTCGAAACCCCAGCAGTGGAATATTTAGACTTACATGTGAAGTAGTCCTCTCCACACTCTTGTATCAAAACATCAACAGGATTTGGAGTACACCAAATTGACCTTGAAATCACCTAATAATAACAATAATAAAATATTTAATTTATATAGAGCTTTTTCAAGGGACCCTCTGGGGCCTCTGGGGAATGCTTTGTAACGTTTCTCTAGAACAGGTCAACTCAGACAGACCTGTGATTCATTCTCTTCATTCACCCACTGTTTGTTTCAGGGATTCACTGGACCTGTTGGCCCTGAAGGGATGATTGGCCCAATGGGAAACCCTGTAGGTGTCTCTGTCTGTGTGTGTGTGTGTGTGTGTGTGTGTGTGTGTGTGTGTGTGTGTATGTGTGTGTATTTGTCTGTTTGTGCGTGTACTTATAATTCCAAATTCTGCAGTAGTGAGAAAGATGTTGTTAAAATCAACTAGATATTTACTTTTAATAAAATCAGTCTTTTAACTGGCCAGGCGCTTATTCACTATATCTTTCATGTTGTACATTTTTTTCACAGGGGCACAGAGGTCCAAAGGGAACGGTGGTGAAATGGTAAGCTTTGTTTAAAACCAGCCATGTCTGTGAAGCTTCTCAGTGGTCCAGGTCACATTATTTCCAAGTTGAAATCAAACGACAGCTGGACTTTAAGTTGTTCAAGAACTTCAACCAAGTCCAGTTTCCTTTGGATGAAACCATAAAGCCAGTAAAGAAACTCTACAAAGTCAGTCTGGTTGTGACAATGGTTCATAGTTAGAAGCGTCTGACTTAACTTTCATAGAAAGCGACAGGCGCCGTCGTCATGGACCCACATCAAGTGTAAATGTGTAATATAATGAAAAGATGGCGAAGGCTGTGTTAAAAGATGCATGTACAGTAAGCCGATGTTCAGCAGTGGCTTTGTTTATATGGCCGTCAGTCATGGTGAAGTGAGTCACAGTGAAAGTAGCGGTTACTCAGTGTCTCCTGGAGCGCGCTGTGGGGCCCATACAGTACTTGCATACCCTCTTGTGTAAACACAGTTGAGGAAAAGCCTTGTCAAAATGTTAGCATGGCAAGCCACAGTGCAAGCCCGCATATTCACTCCTACATTCCTGCTTCTAGTCTGCAATGCACACTGTAGTAAGATTCATCAGACATCAGCTCAAAATCAATGCAATTCAAACAAACCTGCACATGCACAGTGTGTACACGATAACCTTTTCATTCAGGCTTCACAGTGATGTAAAATATGTCCACACGCTCACATATAAGCATGCATGATGTTAAAGTCCACCAGTTAGAGTCGAGCTGCCAGAGGTAGCTACTGTAGAAAAGTCAGCCTTAAGGGGGCAGTAGGTGACCACTGTGGTTGTGCACAGCAGGATACACAGTCACATTCCTGCATCTGTTCCCTGAAATGTAGAGGGATGAAACATAGTTCAGTTATTTCACCGTTTATGTGATGCTGCCTGTAGTTTAAGTTCCAAGATGGTGAAGGTGTGTTCATAAAGTGTGTTGGATTATTGACATTCACAACAGGGAAACATAAATCTAGTTTTTTTTCCCAACAGGGAGCCGTTTTAACACTTATTTTTATATATGTCTTACTTGTAGGGGCCTCAAGGACCAGAGGGAAGCCCAGGACCCAGAGTAAGTTTGAACCTAAGTTTCTCTTTTCAGCTTTTGACTGTCCCAAAGCGTATTGTCAGTGATTCAGGCTGTGTCAGACTACATTTTGATAATCATGCGGTGCGCTAAGTGAGGCACAGGGTTCATAAAGGTTGGATTTAGTCGCTTGTTTTATACCTGGATGTGCTTTGGGTGTATTGTGAATTAGGCCAGCAGGATTCTCCCTGAAGCAGAGCGGGCATTTCCGAGGTAGCAGTGAGCTTTTCCCTCGTATTCTGATGCCACCAGACCGGCTTCATGTTGAAAGGAATATAAAGATGAGAACAGACAAGGAAAACAAATTATTTGAGCGTTATGAACTCTGCTATGTATGCCCGTCTCTGCAATGCACTCCCTACATGGCAGGAACAAACTGCACCACAGACTTTAACACCTGGTTTTAGATAGTTTAGATAGGAACGATCCACCTGTGTGCCTGACCACCCCTCATTTTCCGACCAACACGCCCATGGGTGCTGAAGTCTGTTCCAGTCTGCTTGCTTTTTACACAACAGTAGCGTTGGGCGTGAATTAGACGATTACGTCAGCTGTAGGAAAGACACCTGTGCTCCACACCAAGGCGCTTTACTCTGAGCGTACGATACGGCCCGACAGATCTAACTATGAAAATGTTGTAACATTTCCTTACGTTAGAAGTATGAAACATTGTGGTTGAACTTTTTGTGAACTCTGTGAGTCAGCGTGGTTACATTTTGGGCCTGAATATGGAACAAAAATAGTCACCGGAAACATTTTCATTTCTTTTGTCTATTTGTCTTCTTCCCACTTTAGGGACCTCCTGGTGCTCCAGGTCCAACAGTAAGTGTTTCTTGATCATGTCAACACAATCAGTTAAAACAATTCACATGAATATACATTTTTGTATCAATCTTAGTCGTCAGGTTTTTAACCCAGTTACGGTATTACTCATCGCTCCTTAAACCAGTACACTTGTAGAAAACTCTTGATGAACTCCTGATATTTCCAGGAGGAGCTTCAGGAGTGCTTATGTGAAAAAGTTTAATTGACTTACCAAATCTTCAATTATCTTTTCAGTGCAACAGACAAATGATCGAAGCCATTTCTCTGAAAGAACTTCACGATGTGAGATTACCAGAGGGAGAACTTTTAGTTTGCCTTTTTTTGCGTAACATTAAACGTCCAACAAATCCTCCTTCTTAGTGAGGAGGCCGACTCTGTTCATGATCCTTTTTCTGGCACAGTGATAGGAACCCTCTTCACATGGATAAAGTGAAGCTTTCTTCTTCTCATTGAAAACCTGCTCCTGTTCTAGAAATTCTAAGAACTCAGAAAAACAGCTATATCACATGCCCCTTTCTTTCTTTTTTTTTGTTTACACACATTATGTGATAGCTGTAGTGTTTATGCTGAGAGGGAATTTGTTTTTCTTCCCCCTACTGAAGACAGGAATGTGATGGTTTATTGCTGCAAGGATTATTTTACTGCTATCCTACTGGTATTAAAGTGTATTCTTATCCTACTAAAGTTTTCTCTATAAACTGTTCTTTATTGAAACTATGGATTCAAATATTTAGTTTACTGACTGTGTTATCATCCTGACCATGTTGATTTTGAATCCCACAGAGGCACATTTATGATGACTCAGCAGTCTACGGTCTCTCTGACTCGAACCCTGCCTTTAGGACGGAGGTAAGGCACTGGTTTCTGTTTTGCACTTGTTGGTACGGTAACTATGGTGACAAAAAAAAAAGTCAACTTTTGGACTTTGACATTGTTGCGTGTCCACGTTGAAACCAGAGTTTCCAGAACACGGAGATGAGCCTACCTGACCAAAATACTGAGGTCCTTAAGACTCTACGTTACCTGAGCAGCGTGATTGAGAGCATCAAACAGCCTCTGGGTTCACGGGAGAACCCGGCCCGTGTCTGTAAAGATCTGCTCGACTGTCATCACAAGCTCAACGACGGTAAGAGTCTCATCTACCTGATACTGAAGTCAGTGGGAATATAACCTCGATGAAACACTCGTCTCATCTCTGTCTGTGTCCCTCTGTTTCTCAGGTTGGTTCTGGATTGATCCAAACTTGGGCTGCACTTCTGATGCCTTCAAGGTCTTCTGCAACTTTACTGCAGGAGGGCAGACGTGCTTACATCCAGTGGCTTCTAATAAGGTAACACTGAAGGTGTAAAAATAATGAACAAAACAGTGTTGATTGGCTGGATCAAAAGCTCTCTTTAAACCTGTACTTTAAAAAAAAAAAACTTCTATCTTGTCCTTTTCTTATTAAAAAAAAAAGAAGTCTTTATTCTGAGTGCACTTCTGTTCCTGCTCTCTGCTTCAGATGGTGTTTGGTGTCGGGAAAGTCCAAATGAAGTTTCTCCATTTACTGAGTGCCGAGGCCAGCCACGGCATCACACTCCACTGCCTGAACGATCCTCCACACGGCTCTGCGGGACCCGGACTGCAGGAGAACGGCACACTTCGGTTTCGTGGCTGGAACAAACAGATGTTTGAGAAAGACACAGTACTTGAACCCCACGTGCTGCAAGATGAGTGCAAGGTAACGAGGAAATCAAGGGTACACTATAGCAATGGTTCTCCCCCCCCCTCCAAGATCTCAGGCTTCTCCCCCCTAGGGAGCCTGGACCCCAGCTTGGGAACCAATGCTCTATAGAATAAAAACACTTTGGTAGACCTGTTCTAGCATTCTGCTCTTTTACTCTTTGGGAACTAAATCAATATTTGGCAAGTTACATCAGACCTAACCCCTTCCCAATATATTATAATTTGTCTATGAAAGCATTCAAGAAAACCATCAGTCAGAACAAATTGGTGCAAAATTAACATTCAAAAATGAACAGTGCAGTATCACCGGTCATGTCAGTAATCCTTAAGATGATTATTATCTAGATGGTTATTATAATGGCCTTATAAATCCCATATCCTCCAGCTCTGGACTTATATTCTAGAAGAAATAAAAGATCAAGATCAGTGTGTCATATTTAATGTAGAGCAGTGTCCGTCCAGGTTTTGGCTCCAAATCTTGCTGTTTGCAGTGCTGTGGGTTGAGTTGCCCATCAGGAGTTGGTGGATTGTTTGTTTGCACTTGTTTAAAGAGCTGCTGTGTTGCTACTCTTTGAATTTTGCTCTCCAGATACACACTCAACACTGCATCCCATTTGCTCCTCAGCACTACACTGGATAGTTGTTCATTGTCAGGTCATCCTGAAGCAAAATAAAAAAAAAAAAACAATTCTTCTTTGTCTGTCCTCCACTCGTCCTCTTTTCAGATCCAAGATGGCAGCTGGCACCAGTCACGTTTCTTCTTCCATACTCAGGACAGTCGTCAGCTACCGATTGTAGACGTACAGGAATTTCCCACATCACAGCCCAACGGTCAGCAGCATTTAGAAATTGGTCCGGTCTGCTTTCTCTGACACCAAAACATCACCATTCGTGCATCCTGTATACATGAACTACTAACATGCAAGGCTGTTACAAGACATGTCTGCCTGCCAAAGAGCGAACTCCACCAGAGTTTGTTGTGGTTCTTCCAAACAGGACCTGTAATGTCCAATCAAAGGCGGGTCTTCGTGGAACGATCGGGTCTCTGTGAACCATCCAGGCCCAAGAAGGCCAGAGGAGAACATGTGTATACCAATATTTATCAATGATTGTGTATAGTATGTTTTGTCAAACGGTGCTTAGGTTGGCTGTGTATGGACCGATGTCCCTGATCACAGGGGAGGACCTCACTAAGAAGCCACCTATCCAAACCCCTAAACACACACCTCCCTTCTCACCCCTCACAACCCCCTCCCCTCCCCCCCAAACACACCCAGACCATCCTAAGCAGAGGCCTATCCTGAAGGATCATTTCAGGCCTTTTCATAGGAGCACTGTCAAACTAAAGGTTTTTATGAGTGCAATAGCATGTGGATGATGTGTGACTTCTTTTTTTTTTTTTTTTTTTTCAATCAAAGGTTTTATTTTACAATGATTTCATGATGTTTTTTTTTGTCTTCGGTCCTGCCCAGCCGGACCTGTACATCTTGACAGATGGTGCTCTACCTCTACCTGCTCAATTGCTTTCTAGAATAGCTGCTTAAGTCAGGTTAGATTTTTTTTTTCCCGCCTTCGTGTTGTATGTACCGGTTACATCAAGATTTGTTATGTTGTATAAGTACTTATTTAGATTCGGTCATTTCTAATTTATGAACCATTTTTTGATACACTACTATTTTTGTAGCTCTTCCTTTTATATGGTAGGTTCTTCAGGGGAAACCTATCATTGGTGCTGCAACAAAGAATGAGTCATCAGTGAGTTTTTACATTTCCTGTGTATATATTGACAGCATACTGTTTGTTTATTTATATCCTTTTTTGTTTTTTTTGTTTTTTTTTGTTCACATTACTGTACCACAGTAAGTTATACTCTCAGAGAAATATTTGATCCACCACAACTCAGTCTAAAGAAGTATTTATGTTAGAAAGGTGTGTGTTTGTGTGTTTGCACACCTGTGACTGTTTCTTTTTTTTTTTTTTTTTTTTCATACTGTTATTTCCGTTCATTCAGTGGTGGTCAGGAGGACTGGCAGCTATAGTAGGCCAGAGTCAGAAAACACAGTCATCATATTCTTAAGTTATATTATCTTGAACAAAGTGTAAGTATATAAAATCTGTGGAGGATAAGGCTGGATGTGTAAATAATGAATACGTTGACAAACAAATAAATGGAACATTTTATCCCAAAATGGTTCAGATGTTTTTTTCATGCAATATTGTTGGTTTAAAAAAATGTATTAATGTTGTTGAGGTAACCTCACCAGTATGTGGAGAAATGTAATAAGATACCCTCCAGGGGAACTCTAGTGGGGAAAGAAATTCAATGGAGTGCCCTCCCACTTGAGAAAATGTGATAAGATGTCCTCCAGGAAAGTTGCAGAAGACTTATATTAAAAAAATATATATCGAAAACTGGACCTTTATTGATGAAAACGTGATACATTTTGAGAAGTACCACCCCAGATTTCACCATTAGTGGCAAAAACGTGATAAGATTTCCTCCAAAGTTGCCCTTCCAGCAGAGAAGAAGTAATAAGACGCCCTTTAGGTTGACCTGAAGAGACAAATACATGATGCAGTGCAATAAAGGCTGCATACATAATAGTGAACGTTCCAGGTGCTTGTGACTCGAGCACGCAGCCTGCGCCTTTCTTTCCTAGCACTGCCCCAAAGACAGCAAGAGTCTGTTTCTGCTCACTGCTATAAATCCCTCTTGCTACACCCACCACCTTTAATTCATCCTTTATAAGAAAGTCAACTAGACATGTATTTATTTGTTTGTTTATTTAACATGGACATACAGTAACATTGGTGCTGTAACGTTTAACCATGCACAAGTTCCAGATGCACTGCTCTTAGTGTTTATAGCAAAATGCTAATTTGCGACACCTGTCCAGTTCAGTTATAAATACAGCGCAGTTATGAATGCAACAGAGATAAAACACAGTTACAGAGAGAAAATATACGAGCTCTTGTGCGTTTAGGTGTGAGAACAACGTTGTTTCTGCTTCAGCCATGATTTAATACCTTTGCTAAAAACATTCAAACTGTGTAGCATTTTCAGTTCATGCAAACACACCTGAGGTTTTGTACAGGTAACAGCCTCGAAGTGGCCCACAGCCACCTGAGGTTTCATTAAAAACAAGTCACAGGTGGGCACAATATGAGACAGGCAAAAATAAAGCCCATGCTCTTATAATGAGTCAAATAAGATCAGCATTTTATGTGGTTTGTGTTGATATATTTTAAACTTTTAATTAGTGCAAAGTGTGTTCACTTTGGTCGTCATTGGAAGCGTGGTAGATTTCCTCCACAAACAGAAGGGGGCGCCGGTGAGTAGTGTTTCTACCGGAAATCACCCCCACGTGTCGCCACTGCTCACCGGAAGAGGGGTTTGTTTTGATGCTGCGCGGTTTGTTGTCCAACGTGTTGGCGACTACTTCTGCGATGCTCTCCACCGAAAGAGAACCGACAACAGGCACAATGTCAGCTGTAGAGACCCGAGAGGAAAGCGGAGCTCCGGAAGAAGAGCTGAGAGGGACTAAGAGGAAGATTTCCCTCTCAAAGTGAGTGTTTATAACACGCAGAAAGTCAGGAGCTAAACTGCTAACTTAAGGTGGCTAACAGGTCCATGTGTGCGCACATTTATTTTAACTTGATCCCATTTTTAACTCTTATTGAAGATATAATGATATAACATGTATTAGCGGGTAAAAACATAAGCAAGGTAGCTTTGTATGTTAGTTTAGTAAAGTTAGTGACAAAGGTTACAAGATAGTTTTTAAGCCTACAAACAATTCCTCCTAAAAAAGTGTCAAACTTTCATTTTCATCCCTCTTCATGTCCTTTATCCCTCTACACACCTTTTTTTATGAGTTTGCCATCCTAAGAGATTACCTTATTGTCACAAATGTCACAAATTATTTGTGGAAATGTAAAATGTGTCTTGCAAAGTTGCACCATTTGCATCTTTAATCCACGTGTTTCACCTTTTCCTTAATTCAGTGGTATTTAATCTGACATGTTTGTGATGGGTTATGCTGACATGCTGTCTTGTCCTGCAGGTGTGGACTTTGCGGATCAGAGGAGGCCAAGTACACATGTCCTGCCTGTCTGGCCCATTCTTGCAGGTGAGATTTTTTTTTTTTCTCCTGATAAAAGAGAACTGAAGTCGTCTCTAACCATCTATCAAATCAAATCAAGTTTATTTGTATAGCACATTTAAAAACAGCTTCATCTGAGCAAAGTGCTTCACAGGCAATGCGTAAAAGCAAGAAATAAAAAATGTATCTATACCTATGCACATACATACACATAATACACACACACACACACATACATGTAGTATACATACATATCACAAACACATACCCTCATACCTACATGAACATGCATACATACAGATACATACCTAAGCTCAATATATGAGGTCTGTTTCAACTTGTTTTAAATGCCAGTGAAAAGAGGTGAGTTTTGAGTTTTGATGGGTTTAACGAGTTGATTTGTCTGATGGAGGGAGGCAGGTGATTCCACAGACGGGGGTCGATGTGATCTATAAGGGAAACGATTCAAAGAATCGATAAAAGGGAAGGCACAGAGTGTATCAAGCTTTGACAAATCTATTAAAACTTAAATATGTTTATTGTGCCACCTGGTTAATGATAAGGTCTCTGAATTTAAGGACGACTCACATTTAATTTGTCCTCTTTAAATAAACAATCTAAACCTTTTTCCTTCTCATGCAGCGTTTTTAAAAAGTAGACTGTGACCATGTGGCAGACGACAACTACCACACTGAGAAATGCATTGAGTACATTTTCTTGTCAGTGGTCTTACTTTCTCTTGTAAGTCATATAGAGGCATTTTGTCTGTTTCATTTCCAGTTATGGATCCTTACAGGATGTTTAAATATTATTAAAGGGGACATATTATGAAAAATCCACTTGTACAGGGTTTTTGAACATTTATTTGGGTAACCTGAGTTTCTACTGACCCACAACATGTGAAATAAACCCATCCAGTCCTTTGTTTGTGGTCTGCGTAAGTCTTACAACAAAGAGAAAAGGGCTCTGTTTCAAATTTGCTCTCCTTGTGACATCACAAGTGGGATTCTGTTTTACCTCCATGGGTGGAGATACCTCCCCTGATATCTCCACCCATGGACTCCACCCCCAGCCTAGAGCAAAACTGTTGAGCAGGAACGCAATTTTCATTCTCGCTAGTGAAGGAGTGATGTCTACAGGGGAAAACTCGGGGGAGGTCTCATTGCATTTAAAGAGACACACACACCAAAACGGAGCGTTCTGAGAGAGCTGGTTTATACAGGGTCACAAACCTTCTCTGGTGCTTGATTCATGTGAAGTTCATATTTTGACCAAAGCACAGCACAGATGTTTCATTTAGACCACAGGGGGCTGTTTGAAAAGGGGTATAATATGTCCTCTTTAAAACCAAAATCACTCACTGATTCCCTACTTGCTATAGGCTATAGTGGAATATGCATATGTAGTGGACTATATAGTGCACTCACTCAGCAAAAATTTAAAAACATTTTGGACACTACTCGCTCACTTGCCGGTGCACACTTATGCAACCACATTATTTTAATTTTCATCAATTATTTTTCCTCGTAAGAAATGTCTGTCTTTTTTTTAATGGAATGGCGCATGTCAAGGTCAAACTAAAGATGGAAAAAAGTTTTGAAATGATCTTTCTTTGTCTAATTTTTCTAGATCACAAAAACGGACATTTTAACAAGGGTGTGTAGACTTCTTATATCCACTGTATATATTATCTGTGTCTGATATCCCAACACAAACAGAGAGTATATTCTCCCCCTTATTCTGTAAAAAAAAAAAAAAAACACAACAACTGAATAATTGTTTATAAAATCTGCTCTAACCTTGTGTGCAGTAATATTTATTGACTCGTGGCCATGTTTTTATTTATACTGACTGACCTTTGCTTTAATTCATGGCCAGCAACAACAGGCCAAAAGCAATGGCAACCATCCACGAGCTGTTCCTCAAATTCTGCAGAACCTGAAGCATTTACAGCTTAACCTTAACTTACTAAATGCCACTTTGAAGGTCATACCTGAACATTTCATTAAAAGTTATCAAAGGGCACCAAGGGCGTCGGTCCTTTTTTTTTCTCTCTCGTGGTTGCCTGTTTGTTTTTTTGAGCACAGTTCAGCATTCCTTTTCCATAGAGTCTACAGACAGTCGTTGCCTGACCCCGGCCAAATACCTGTCCCTCAGCAGGAATCTGAAAATGGGTCTTCCCATAATTGTATTAAAATCCTTCTTTTGTGTGCATGTGTGTGTGTGTGTTTAGTAAGACTTTTAGGAAGGCAGTCAGACGTAATGTTTAACACTTTGGTAAAAAAGTGAAGTGGATGCTACAAGTTCTTGCTATTGAAATCTCCAATTGTAGTTTGATGCTATCCATAATAATATAATTTGTAGGAACATCAGCTTGTCTTCTCTGGCTTTCTTTCTGCTGGCACATAAAAATGAAAGATCTCTCTGGAATGATAATAACCTCTTTATGTAATGAGAAGAATCTCGCTGTGTTTTCCCACCTGCAGCGCTTGTTATTTGTTTCATTTAGTCAGGGGTATGCCTTTGTTTCATAATTGCCAGTCTCAGCTCAGCAGATCAGCAGCCCTCACATAAAATTTGTTGTCTTTTTTCTCTCTTTTGTTCGATGTTCTCGTTGCTGACCTTTGTTCACCGTCTGGACAAGCAGCGATGGCGCCAAACCAAATTCCTCCAAAGAACGACGAGGTTACCTAACAGATTTCTGTTTGTGTTTGTTTTGTTTTTTTTTGTATTTTCAGCTTACTGTGCGTGAAGAAACACAAAGAAGATTCAGGATGCAGCGGAGTTAGAAATAAAACTGCCTTTGTGACCCTCTCACAGTTTGATGAGATGGCACTTCTCAATGGTGAGCACCTCCTTCACTCCTCCACATGATGGAACAACTGAAAACAGCTGGAATAGTTTTAGATTTACTTATTCTGTTGAACTTCTAACCAAGCTGCCGTTGGTCTGTCATGGCCTTTGTTTTTATCACAGTTGGCAGCAGACATGTTTTTTAAAACGAGCTGATACAAAGCAAAGGACAGAGTATTAAATGTGGTACTGGTGTGAATGTAAGACGACCAAACAAGGTGTGTAGGTTGTTGTTTCAAGCACCTTTTTAATTGGGGTGTAACAGTTCATAGAGGTCACGGCTCGGTTCATGCCTCAGTTTTTGGGGTCGCAGTTCAGTATGAGTTCGGTTGAACAAGGTGAAAAGAAACTAAAAGTTTCCCTTGTTTATTCTGAGCTAACCGTAGGAGATGTTATAGTTCGTTCCATCTTGTGTTATTTAGAACTACCTGTGATCCTGGGGCGATCACTGTGTCTCCCATTGGTTCTGCAGCTGTGAGTGACAGCTGGCCTCAGTCAGTGTTGTTAACCTGTACTGGTATTTGAAAGTCTAGACCCTGATTAAGGACAAATCCAATTTTTTAAAGATTTCTTTCAGGGCAAAAACCTCAAATCTCATTTTCAAACCAAAAGTAGAAAGAATAGTCCACACACCATTCAATTAAATGGAAAAATTCCCATTTGTAACGTCATCAGTCATGAACTTATATTCAAACCAACCCATTGATGAGTGGTAATATTTAAATGAATGCTAATCATTAACTTTACATGTGTTTTAGACTACAGGTTCCTGGAGGACACCGGGCGATTTGCTGACGGTGCTAACAGAGACGGTCTCGTCCGGACCCCGAGATCGACTTTTAAAGTAAGTCCTTGCTTCACAATTTAAGTGATCCCATGAGCCTAAAGCCCTGAGTATACTTGTTTTAATTACGTGTACGCGAAGACATGACATCAACCTTGTCAGTCACTCCCTGCTGAGTGCTAAGGCTAGCTCTTTCACTCAGTAGAATGCCAAATGGAGCAACAAGAAATTCAGCCAGTCTCACAGATGACTGGAGTAGACACTGAAGAATGTACTAATTCATAAATAGACTTTGAATCCATGGGTCAATGAATCCAGAATTGTTTTGAATCCAGAATCGATTCTGAATTGAGAAGAATCGAATCGTGAGACCCAAAGATTCCCTGTCCTACTTTTCTATTTCAAGAGGGAAAAAAACTCCTCCTGACCCCTTAAATGTCAAAGATAGTCTTTGTTGAAGTGAAATATTTCAAGGGCAAGGTTTACTTGTCATTAAAGCATAAATCCTGGCAGCAGTATACTACAGACAGAATTATTTTATTCCAGGGGAATAATGATGATAACAATCGTGGTCAGTATTGTCGGATCTGAAGTCTGAGATCACTTCTTCAAGCTGTTTTTCAACCTTTTATTCAAAACCATCGTTTTTTATTAGCCTGTAAAACCTATTTAAGAAGCAGTTTCTGATATGAATCCAAAGATTTATGACCCTGAACATTGTTTTGGATGAAAAGCGTCTGAACATACTGTCCTCACATCATTAGGTGAAGGAATAGTTTTGTTAAAACAACATTACATGTATGTTTATGAAATCTAGTGTGAATGTTTTGATGTTTAAGAAGCAAAAACAGATGTTCTCTCCTGATTGTTTTAACGACTGCTCGTGTGTTGGCTTTGACAAAAGATTCATAACTGTTGAGTACGTACGGCCAAGACTTTACTCTCGAGTGCTGAAAGTCTGCCTTATCACCCAATCAAAGCTAAACGGAAAGTTAATATAGTTAGATCTCAAAACTTGGAGATATTTCTACTGACTGAACCGCTCTCAAACTTTGAGGAAAGGCTAAGAAAAAGAAAGAGGACAACAAGCTGCTGCTGGTAGACGATCTAAATCAGAGAAATCATACGATCTATGAGTGTTAGCAAAAAAACAACTTTCTTCTTGTTCTGGTAAATGTAGAAAACAAAAGAAAATAGTGTCATGTATATTTATTCTAATGTTATTTTTATTTAATCTTCCATGTTGAACATAGAAATCAAAATAATTGGAAAAAATAGGCAGGCACAGTGCACAGAGAGACATTCAGCCATATAGACAGAAATATTAAAGAGTCTTTATAATGGTAGCAATCCCATTTTCCCAGTATTGATCACCATTCTCCTTTTTCAGCCAAATTATTGTTTTACATTTTCAATTTTTGAGTTATTTTTGGACTTTTTATTCATTGATCGGGAGACGGGGCAGTGAATAGAATTGGAAATGAGACGGAGAGAGAGTGGGGAATGACATGTGGGAAACAAGCCACATGTCGGATTCAAACCTGGGCTGCCCGCTTTGAGGACTGTAGCCTTTGTACATGGGGTGAGCAAACTAACCACTAGGCCACCGGGGCCCCTGAAGTCAAATATTTAAAGTAGTTTTCTCCATATAGTGAATTCAGTTCATGATGTTTATAGGGAGGTGAATGCTTTAGATTGCTCTGAGTAACTCTGAGGCCTGAATTTAAAATATTTTTTTCATTTAGAAATATTTTCTAAGTAAAAGAGAAATCACTTCAGATCCAGAGTCTTGCTTTTACCAACATATTGCAAAATCAGCCTGAAAGTCAACTTAACTCTTTTGACTGAATGTAACAATTGTAGAAAAAAAACACGCTCAACTCCCTTTCAACGTAAAACTACTCGGTGATGAATCCAGAAAAACAATTCAAACAAGAAAAACAAAAAGGACAGCACACCAGAATTTGTATTTTAATAGCAACACACATGGCAATTAAAATACAATGTTGGTGTGCTTTCCTTTTTGATTTTCTTTCTTGTAATGTAATAATAACCAGTGAATCTTCATGGAACACTCATTAGAAGGTTTATCAAATCTCGTTGCACTTACTTTAAACCACCTTCACCTGACAACACCAGATGAACATCTTCACCCTAGCAAGCAAAACAGTACTTAATTAGTTTCTTGAAATAGGATAAAGTTCTGATTTCCAGAAATGTAACAAGTAAAATATTGTTGCTTGATTGACAAATGTTCCTTATTTTTCTAATTACAAGCAATTCAGGCCTTTCTTTTTGTCTGTTAAACCTTGAAGTAAGATGTTTCTCTGGACTGGCACATCTTTGTGCCTTAAAATGTGAGTAATGAGATATTTTTAATAGGACTAAGTCAAATACTAAGAATTGAGTTTTTACAATAGGCTCACCTTTATCTTCCCTGCATTCATCTGAAGACACTTCAGAGACCTACAGCTGTCCTACATTAAAAAGCGTTTTGAAGTCATAATAAAAATAATAAATGTCTCTAATATACAAGTTTGTGAGTAATAGTAAAGGTGGAGGATTTTTCCAAAAAATCCACTTCTAGTGGCGTGATAAATACTGAGTATCGAGCTGACGTCTTTATTAAGGCAGTTACTTGTATAGATTGTCATAAGTGCAGCTGCTTTTCATATAACCAGAATATGTTTGAGGGAGCGGTTCTCAGTGTTTAGAGCTGAATTTCAACATAAATGATGAGTTCATTTGTACAAAAATAAACTTCAGTTTTGAGTTAATTTGTCGTAATCAAAAAATGTTTTTAGGGGGGGGTTAAGAAAACATCTTTGGAAAGTGTTTAACTTTATAAAGTAAGATAGACATATCAGTCCAACTGGTCTTGATAATCAGTCTCTCTTTTGCAAAACTATGTATGCATGGAAACGTGTCACTGATCGCTTGTTATATTGGATCAAATTAAATATGATTTTTGAACACATTTACATCCAGCTTTAAAAAAAATCTAAATGGTAAAAGGACTTGAGCTGGTATAGCATATTTTCTAGTCTTCTGACTACTCAAATCACTTTTACAACACATTTCACTTCACACATTCCCACCCTGATGACAGAGGCTGTAAAGTGACCATCAGAACTAACTAATCCCATTCATACACATGCATACGCCGGAGCAATTCAGGGTTAAGTGTCTTGCCCAAGGACACAGCCGACATGTTCCTGCAGGAGCTGGGGATCAAACCCCTAACCTTCCTGTTGAGAGACGACCGACTGAGCGTCAGCCGCCCCAACAAATCCAGCTAAACCATGGTCCAGCTTTAATCCGGCATCATCCTCATGTTTTTCCTCTTTTCTCCTTTCTTTCTGCACATGTATAATTTGTGGCTTTAGTTATGTAAGGCTCTCTGCTGTTGCTCCAAACCACAGACCTTCATTTATGTAAGAGTCAGTACCCCTGCCAGCACTCACCTGTCCTCTCACTACTAGAAAACACAACATTTAATGATATGTGATTAGTTGGACTGATGCTCGTTCTTTTATGGGATTCTCAGAGGCAGCGAATGCTTCAGCGGTCACAGATCAATCAAAATAATGAGGCCTATTCTCAGCGAGAGATAAAGGCTTGGCTCATGAGCTCTGGGGTTTGGGTTCCCACCAGAACTAAACCCTGCAAGTGCAGCAATTAGCTATTAGCCATGTGTAGCCTTGTCTTTTAATAAATCTACTTTAGTGTCACTCGTTGCCTGCCAATCGAACGTCCTGAGGGAGCAACGCAAAGTGCCAGAAAGGAAGCGCTCGTCCTTTCAAACTTCAATGCGTCCAGTAAGGAGAAGTTCAGGTCACCCTCTTGGTTTGATCCTTTTTATGAATCTTGCACAGCCGGATTTATTGATGCAGAACAGATGTTTGGTATTCAGACCTTTTAGTTCTTAGAGAAGATGTCCCCCCTCCTGCTGACTTTTCCACTCAACTCAAATGCCAACCAGTCTGTGGTCCGAATAAATCAGGGTAAGGCTAAAATTAGAAGCTTTTTCATAACATCCTGATTATTAAAGTTCTGCTGGTTGATGGATTGTTCTGTTCTTTTTTTATTAACCTTTATGTGAATGTGGACCTCATAATTTCATAAAGACCCAGGTCTATACTTTAAATGTAACAATACTTGTCTATACCGCGATACAGAACATACTGTCGTCTTTATGCTGTATAGGGCTGCAACTTGTGATTATTTTTTATCATCAATTATTGTTTAAGTGCCATTCTTTGGGGACCTAATATCCCTGGAATGTTTGGCGGGAATTCCTTCAAATAGGGCACAAAAATCCACTTGAACTAAAAGATGGACCAAAGAGATAGTGGTGGTCAAATTTCAGAGATTACCATCTCTGTGACTTCTCGTCTGTCCCATGCTTGTGAACGCAGTATCTCAACGAAGACTGGATGGGATTTGTTCACATCTGTTTGATTTTTTATCTTTCACCTATCCAATGCAAAGACTCTTTCTACACCACATTCATGCCTGTTTGTTTCTCTGTTTTCAAAAAGAAGAAGATGAACGTGTGATTACAATCACACATTCTGTAATCAATCACAGAGATAGATGTTCTCTGTGTTTATGTACCATCTGTAAACCATTGAGCTACAATCTCCCATGTTTACTATTTGATTTTGTGTCATATTCATGTCAGTGTATTCCTTCATTTTGTTTCCATATGCATATATTTACCCTTTGTCCACTGCCATTCTGTGGGAAACACATGGCTAAATGTAAAAATTAACCTTGAGTCAAGTGAGCAATACAACTCCGAGGGGTGATCTAGTTTCTAACAAATCATCTAGTTGGGCTGAAAAATGTCAGAAAATAAGGGAAAGTGTCAGAGGTATTTAGTTTATTATCAGTAAAGTGGAAGCTTTCATTTGTTAAACTGACGCCAGTGTATATATACTCTTTTTAACTTAAAGATAGACAGTGAATTGACTGTCAGACTTCTTGCCAGTTGATTCAGAGTTAATAAGTAAATTAAATAATGTACTTTCTCCTCTTATGATATGAACTACCTTTGCTTTTCTGCTTTCCCAGGCTAAAAGATTGGCAGCTAACGCCCGGAAGTTAAACATCACGCTGAGGTTCCTCCCCGTCACCTTCACAAGGAGCAGAGAAAACTCCACCTTCTTCCTGGCAAAGTAAGGATGAACAAAACAAAAAATACAACACATGTATTAAAGTTAAGATATTTTCTGTCGGTCACCAAGAAAAGTGTTTCATAGAGCAAGAGCAGTAGTTATGTAATCCATAATAATATTACAGGAGCAAACTTAGCAGAGGAATTTGAGTAACGTAGGCTCATCACTTGTTTTAAGGTCTTCATAAGTATCTTAAATATCCGTTTTAATTTAGGAAACTACAAAATATCTTAGTCTTTTCCATCATGCTCAAACTGCAATCACTTTTGTTAATTTCTTGTTTGTCCTCCAAAATCAAGCTGAAGTGTCATAGCACACAAACACATGGAGTAGTTATCCAACACCTCGGGGTGTTTGTGTTTCAAAGCAACGCTGCTTTAAGTCTTACCCAAGCACTCTGAGACTGTTTATGGTGCTTTCAGTCACAATCAAAGCAAACACTTCACGGCTTCCTGAGAGTTAACTCCTGCTAAGTCTGCAGCAAAATGAGCTTCTGATTAGTGATGTTTGACTTAACCACAGGATGGCACTCTTGTTAAGCCCTAACAGCAGCTGTATCCAGTGCTGGCTGGATGTCAGGTTATCTTATGGCAGTATGTGATGAAATCTTTAACAATGATGTCTTTTAAGCCCCATGGTCAGTATTTCACCTGAGACTCTGGAGGTGTCATTGACTTTAGCACACTGGGTATTGATCGGGAATTTCCTTAAATGGGATTCAGCCATTGTGACATATTTGACTTGACAGTTAAATCCTGTAATGAAAGAACCCATGTCAGATCATTCAGGTTGTATCAGTAGCTTCTAACCAGCACACATGTACATATACGTACAGGTATTTAAAAGATCAATGGCATTGTTTGCAATGCTGCAGAGTAAATCTGTTTTACAAGCTGCAATGCATCTCTGTCATTATGATACAGCCCAATTAAAAGGACCAATCTGTAACTAACAACTGGCTGTGTGTGCACCACATTCTGAAATCATACAAAAAGCACTATAAGCCTTTCATCTTTAACTTTAAATGAAGTTTGAGGACATAAAATATGTATCTTGTGCATCACTAGTCCTATCATCCCTTTTTGCACCAAAAATGTCAAAAAATAGTATTGGAGATGGTTTTAAAGTGTATTTTTAGGAAATTATGGCACAGTTTCATGTCAGTTTTTTGTGTGGTCATTGTAGCTGAATAGCCCTTAATAACAGAAGATGTTAAAGATTGAGCCAGTAGATGTCAGCCTTGAGCACCAGCATAAAACCAAAACAGACTGCTGTTTGGCTGTGCCTCAGCCACACTGAAGCCTCGACACACCTCCAACCTCACCTCGTGTTCACAAAGAGGAGTCAATCGCAAGCGGCTTGAGCTGCAATTGGCCTTTGGCCTGCATAATTGTGTTAGCAGGCTAATGCTAGCACACGTAAGTTAGCTTGAGCTTCACATTGCATGTAAATTTCCACAGAATGACCGTGATATAAGAACGCTAACGTGGCGTTCAAATAGGCAGTGAGTATGTTATTCTACTTTTCTCTAGTCCTTGACTGAAACGGTTTTTATAAGCAATGGGAGGATCTGGCCGTCCCGTCCATGTAAACATGATGTAAACATGATGTAAACATGACGTAAACACGGCTCTGATGACATCACAGGCGACGGGACTCTTTCTAAAATCTACATAAATCCACGTCCCCATTTGTTAATTTATAAAAGCTAGTTTTTTAGAGAGTCCGTACAGTATCACAAAAATATATGTATTGCTTAGTGGTCAGTAAATAAAGTATAAATAAAGGTACAAACCACTTTGGATGTTGTTATTTAACATTTCATCGCTGGTAGTTTAATGATTTGGGGAGTAAAGCCTGCAGACTTGCCGTAATTTAGACCCTGAGAAGGTAAGTCATTCTTTCACATGGGCACTTATCCAATTTGCTCGGTTCTACTGGTGGTCTTGTCTTGTCTGCTGTCTTTTCTCCCTGCTTGGCAACCCTCTGCCACTCATTTTCCCATTTCTTTTGAGTCTGGTCCCTGCCACTCTAATCCCCTTGTGGAATAAGAGGAGGGAAAGAGGGGAAAATAGTTATTGAATTGCATATTAAAGTTTTTTTTTTTTTTACGAGTCTGAAATGCCCAGAGACAGCATTGGGTGCCAATCAGGATTGCCACTAAAAGAATCCTTTGTCAGTTCCTCCAGCTGGTTTTATGTTGTTGCTTTGCCTTTCACCACCCTTTTTTCCAACCTCAAAGTCCACCACTTTGTCATGTGTCTTTCTGGGGTGAAGCAAGTGGTGAGTTTAATGTGCACGTCACATCTCAGGAAGAGGCAGCATTATGTCAGGTTGTAGTAGCACACTGTGACCACGCTCCAAACCCTCGCTTCTCCTTCCCAAACTCAACACTTGTCAGATGTTGACAGAAAGTGTTTGCAAGATGAGTTTTTGTTATTAAGCTTCAACACTTGGAAAATTAGCTAAATTCCAACTGCTTTGGCATAATGCCCAATAATCATTCTGCTTTTGCTGCTGCATTGTCCGTAGAGGAATCTTTGGCCTGCTGCACAGCTTTATTTCTTTGTTTAGTCTGGCTTCTCTCACAATGTCTCATCAGGAAGAATTTCAAATAACCACAACAGTGTCCCATTCACAGACAGTGGACACGAGGGACGGGATGAAAGGTGTACAATGAATTGGGAGGGATTGAGAGAGACTGTGCAACAGAATGTACCAAGTACATAATATAAAAAGCAGATGTGTGAGCAGTGCGACTGCAGCTGGTTAGCGACATATTCATGCTACGCACTCGCACTGCCAGAGAAAGATCATTACTGGCAAACAGCTGACTACAGGGCTTTCATGCCTGGCGATAATGTGTGCGTTTGTGTGTTCAGGTTTTAGTTTGTGAGCATGTGTCTCTTTGATTAAATGTTTGAATGTATTTTAAAGGCCATGGAACTACTTTCTTTTCACCATTTGCAGCTGTGGTTAATCGAAAGAATAAAGCACAAACAGTAAAAAGACCAAAAATTAGGCTGCGTCACAGTCCAGCACTTGCAAGGAAAGTATATACCAACTGGCATTTGGCTGAACATTGGGAGTAGTTGGGTTCTCTACAGTCTCAACTTGGCATTGCCAGGAAATTTCCTCATAGGCAGATTTAGGGGACTGGACAACACATTACAGGAGCAGTTGCTGTGCATAGTAAGTGTACATAATTGTATAATAACTCAACAACAGCTAGTTTTATGAGCCACTGTGGATATGTGCCATTTATGTCAGTTTGCCAGCCTCAAATAACCCAGCTGTCTTAGTTAGAAGAGACCTGATTTTGTTGATATTGAGAGGTGTTGAAGATAAGAATGCAACTTGTTGATAAGATGAAGAAAAAACAATTTTCATAAAGAGGAACTAAACAAACCAATTCCTGGACCTTATAAAATGAGAAGATACAACTGTCAACAACATTGTGTGCTGTTTTTACTTTTCAAACATCCCTCCATTCATCTTTACATATTCAAAATGCATGACTTTTTAGCTGTTGAACTAAAACCATCTTACTCCAATCACCTGCAACCTCAGCTCCACGTAAAATCACCTGACTCAGTGGCTTCATCCACATGTTCTTGCTGCAGCTGCTCAATCCATAAAAGCATTTCTTGCTTGCTATTCACAGCTTAGCTATGGTGTGAAATGAAGCAGACATGTTGTCATACTTTTTTGTCTAATGACATGGTTCTAAATGGCACGTTATTGCTTCCTGATGATCACTTCTACCCACAACTAATTACAGTTAAAAAAATGCTCCTTTCCACTGGAATGGCACCTTTTTTAACCTGCCTGGCCTGAGCTGATTGGTTGATTCTGCTCCTTTTGAGGAGAGTGAACTCAAGAAGACCATAAAATAAGGTGGGAGAATAAAATGAATTTATTAAAGAATCCATACCAATATCAACATCATGCATGTTCTCCTACATACATTCAAGGGAGGCTAGAAGGGTTGCAGTGCTGCACATTTTCATACACATTTTGCATATAGTATGACAAACACTGGAATTTGTTTGTTCAGCTACAAATTTTCTGCAAGTTCAGCTGCAGTTTGTTGCAGCTATTGTCGGTTGTTCTTAACAGTTTCATCATCTCATGTAGTTTGTTGTTGACTTTCTGTTCTCTGAATTCCCTCAAAGTGTAAACTAGCTGTGAAACACCTCCGACAACAGAATGCCATGTATGAGCCATAAGATGTCATTGACATGGATACATTATACATATATTCAGTTTTAATTGGATACACAGTATACAGATGTAGAACTGCAGTGGAGCTAAGCAGAGGTTGCATCTGCTAGCATCAAAGCATTCTTGTTGGCTTTGCCTCCAAAGCTCCATGTGCAGAACAACTCAGCTTTCTTGGTCAGTGTAACACCCACTAACTGTTTCGTTTTTAAATTGACCAGATTTACTATTAACACAAATTTGACTACAAATAAACATTTGGAAATATCCAGTCAGCAAAACTTGTTCCTGCAGCATTAATAAAAGCCCTTCGTTGACTTGGTGATAGCTTTAAATTTGAAGCAACGGCAGATAGAGTTCAAAAGAAGTTCAACAAACTTTTCTCAATTTCATTACAGCTGCAATAGCATGGAAAAGCACATAGAAGGTAGGCCTGTTAAACGTTTACCAAGCTTTAATTCCATGATTGATGAAGGTAAGATGAGGAATACTAACCTTTGTTCACCTTGAGTCAGAAGTTAAAGCGAAAAAAAAATGAATTTCCATCACTGATACATCACGGTTAGTTGGAAGTGCAGTGGAAATACACATGCAGAAAAACTGCTGATGGTTGCTATTCTTGTACATTGGAAATCGGTTGTAATCTTAGAACCTCAATTAGGCCAATTATTGTAATTTAAAAAATGCTGAGACATAGCTGTAACATTCAACCCAAGCGGTGTATGAAATACTGCACGTGATGAATGAATGCACAAATTGATTAAAGCAGACAAACCCAT